GGGTCACGTCCGTCGAACATCCCCAAACCAATGGCCAAGCCGAGGCTACAAACAAAGTCATCTTACGCGAATTAAAAAGAAGGTTGGGGTCGGCAAAAGGAGAATGGGTAGAGAAGCTATTCGAGGTACTATGGGCTTATCGTTGTACACCGCAAACTACCACAAAAGAAACCCCTTTTCGACTAACCTATGGTACTGATGCCATGGTACCGGTCGAGATTGGAGAACCATGTTTTCGAAGGGAGAACTTTGAGGAATCGGCCAATGGCGAATCTCTAGGTGTCAACCTGGACTTGCTAGATGAAGTACGCGACCAAGCAACAATAATGACCGAAGCTAGCAGAAGAGTGATGGCTAGGAAGTTTAATTCTAAAATCAACCAAAGACAATTTTATGAGAATGACTTGGTATGGCAAGTAACCGGAGATGCATGACGAGACTGACGAGAAGAGAAGTTGGCAGCTAACTGGGAAGGACCCTTTCGGGTATCGGCAAGATTAGACAATGGAACATACAAGTTGGAGACATTAGAAGGAAAGCTTATACCAAGAACTTGAAATGTTACACATTTGAAGCATTACTTTAGTTAAAGGCTTGTAATTTGTAATCGGTGTACCCTTTTCCTCGCCCATGTTTTGTCCTCTAAAAAGAAAGTGAAAAGGGGTTTTCCTGGGAAGGTTTTTAACGAGGCACCTTATCAATAAAATACTCATTCTCAGCTATGGATTTAATGCGTCAAGATTTCTTTCAAGCAATTAATTTGAATTGTTTAATTTTCCTCCCGAGTACCCCTCCTCGGCCAAGGATGAATCATTATTTAATTTTCCTCCCGAGTACTCCTACTCGGTCAAGGATGAATCATTAAAATTCCCTCCCAAGTGTTACTTGGCTAAGGTTGAATTAATTAATTTTCCTCCCGACTACCCCTACTTGGCCAAGGATAGATCATTAATTAATTCCCTCCCGAGTACCCCTACTAGGTCAAGGATGAGTCATTAATTATTACAAATTTCCTCCCAAGTACTTTTACTTTGCTAAGGTTGAATTAATTAATTCCCTCCCGAGTACCCCTACTCGGTCAAGGATGAATCATTAATTATTACAAATTTCCTCCCAAGTACTTCTATTTGACTAAGGTTGAATTAATTAATTCCCTCCCGAGTACTCCTACTCAGTCAAGGATGAATCGTTAATTATTACAAATTTCCTCCTAAGTACTTATACTTGGCTAAGGTTGAATTAATTAATTCCATCCCGAGTACCCTTGCTCGGTCAAGGAAGAATCAAATTGTCAATTCCCTCCCGACACCTGCTTGGCCAAGGATGAATCAATTATTATTACAAGTACCTCTACTTGGCTAAGAACAAATTCATTAATTCCGTCACATGTACCCTTACTCAGCCAAGAAACGAAACACAAAAGTATTTGGCTTAGTTGTTTTAAAGAGAATTTGGAAGAAAACAAGAAAGAATCGAACTGGTATATCCTCCTAAAAAGATTACAAAATTTGGGCACTATCGGCCCATGAATACAAAAGAAAATAAAAAAACTATTAATTTCCCTTCTCTACAGCATTTGGACCAGGTGCATCAGTAACATGGGCTTCAGCATTGTTCTCTATTCGGGGAGCGACTTCGGTGTCAGGTTCCAGATCATCATCCACATCATTATATGGTAAAAACCTACCACCGAAAAAATCTCTGGTAAGATCGAAATGGAAATCAGCCGGCACTTGGCAGAAGCCATAGCATTGGCGAACAGCATGGTTAAAACCCAACTCGTGTTCAATAGCCACTTGGACCGAACACTTGTCGGCAAAGGCCTTCATCTCAACATCAGCCTTTTGCCTTTCAAAAGCCAATGTTTCTTCCATTTCAACAGATTTGGCCCTCAAGGCCTCATTTAATCCTAAACATTTTACCCTCAAAGCCTCCAATTCTTCCTCCTTAGTTCTCATTGCTTGCTCGGTAGCCTGGAGCCGATTCTCCACTATATGATAGTGTTCCTTATATTGAACAACCTCGGCTTCCAAAGCTTTATTGGTCTCAGCAAGATTTAGCCGAATCTCCTCATTATCCGCTAAAGCTTGCTGACAGATGGAGTACTCGTTTTGCACCTTTCTCATCTCAAGTGTCGGCTCCAGAGCTAGTCTTCGGATCATCATCATGGATCGGATTTGAAACTCCGCGTAGCACTTCTAGAGAGACTCGAGGTCTAGGTTGTTGACCGCTTCCTTTCCAACATCCGAAAGCAAGTCAGGTGCAACCGCTTGTCCAGCATGTACTCCTGGGACGAGGAAGGTGTCGGTTAAGAAGAATGGAGGAATAGCAGTATTTGAAGAGCTGCCAGCCCTGGCTATCAAATCACCTTGGGCTTGATTTTGTGCTCCCTCTGAACCACTCAGTTTACCCGAGTGGGAATGCTTCCTTTTCTTCTCCCTCTCGGCCTCTTTGTCTTTGCTTTTCTCCTTCTCCTTTCCTTTCTCTCTACGCCTCTTGGGCTGATTCTCGGCAATAACCAGGTCTCGGAGAGGAGGACGAGGCCCAATTATCTCTGGAGCATGATCGAGTTGAGGGTTTCGGTGCTCCTCAATGGATATGTTTTCAAGTGCCTTGGACTTCAAGGTTTTACGGTATGTTGGTACGAGAACACTGCGTTGAGCCATTAAGCCTACAATAAAAATAAAAAGTCAAATCAATACAGCTTGATTCCAAAAACTAAATCATTAAGACGAAATATACCATCCATGACCAGACGAGGGTGAGGAGATTTTAACACTAAAAGGATATGTCGGGCAGGAAACTCTCGGGGAAGAGACTTCAAGTACTCCAAAGCTGATAGCTCTTTGGCCGACAACAGTTCCTCCAGGATCCAGTCGTACCGACGAGGCACTCGGGTCCAGTGGAAAGGGAAGAGAGGATTATTCTCACTATCAAAGAAAAAGTTTCTACCTACAGGGTGGACGGTTACTTTGAAGTAGCCGGTCTTCAAACCTTTAAAAGATGAAGCATATAGCTTAAACAGTGGCAATTCTGGTTGCCTTATTAAAGATATCCATCTTGCTAAGTCTGATGGACAAGTATAAAAGAAATAAAGAAATAAGCCTACACTAGGTTCTATATAATGAAATTTACAAAGTACTCTAAATGCTTGGATAGTCGCTCATCTATTCGGATGGAGTTGTGTTGGCGTTACATTTAAAATCCTGAATACTCCCATTTGGAAATCGTCAAAGGGCAACTTTATTCCTAGTTCCCTAAACATATACTCGTATACAAAGAAGGCGTCGACCATCCTGACACCTCCTAAAAAAACAAATTCAGGGTTCTCGGTTTCATCTCCTCGACAAGGGTTAATGGATATAGGGTAGGGATCGGAAGGTTCCCATAAGAAAATTTCACAATGATCCACAAAAGATTGAAGATTCCTATTTTTTTAAAATCGAGAGAAGTAGGCGGCCACTTCACCGTGCATCCACTTGTATCCATGAACTGTACAGGGAGGGAATACTGGTCTTTCCCTAGGAAGGCTCATGCTCGGTAGGAGTTCAGCAAAATCAGAATCAGTTGACTTAGACGATTCGGCTTCGACGCTACATTCTTTAGAGTCGGTCTCTACTTCATTTACCCCACTCAGTCTTGAAGACAATTCAACCCCCCCTTCGGTTCCCTTAACATTATGACCATTGATACTAGTCGGCCTAGATGGGTCCGACAACGAGTCTTCCCATTCCAAGGATTCGGCTATGATAAAGTAAGGAAGGGAGAGAGAAAACTAAACGTACCTAACAGGTAGTCGGGTCAAAAGAAAAAGAAAATTTGAATATCCTTCGGTTTGGAGCGATAGTATATACTTTTCGGCTCAGAGAAAGAGTGGAGAACAAAATACCTAGACCACCATGTATTTATAAAGGGTCCTCGGGCATGTGAAGAGTCACACCCCTTCTTGACCGACAGATCTCTTCCAGATCAAACGGTTAAGATCAAACACCCTCTCGTTTCGTACACATACATCGAGAAAACCCTAAAAAACCTAAAGTTCTAGAATAATCTTTTTTCATTATTTATTATTTATTTTTATGATTTTTTATTCCTTATTTTTTACTTCTTCGGTCTACATCACATTTTGGAAAAACTGAATCCTCCTTCGGTATGCATTCTAAAAGATCATACTTCTTAATCGAATACCCTATTCGGCTTCATTACATTCCTAAAGACCGAATACCCCCTCGGTATTCCTAACTACCCACTAAACCGAGTACCCCCTCATCTACATGTGCTTGATATTTGTATATTTTTTTTAGCCCTGACATCGTACCTCTTCAGGCTTGGGGGCTAGTGTACTGGATAGGGAACTGCTCGATCCTACATATAGGAAAAGGAAACTGAGTACCTATTTAGCCCAGCTTGATTGGATACCTTAGTATCAGGATTAAGAAGTAGTTAAATTCGATTAAAGGCAATAATTAAAACATTATCTACTTTAAGTAAATGGCCAAAATCAAGGCTGACTCATCAAGCTCATTAGCCCATAATAAAGCCTATAAAAAGAAGGTAAGAAGTACAGGTAAAAGGTAGACTTTTTATTATAATACTATTTATTATTCAGAACTGAATCTTGACTTCAGCATCGGAGTGCCTTTTGCAGGTACCCTCTCCACGTCAACGACAGTCAGAAGAACGTTTCAGAGTAGAGACTTAAAGATTAGTATTTCTCTAGCAGGAACACCACTAAAGTTATTAAGTTGCCCTATCGTTGATGTTTACTTGGCAGACGCTAACTTTCTAAGTTCATAAAAACAACAATTTATGTATAATGATGATCACGTAGGAACTAGGCTAGCATAAATTAAATACTAAGTATTATTTGACACCATAATCGATTAAATGAGAACCAAAGAGGAACTTTTTCTTGTGAGCACGTCGTCATACAATTATAAATTGCTTGCTTTAAATTAGCTGATGCACTGTTTAATTAGCTTTACGTCACAAATAAATTGGAGTTGCAAAAAGAGATACATATAGGCTACATATTGTTTGTCGGTTGGAACTATTTGAAATTACAATGGCAGATTTACACAAGAATAAATTCTTAATCAATATGTAGACAAAAAGGAATAAAGTCTGATAATTATCGAAGTGACTGTGTACAAAGACAATTATTTTTATCTTTTGCACTTAAACTTCTACTTAAGTACACAAAACTACATTTGCACTTCTCAAACTTCAATCTAACTCAATGATCTCTGCCTCTTCTCTATCCGAATATTTTTCATTGTCAACCTCAGCCTCCAACAGGGGACGAGGTAGTGCTGTCAGAATCAAATCCACCATTCTCATGACTCATTAATATTCTGTAAAACATAAGGCACAACAATGCTTTACATTTCAAAGATACTAACATCAGGTTGAAATTCAGAATACAAGCAATCATTTGAACCATCATATATTTACATCTAAGGATAAATACAATTCACAGACATCACGGGAAAGCATGTGCTAAGGAACAATACAACGACAGACATCACGGGAAAGCATGTGCTAAGGAAGTATACAAGGACAGACATCACGGGTTGGGAAGGGAGAAGAGAAGACCACAGCTTTAATGAATAAGAAAGAAACAACATCACTATTGATCAGCAACTCCAGCAATCTTCTTTTCCAGCTCTGGCCTGTTGGCTCCTACAAGTTTGTCAAACTCTTTTCCATCTCTAAGGAAGAAGAAAGTTGGTGTTGCTTTGATGTCCCAAGAAATGCTGAAGTCCTGCAACATAAAAAACCATTTTCAATAGTTTTATAGGACAACAATTTAGTCCCCATAACATCCACACCCATCAGGGAGAAACTACATGAGCATCCAAGAAACTTTGATTTTAATTTCCAAATAAAGATATCTGTGTTCCCTAGTGTGTGAGCTGAAGCAATGTATAATTGTATATTGATTGCAGGAGAAACTTCAAAATGTTCTATTTCATAGTGAAGGGGAATACTTGTTACTATATTTTTATTAAGCTTTAGCTATAAAATAACCATATAAAATAATAGTAATAATAGTATCTGTAGCTTCTCAACTTACAGATAGTTCATCCACATCGACTAATAAGAACATGATAGATGGGTAATTCTTGGACAACTCGCTATAATATGGTGCAATCGTCTTACAAGGACCACACCATGTTGCACTGAAATTGGCAATAACCTGTTAACCATGAAGCTTTAGAATTAACTATTGCACCCAAAGAATATAAAGTATACTCATGAATCATGAAAAGGGGGCAAAATGTAACTAAGTATATACTGAAAAATCTGCAAGCAATTAAATGATGAACATATATTGGTTAACTCCAAAACGTCTCCATTTGCATTTGTTTAGTGACAAAAATATCTAATTGGGGGATCTGAATATGGACTTCAGGTGTTCGGGAGGTAAGATGATGGGGACAGAATCTATGGGTTCATACATCAAAACAATGCCCTGGAATAGTTTGCCCCATGAAAATATCTTCACAAATTCTACATCACTACTAGACTAGCCAAAGTGTAATCAAGCTAAAAGATACAAGAAATCAAATTGTCCTTTACAAAGTTCAAGTGTAAATAATAGGACCTCCTCATGCCCACGAAGTTTTAAGACTAAATTTTTAGAATGTCATGTTATATAATATATACCAAAAGCCTTCTGTTAGACCAGGCCTAAAGAAAGAAATTAGGCTCAGTCTGAACAAAGGCCTAAAGCCTTGGAAAGAGAAGAGAATCAACGCTGAAGAGCAGGGAGTTGGTTACAAGAAAATTGCCACGTAGGAACTTAGTTGGTGTGGGTTGTTATGTGGGAGGGGATGTGAAGGAGAGAAGGTAGGCTCTTTGTAAGGGACTTGGTCTTGTGTAGCGTTGAATGGTGTGGCTGGTTCTCTTCTTAGTTCTACCTTTATCTACTGTAATCTACCCAGTGTTTTCTTCTTGTTTTTAATGATTCTCAGTATCTATTTCTTTCCAATTAGTGGGTCATTTCTCGTGTGTATCAATTCCTATTAACATGAAATGTCATTTCAAATATTTTGCAAATTGAATAACAAGAAATCAGTATACCACCCGACTCTGAATCTGATTATACATATCGTCTTAGTATAATTAATGCAGTTAAATAGTTAATGTTTATTGAGCATTGTCAGCATTATTATTTATAATTAATTGTTTCTCCCTAATTTATGCATTTATTGATTGTTTTTCTCCATTTCCAGTATTTATATGCGCTGTCTCTTGTATTTTATATGCATTGCAAATATTATTCAGAGTCTCTATGCCCTCTCTTCCTCCTTCTCCACCTAAATCCCAATAATTTCAAGTTTCAACATATTGTTAATCATAAACAAGCATTATGATTAGCTCAAGACATTGTAAAGAAACTAGGTCGAAGCTACAGTTTGTCTCTTGGCTATAGACTCTGGAATGTAGATTTTTTTTTCCTAAAGCCAAATGTGAAAAGGTCAGAAAAAGATTAGCGATGTTTTTTGGTCAAGAACTGGATACAGATTTATTTATGTTACCAGCTATAAATGTATGGTAAAATGTGGCAAATTAACAAGGGTTCAGCCAAACAGGACGAAGAGCCATGGTAATTGGCCTTAAGATAATATTATTGTAAAAAGTAAAACTTACAATTTTACCATCCCTCTTTGCATGTTCCAACTTTTGGTCCCAAGTTTCTTTGGTAGTAATGTGTTGTACATTCCCAGAAGCCAACACCACATTATGATTAGAATCATCATCCTGAGTTTGAGGCTGCAAACATTAGAAAAATGAAACTTCTCAGTCAATTGAATTATCAAGCAAAGATATGAACTGATACATTAAGAAATGTTTTGGAAGCATTGATGTGCCCTCAAATCATGTAGAACTATGGCTTGCTTAGAAAATATGTTCTAGTTTGTTTTGATGGCATTTTAGTTTATTGTCACTTTGGCCCTTTCATTGCAGCATTTAGAATCGGTTTTGATCATTTTACAACAGCACTAATTGTGTGCTAAGCTACTCAAATGTTCCTTTGGGTCAACTCAAGTGGATTACTTGGGACACACAATTTCTGGCTATGGTGTTGCATGGAGAAGACAAAAGTTCAGGCTGTGGTAGATTGGTCATGGTACAGAGCCACCTACCTTAACTAGGTATGCAGTGAATGCTGATGATTCAAAAGCAGCTCAGCAGACTCTACACCAACGAGATGCCTTGCTCTCTCAGCCAAAAGTCAATTTGTGGAAAGCTCAGCAGCAGATGAAGGCTCAAGCAGATAAGCGAAGAAAGGATATGGATTTTCAAGTGGGAGATATGGTGTTAGTCAAGTTGCAACTTTTCAAGCAACATTAAGTGGCATTAAGAAAGAGAAGTTCAGCAAGCGATACTTCAGACCATTTCCTATTATAGCTATAAAATAGAAAATGTTGCATATAAATTAAAATTGCCTCCCTTGGGCAAAATCCATCCAGTTTTTCATACTTCTTAGCTCAAACCATTTCAAGGAAAAATTAAGTTTCCACACTCTTGCATACTCTCACTGGAACAGAAGTAGCAAATTAGTTCTGCTTTCTAGTTCTTAAATTGTTTGCCAAAATGAAAAACCATAGATAAAAGTGAATCAGTTCAGTCTACATGCTATCCTCATACGCTATACTATCGGGGAAAGAAATGCTACAGATACACTCAAAAGTATAACCTATGCTCTCTGATAATCTGTTCAAGCTAACAGTTTATCAGAGAGCAGGAGGAAAGCCTTAGGTTTTCATGTTCTGATGAGCATATTCCTACTTAAGGATCCAAATATTCTCACCTTATTCAAACAATTCCCCATGCAGTTGTTTCAAAGCCACAGAATTGTAAAACTTCAAAAAACTGAAGCCTGCAAGCAGAATTTCAAGACAACAAATTTCTTTAAGTCAATAAAAATCAAAGAGAAAGAACAGCAAGCAACAGGTAAGTCAGAGATTAAACAAGAGGAGCAATGCTTATTTAGACATGATTTTCATAATTTAACTTTCCAAACAACAAGTACTCCCAGTAATTAAGTTAAAAGGCTAAAAAGATGATGATGATCTAAATGGGGTCCCATCATTCGGTCTGAAAATTGCTTTGTTTACTGAGAACACAATTGCTTGTCTCTAATAATACAGTTTCTAGATCTGGAACTTAAAGCTGCCAACTTTCCATCAATTTACGAGCAAGACAAATAAACAGATGAAAAATTAAACAAAATTTAAGGGGATAATTCATGAAATGAGTTTAGGTATCCAATAATAAATGTCAGAGAAAAATAAAACCAACCGTTGGCAAACTTAATTTGCAGATTTGCGCTAAAAGGAACTATGTCTGCAATCCGGTGAATTGGGACACTAAGCTATAGCTGGAAGAAGATAAAGAGTGTGTCTTCACGAGGTCATTAATATTGTCTTTTTATTCAGAACACCAAAGTTTAAGGTTCAAAAAGTTGTATAAAAAGGATGAATTCAAAACTGGACTGCTTTAGGTGCAAGACATGTTTATTTTTATTTGTGGCAATTATTCTTAGATATGTTAGAAAGAATTTATAAATAATTCATGACTGTGTAACTTTTTTATCTTATTTTAACAAGAAATTTTATAACTTCATCAAAATAAACTTTTAATATATTTTAATTTTAATAAATGTTATTATTATATTATAAACAACTATTTAAAAATTATTAAATAAATACTTGTTTAATCTATGCATAAAATAAATAATATGATAAAAATTGAAGAAAAAAGGTAATTTTGGTAAATATGTGAACTTTATTGTAAAAAATTATACAATATTGTTAATTGATTGTAATTAAAAGTATTTACTCTAAGACAACTAACGTACAACAATAAATGTACGAAATATGAACGCGGATGCTGTGGTCGAACTTTGACCTTTGAAAATGATCAAACAGACAAATACCACCTATTAACGGATAATAATAAATAAGGCTGCTTTTTTTTCAATAATGTTAAGGTTGCTTTAACTGAATTATATTGTTGTACCCAAAATAAAAAAAACCTGAGTTGATTTGTTACAGAAAAAAGTAAAGAGATTATTTAATTATATATATATATATATTTATAAAAATTTAAGGATAAATAAATTTTTTAATTTATAAATTAACTCATTCTTAAGAATTTTTTTTTTCTATCTCCAACATTTTAAAGACAACTTTATATCTGTAGAAAATTCTAAGATGGTTATAATCTTATCTTGATAAACTTGATAGGTTCCTAATATTACAAATTAAATCAAAATAAGAATGAAAAGATCGTTAAACTTGAAGAATAAGGGACAAATCTTTCTTGGATTCACATTCCACCCAAATAGTGTGGATATCCTTAAGAGCTACATTTGAAGATCTAAAAAGATGCTCCATAATTATGCAGTGAGAGGAGAGCAAAGATTAATTTTGCTGCTAAAACCAGAGAAAAATTTTCCATTTTCATCATGAATTAAGAAACCACACGCAGTTTCACCAGTTGATGAAGAAATCGGCCATCAGGGAAGGAATTCATTTAACTCTACTGTGATCATTTGCAAGGCTGGATAACGAGTTGGTTTAAAACAAAAAACAAACTCACATAAAGCTTTGTGAATAAGAATCTGGAGAGGAACAGAGGAGGATTGGAAGATGGAACCTAAACTAATCAGAGAATTTGCTGCAACCATGTTTTGTAATGTTCACAAACAGCCAATTCATAAGACTCATACTCAAAAATTGAACCCACTAGTCAAGAAAAATAACATGTTTTCAGACTTTCTCAACATAGAAGCAATCTCTAAGCACACACATTATTATTTTGTTTCAAGTGTCTCATAACATCTAGAATAAATACAGGAATGAATCGTATTTTTAACATAATAATTTACTATAAGCTAATTTCCAAAAGAATTATTTTAAAAATCATCAAGTGGAAGGGTATGAATAGGATTAACAGCAAAGTCCAATTCTAACCATCTTATCTTTTAAAATTATTATTATTTTATTATTATGATATTTTAAAGCATTTAGATAATTTTAATTGTTATGATTAATTATTCTTAATAGTATTTATAATCATTACTATAATTTTTAATACTAAATAAAATATTATAATAAAATCATCAAATATAAATTATTATTAATCATATTTTATTTTAATTTTTTTATCATAACTAAACCATCGAATAGTTAAAAAAATTAATTAAGAATTAAGTAAAATCTAATAGAAAAGAATATTTTTATTTATCATGAAAAAATATAATTTATATCAATTAAAATTATAACATGTTAATACATATAACATATGAGTCACATATAAAATATAAAATTTTAAAAAAAATATTATATTAATGACACAATCTATAATAATAATAATAATAATAATAATAATAATAATAATAATAATAAGTAAGAACAATATATATATATATATATATATATATAATAACATAATTAAATATTTTGATAAAATATGAAATATTGATGATATTTTATTTTTTATAATGTTTACAATAATATAATGAAAATACATTAATCTTCTAAATCTTTCAATGTCACTTTTTATTCAGTATTATTTGTTTTCTCTTTCTTAAATTGTAATCAAAATATAAAATATAAATTATTGCATGATTTAAAATTTTATAATATTATAATTTTATAATTATGTATTAATTTTTTCATTGTTTTTGTAAATTTTTTGTTTTCATTATTAGAAATTCACTTAAAAAAATTATTATTTCCAAGTTATTTTATGTTGTTTTGATACTTATATTATCTAAATTTTTTTCTAGTTAAAATAAATTTATTTCTACTCATATTACAAACTTTATAAATTATAATAAAATTTAGTAACTTCCAAATTTTATTTGCTATAAAATTATCTTTTATGATTTTTATGTAAATATTTATTTTTACTCAAAATATGCATGAAGTGTTTATAATATTTGAAGATTATAAAAACAACTTCAAATCATCATCTTCATACTTTTAAAAAATTATCACATAAAAATAAATATATATTTTAATTTATTTTATTTATATAATCAATCATATAATTAGACTTTTAAGTAAGTTAAATTTTATATATTTGTTTACATTTTCAAAGGTTACTTGTGCTTATTCTTTAGTATTTAACATTTTTATAACAACTTTTATATTTGAAATTTGTAGTTGTAAAAGAGAAATATTTGTTTGTAATGAAGGCAAAGAATATAATATTAATAAATTTTTAGCAATACATCAACATCATTCATTTCATATTCGTAATGTAAAGAATAATATCATGTCTGAATCTTTAATTAAAAAACTAACAGGATGAAAAAAGAAGGAAAAATATATAAGAGAATTTAAATTTGTCAATTCACTCTAAAATAAGAAGAAAAGTTATAAAATAATTTAAATTTATCATATTATTATTTAACTTTTTAGTTAAAATTTTAGATATATTCATAAAATTATCTAGCTTAAAAAAATCACAAATTTTGTAAAATTAATATTTTTAATAGTATGTATATCATTGAAATTTCTATAGATCATGAATAATTAAAATTTTGGTTAAGAATATAAAATATAAAGTATTTCAATAATTATCATAATAGTTTTTAAAGATTTCTATACATGAATTAATTTATGACATGAGTAATTTTTTATTTGTCAATATTGATGTAATCTTTGTTGATCTTGAAATAAAAATAAAAAATTAATTATAATACATACATTCACATATTTGTTATAATAAACATGCACTATAATTATATAATTAATTTAAATAAATAAATTTAAAAAACGTAATAATATGATTACCTTAAAATTCATTCATAATAATGGAATGCGATGTTAACATTTGAAACTTTAAATACTTTGTTTTTATTTTTTTAAATAATACAATATAATCATCTCATAATATTATTTTTATTTTATTTTTTAAATAATTTAACTAAAATTAAAATATTTTTTATTAATAATTTTATTTTGTAATATTAAAATTGTTATTTCTATCTCATATCTTATAATTAAAGTATCCTAATATTAACTTTTACTTTAACATTTTTTTTCATTGAACTCGTATGCTTACTTCAATCACATTTATTCATAAAATAAAATAAAAACTTAAAAAACTATTTGATATGTTAAATAAAAATTATATAATAAATTTTAATAGTAAAGTACCTATTAAAATACTATTTTTACAAAAAATTTTAAATATTCAAAAAGTAGTGAGTTTAAAAAATTATGTTATCACATTAACGTAGTTACTTTATAATAATTAAGATATAGAATTGTAACATAAAAAACTGTATTCGACCCTAATAAATTTGTCTGTATTCATTGATATTTTTTTTTTATAATATATATATATATATATATATATATATATATTATTGAACTTATAAATAATACTTTTTGCTATATAAGCATGTATGTGTTTGTTTTAAAAAGAAAAATAAATCAATAACCTAAAAACTTTAAAATAAATTAATTAGAAGTTACTTAATATATAATAACTTCCATGTTTGGATGCAATAAATAAAAAAAGATGAAGGAAGTATATTTTGATTTCCCTCCAAAGCCTGTGAAAAATATACTATGAAAAGGAAAACATATGTTACATACGTAAATTGTCATTTGCAAAGTCTGTCTTTCCCTTTGATTGTGTGGTAGAAGTTTTATTGCACTGTTTCTTTACAAGATAAATGAGTTAATTAAGGGTAAATAAGTAATTTTATATTATTTTTTTCCTTTTTATTTTACACCATCCCAACTAATGAAAATAAATTTTTAATTTTTTTTTTATCTACTTCCACTCTATTTAGTTACATCTAAACAATCTTAATATTTCTCCTTTATTTCTATCCTTCTTTATTTCATTTTCTCCTATTTCTCTATTCATTAATTTCTCTTCATCAAAGAAGCAAAGAATGATTGCAAGAACAATCTCTGAATATGCTACTTTACTCTACTTTATAAAGATAGTCACACCACTTCGCAAATAAAAATGAAAACTAAAACTTAAATCACATAAATGAAAATAGAGCTGTCAAATAAAAAAAAAGGTGGGTGCATGCACCAAAAACATGATTCTGTTCATTTTAAGCATAACAAAATTCAAAAGTTTTTTTATTCTAAAACCTAAACCTCAAAAGAGAGATATTTGTCAAATATATAAGGAAAATGCATGCGGAGAAATATACACCTAAAAACATGAGCACTTTGATTTCAAAGAAAGAACCACCTAACCCCAATGATTTGCCAATAATTAGCACTGAAACAAGTCAAACTTTTTCACAAAATAAACGTAACTTTTTAATAACCAACATGAATGTGTAATGTGATTCAATTCAATTTAGATTCAAAAAATTAATCAAAACTTATTTGAGGGTCGTAGAGACACACTTGAACAAAGAGCAAATTGATTTATGAAACATCTAACGAAACTCAATCAATGTGCACTAAGCCCACACTTCTTTAACAAAAATACAAAGCCTATATAAATAAATAACTCATCAATTAGACGATTGAGATAATTTTGAATTTAGTAGGGCTTATTTTAAGAAAGACAAAACTCCTCTTTAGCCAAATTTAACCTATCGTCATGTTGACAGTTTTCTTTGAAGATACATATGTCTGGCGGGAGTTCTAATGGATTAAGGGGTAAAGGCATGCTATAAAATTCAAAACACCTAAGAAGGAGCATTTTACAAAAGCTAAAATATATAATTAACAAGGACTACATTTTGAAGCAAATATTCATTAGTAAGAGATGTCATCATTTCTAAATTATGAGGGTATCGAAACAAAATTCTATTTACTTTTCATAAATTTTTAATAAGCAACTTATAATGCAATCCTCTTTAAATATAGTGTAACATCAAATCCCTTTCAAAACATAGTTTAGCATGTAAGAATTTTTAGGGACTAAAACCATTATTGCTTTTTGAATAACCAAGCAGAGAGGAGGGACTAGGATATTTCTTTCGGGCATCTTGAACATTAGTATTGGAGACATTTATTAGGAGGGAAAATTCTATGTAAAATTCTATACATATTAAGATTCAAGTTGTGTAACATCAAATTTGACGCATAAGATGGAAGTTAAATCCACAGATTTTATGGCACATCTTCTTTTCCCCAGCTCTGGAAAATGATAATCAGACGTAAATAGCATATTACAAATGTGGGCTATAAGAGGCCAAAAGGTTCAGGCAGAGACTCAAAACCGTTGTCAAAGATGGGTCTTTGATCACATTTGTCATCAACACTAAGCAGCCAGTTTGTGCTGTTGAAATCTTCTTTAACCAATAGTGAATCATAACGAGAACTTTCGTATGCATCCACTTCCATAAATCTTGCAAAGTATTGCCTTTCATTCATCTTACTAGTACCTTTTCCATTCATGTTGACTGAAGCTGGAGCACTCAAACCTCGCGTGTGCTGTGCCTTGGGAGTTGAAGTTCGAATACTCTGAGGAAATAGTGTGGCACTTGAAAGTGAACGAGGCGTTCCTGAGCTGTTCCTTATATCCTAATTATAAATATATAAAAAAAAGGTTAAATAAAATTTGGAATTGTTGTGATAGTGCAGAAATAGAAAAGATAGATACCATGTGTCTAATAGCCATATCCAAGGATTTCTTTGAGAGTGTCCTTCCTAACCCCAATCCATGGTTGTCTGGGGAAGTGGGTGAAGACTTAACTGATTTGGAGGCATGTGGGAGGGGGAGTCTTCCATCAGAAGAATTAGCTTTAGCATTAGCATTAGCATTAGCATTGGGATTGACATGGGCACGGCCTTTTCCTGTGAGCTCTGACAATCTCCCTCTATTGGCAATGGGAGATGGGTGTCTCCTTGACATGGCTTGTGTTTCAGAGTTTGGCTTCAAAGGAAGAGTAACAACAGCACCAGGACGAGACCTGCCTGCAGAGACAGGTCTATCAGGCAACGTTGTTCTGAGGTTTGGTGGTGTTTCAAGTGGAAAATCAGGTGGAACAACTGCCTGCGGTCGGCGTCCAACACGCGTGGCTGTGCCTGTGGCTGATGTTGTAGGAAATTGAGATGGCATTGAATGGCGGCGTGAATTTGATGCAGAGGTAGGAGTGGATGGCCTTGATGGTATTCTGGAGGGTGTTGAGGGTCTTGTTGATGATGGTGTGGTAGGCCTTAATGTAGATGGAGAACGGGTTATAGTTATGGGGGAAGATGGCCTGTTACGAGATGAAACTGAAGCAGGGCTTGCGTTTAGTTTGTTTGAAGAGCGAGTCACTGAACTGCTTCTTGTTGGTCTAGAATGAGACTGGCTGTTGTTCTGTGATTGTGAGACCGAAAGCTGAAACATGTGGGTTAAGAATTTCAACATAACACCATCTAGCTCACCAATTTCAACCTATGTAAAGAAGTTGTGGGAGGGGAACGAGAATTTATTACTGGACCATACCCTTGAGGCATTAGTGTTTGACGTTGATCTACCCAAACTGCTTCTTGGAGGCACCGAGGTTGGTTGGGATTCTCCTTCTGATGATGCTAAATGGGGGGTCCCCGGGGGAGTGAGAAGCCTATAACACATGACAGCACTAGTTAATCAATGTGCCAACGTTGGGCAGCTGGTACCATTTTTATTTTTGGTGATAATTTATCCACGCAGCTGTTTGAAGCTGCACTCTCTCAATTCACATGAAAATACTGTAAAGTTTGTATCTAATGCATTGGTTTCTTTTACTAATTCATGTAGCAAGGTACATGATTTTCTTTTCTGCTTTTGATTGGGTCTACAACATTGACTTGCAAAACTCAATTTGTCTGAAATGCTGTTTCTTTTTTCTAGGCCAAGTTAAGGAAAGATCAACTGAATGGCATTGGCAATAATCTTGTATATACAATGGTAACAGCCCAAACCTTGTTAACTGATTTCTCGTAGATAAATGAACATTATATAGTGGAGTAGTAATGGCACTTACATATGTGAAATGCATGTAATGTTGCCACTTACCAGTCATAGTCATGCTTTCCTCCTCTAGTGGATGACAATAGATCATCAATCCCACTTGTGTCCAGTCTTGCTGATTCAAAAGAGAGTTTGGGCAGTTTCCCTGAAACTGTATTGTTTGATTCAGCTTATATAAAAATAATAATAACTTAGTTTCACTAGTTTTGAAAAAGTTAAAAAAAAGATTATTTCTCCAAATTTACGCAGTAATAGTATTGAACATGCTATAAAATAATTAAGAAATAAGAAATGGTCGTTGAATGTGGAAAGTGACAGAAGTGGAGTGAAGAAAGGAGAAAGATTAGGACCATGGGAAGAATTTGTGTTGAAGAGATGGATGTTGGTAATCCCATTGAAGCTGCGACCTCGACGGTGATGATGCTCATTCACATTTCTGCTGTTCATGATGCCAGCCAACTCAACACCGCATTGCATTCCCTCAAAACTAATTCACATGTGTATTATATTATTGAGATCTGCTAATGCCATAGTAATGAATGGTGCAGCTTGTATTGGATTTGGAGAATGAGTGCAGTGCAGTAGATGGCAAGCAAAAGCATTCACTTGTTTGTACGTCAACACACAAACACAAACACAAAAACAAACCAAGAGTGTCGGGGGGTTCAATGTTCTAACTTGACTTGAGTTCTTTGTTTCATGAAACAATTCATGCCACTTCCACTGCTTGTTTCTCACGTTTAGTTTCTCTTTTCTATTGGGTGGGTGGGATAATGGGGGGTGTCAGATAGGTTCAATTATAGATCATGACACTTCCACGTGGCAACTTCCCACTGGTCCACGTTTTTCACTCCTTTGATTCATCCTTTTCATTTCATTTATTCATCATGACTTTGGAGTTGAAACAAACAAATTGGGGTTTACAAATGCCCACACAGCACATGGGATCATGTCATTAACAGGCTCTTTTGGGTTTTGGGTTTGGCCCTTGCGCTTGTGAGTTACTGTGGTGAAGAATCATCGTGTTCGTGTTCGTGTTCGTGTTCAAGTACCCCTCCCTGCCAAGGCAAATTTCCACTGCTGCAAGTGATCATTTCCAAGAACGGACACTTCAAGTCTAGTCTTTGGTTATGTGAAGGTAATAAAGCGTGAGAAGAGGAGACTTTTAACTCACTTTCGAAGCATTTTGTTATCATTGTCTGGGGTTATGTCAATTCCTTAAGATTGGTTATTAATATGTGCCCCAACCAGGAAAAATCTTCACTTCAAGTTCTCGTTATTATAATAACCACCTCAACCACTCCAAAATTATTGCATGATACTCATAAAATAGGTTTTAGTTTCACAATATGAAAAGAATTTAATTTATATATGCTAACAAATTTAAAGACTTTTTTTATATATTCACATCAGTATTCAATTATAAATTCTCATATCAATAAAAATTATTAATTTCCATATTAATTAAAAATATAATTTATAATATATTCTAATTGATTAATAGTATAAAAATCTTTATACTTATAATGGACTAAAATTAAACTCATTATAAAATTAAGTGATACACACTTAATTCTTTAAAAGTGTGTTTTAGAGTTGGATTTTAAAGAAAACGAACAATTTTTAATAAATAGTTGTTAATTTAGTATTTTTTAAAGAAAATAAAAAAATATATTTTTTGAAAAATATTGTAAAAAACAGCATGCACTGCTAAAAATTATGCTATTTTTGGTATTATTTTAGTAATACGTATGCTATGTTTGAATAAGATAAAATGATATTTGATTATATTATTTGAATTGTTTAAGATAAAAGAAGAAGAAGAAGAAGAGAGGATAAAATGTATTTCATCTAGTACTACTCTTTTTCTCTTCTTTTTATTTGGAAAAATGGGATGGAATTACTATTATAATTTTGCAAATTTATTATAAAACATTCAAATTTGAATTGACAATTTGTTTCATTTCATTTTATCGTCTTATTCTTTTCCATTTCGCTCAACCTTGATATTAAGAAGTGGCAATTAACGTTAGCCAAAGGCAGCAACCACCAACCTAAACTCTGTCCTTTGTACACGAAAGGTAGTTGTAAGTTTAAGGACGATTCTAGGAGGAAAATTATACTTGGATACTCTCTTTTGTGACATGACACTAGTTAAAAAAAAAAAATTTCATGAGTTGAAAATGACTTTTAATATTAGTGAATGAATTAATATAAATATAGATAATATTATACGAAAAATTATTTTATATCAATTAACCACTCAATGTAAAAAATATATACATAATTTTTAAATCAACCAATATAAAAAATATTATTCATATTATTTATTAACAGTGTGACTGTACTTATAGTTTAAGTGTCAATATTTATTAATATCAATAATATTAGTGTTCTTCTTTTTATAAGTTAATATTTATTTAGTATTTAATTTTTGTTAAATTTGTAAATAAAAAATATAGTGTTCATTGTCAATATTTATTAATATATAATATTTATCGTTAATATTTATCAGTGTTCTTTGTCAATCTTATTCCGTATGTAATATTTGTTATAAATTTTTGTTAAGTCTATTAATAAAAAATATATAATATTCGTTCATCAATAAAGAAGAAAACACGTAATGAAACGAAATAAAATCATTAATTTATGAGATAAGAATTTATATTCGTTAATAGTATAAAAAAATAATAAAACAAAAATTCTAATAGAAACTTGATAATATAAGTAAAAAAATTTGTTCGTCAACTCTAATTTATATTATTTCATTAACACACACTTATAAAATATTTTATTTTGAATTAATTTTACATTATTTTTAGTATTAATCAATGTAGAAAGTATTTCTTTAATTTATATGTACAATTCATTTTGTGTTATGACCGAATGTTTCACTTTATATTACTTTATTTTTTAATATTAATTTTTATTTCTTTTATTTCATATAAACAAATTTTTTTTAAAAAAAATAGTAATTATAATGATAATGATAATAAAAAAATAATAGTATTAATAGACGTGAGTGAAAATAGAAGAAAAAAAAGTAAATAATAGTATAATAAATGATGAAATTTACATAAGTAGCAATAATAATAATAATGATGATATGAAAGTGAAGATAAAAATAATAGTAGTAATAATAATAATGACAGTATTAATAAAATTAACTGTTACAATTATAATAACAATGGTAAAGATAATAAGGTTAATAGATTTTGTAATAATATTAATGATAACCTTAATAGAAACAAAATCTAATGAACAATTAAATAGTATACACTTAAAAGATGATGTTGTGAAATGTAAGAAAACAAATTAAAAATTAAGAAAAAATAATTTTAGTTATATTATAATTTCATAAAATTGAATCTTAAAATTATAATCTTAATTCTAAAAACATTTTCAAGTATCTTAATTGAAGTTTTATGGCCCAATTTCAATTATAAATTTTAATTTCCTGTCTACTTTTGTAAATCAAATAGATATTTATATTTTAATCATTTTTTGTGAAAAAAAAGTAATTATTACTTGGGTTTCACTTTTAAATTATAAATTTTGCAAAAATAAAGACTAAATCAAGTAAAAATATTTTATAATAATTGAAAAGGAAATAAAAATATATATAAAAAGGTTGGAATAATTTATTTCATTGTTGGAGAGGAAGGTAGGAATAGATAAAGGAAACAAAAGTTGACCATTTAGCCAATAAGAGATAGGCACATTCAAATAAAGAAAATAATTATTTCCCTTTTTCTCTATTTTCGACATATATAAGGAAAGCTATTATCTTCGGCCACGTGGGCCTCTTTCTTTCTCTGCTTTCCCGACTCTAGGGATCGGCTGGCGCAGGCCATTTTTCTTTTTATTTGCATATATCTTTTAGTTTATTCGAGTTTTATTTTTTTAATTTAATTTCTATGGTTTACAGTGAATTAGATCAACTTTTTAATTTATTATTGTAAGTCTTATGTCTAAGTCTTTTTTTAATTATTTCACAGTATAAAATTTTATATATTAAAATTAATATATAGGAATGCGTGGAAAAATCTTTTGATTTTTTAGAATTATGAAAATAAATTATTTTTTAGGTACAGTGAAAATAAATTGTCTGAATCACGATATCATTTCTTTAGATATACCATGTCAAAATTTAATTTAAATTAAGAATAACTAAAACTATAATATTTGTTTTTAATTCTTAAAATGAATAATTTTATTTAAAAATAAAGTTTGAAATTAATAGAAGAATAAAATGTTAAGAAGGTAGTTAATGGTGAATCAAGTTTAGGCAACAAAAGAAAAAAGAAAGGAAATAAATTATATGAAAAAATAAGATGGGAATGGCAACAGTTGAAGATGGAAACTGCCGTTTAAAAGTGAAAGAGTCCATTAATAGAATAAAAGTGTTAACAAATTCTAAGCTCACATAGTGCTCTCTTACTCTCTGCCTGCGCCAAGTGATCAATTCAAATCCACAATTAAAGGGGTTATAGTTTTGCTACTGCGGTTTTCCATGTTTTGATATACTAAGTAATTAACTATACAAACTATGAGATACTTCTTCTATTGATTTTTTTTATAAAAATTAAGAAAATTAATAGTATTACTCATATTCACATTGAAAAGTTTATAATGAAACTCAATTATGCTATTTTATAGAATCCTTAATTATGTCATACCTTAAAGTGTAGTATTTAGACATGATTAAACATTTTAATTATTGTTTAACCATGATGAGAATTAATATATTTGTCTATTAAAAGCAAATAGCTGAAATTCTGCTTTCTTTTGACCTTATAGTGATATGCTTACGCCTCTTAATTATAAAAGTGGAATTGGGTCCAAGAAGATGGTGCCACATTCCATGTAAAATGTCAAACTCTTCCTTTCTTGGGAACTTTTTAGGTATGATCTAGTCCCTCTATTCTCCACCCTCATTGGCATAGAGTGAATCCTTTGCCCACTAACAATATAAATATCGACCATTCATTTTAAACCAATGTCAAAGCTTCCAAATAGAGCACTAATGTTCCAATATCGGGTCTAGTTGGTTGTTGAAGAGGATACGGAAAATAAGAAAATGACCTTTTCTTTAATTACAATCTCTTTTGGGATCTATGCATCACATATATAATTTGGCCTTCATTCACAATCTCTCTGCCCAATCATCTCTAACACATGAAAATTCAATTGCATTGGCTGTTCAAGATAAAATAATCCCTCAGCTATTATTATTATTATTATTATTATTAGGCATTTGCCATGGACTTTTCTAAATATATTGATTAAAACAAAAAATATAAAAAAATTATGATATGTTTTATATCTTATAAATTTAAAAGATTGATTTTTTTATGTAGATACAAGGATTATTTGATATAATTTTTTTTTTTCTGAATAATGGCCTTTGAGCATTAATTAACTAGAATAGTTTAATAATTATATTAACATATATCTTGTGAACATACTAATGGGGATTCATTTCTTGATTGCAAAGAAAAATATATATATTAAGAGGGGTAAAGTCCATTTCAACAATTTCTATGCTTCAAAGGGACAATTGTCTAGATAATATCCTTGGTATGTTAAAAGAAATATATATATATCTTATGTTATATATGAATAAAATTCTATTTTTTTTTATAAATTTACTCGATCAGTTTAAACAAGTAAGAAATGGTTAATTTTTCAATTTATTTTTGTATTTTATATTTTATTAATAAAATAACAAGAAATATTTTGAATGATTTTGAAGAAATAATTCAATCAAATAAAGTTAGATTTTCTTGGGATTCTTCTTCATCTAAGGCTACTAGTTTGTAAATATTAAATGAGATGTCCAAGTACTTTAGGTTAAATAGAGTAGAACCATGGTAGATTATTCCTCCAAATATTTTCAGTATAAATAGAAAATATTTATTTTTAATGTTATCTATACAAATTTTTGGTTTATGTTAGAATATATTATTAATAAACAGTATTTAAGACAAGAGAGGAGGGGAGGCTAGGGTGGTTAGAATTATTGCATGAAGCATTCCGATGTGGCTTCTGACGCTAAATCCACTTTGAGGAACCGAAGCTTCCTCCATAACCTTGGAGTTTGGAAGATGAACAAATTTCTCAACTATGGTGGACAATGGGATGGGACCCAACACCCCATCTTCACCTCTCACATTTTACATTAATTTCCCTCTCCACCATACTCTTACTTTTTTGCTCTCTGACGCCAACCCCACCCAATCACGCCCTCTGTCAAAACCCAAATCAGTGAACTTGCATTCTGCATATGCCATATGCATGCATAAATCATCCTATTCCTACTTCTCTCCCTATAAATAGCTAAGCAAGCTTTATTTTGCCATCAAATCTTAATGCTCAATATCGTTATTTTGTCAACCCTTCCTTCCAATAATCTTTGCTTTTTCTTTTAATCACTGTCTCCTTTCTTTTAACGCAGGTGTGGCTAACATTTCGCCAGGCACATCCATTCTATTTCCACCTTTGTCAAGTCAATTTTTCAGTTCTAATGCAACCAATTAACATTACATTGTCTATCAGTTTGCTTTCTTCCTCCCTTCATTCATGACAGACTTGACAGTTGCTAACTTGATGTTGAATATTGATAGAAAGGTACTAATAAAATTTATTGTTATTATGTCAAATACCAAATAAATTTACAATTTTGTCAGTTAAGAGATTGATAAATTACTTTTATTAAAAATAATAATTATATTTTTTATAAAAAATATACACAATAATTAATATTGTGTATCATCTAAGTTTGTAAACGATAATCATTTTATTTTTTTATATATATATTTTGTACTAAACTAGCTAAGGTGACAGAGAAACTTTTCATTCCAAAAGTACATAAAAATTGTAAGGAATGTAAAATGTAATGGAGAATATTTTTTTATTATTGGGAGTGGGAGGGACACCTTAGATGGTTCTTTTATATTTGAGTTATATTTAAAAATGTGTATGATTAAAAAAAATAATATATATGTAATGAAAAGTATATAATATATTATGATATAGCAGATGTGGATTATGATTTGAAATATCCTTCCAATTAAAACACTTGCAAAGGAAAAAAGCAAAACTACATTATGGGACAAACCAACGAAAGTTTATCAATGCGGATACCACCCAAAATTAGTGGGAATAATTTTAAGTTATCATTTAAACGTTATTTTTTTTATAAGTTTGGGCCTTATTTTCCCCATGTAAAGTAAAAGATATTGTCACACGCACTTGTCCCACTATCCAAAATTTGGAGCTCCGTCAGTCATGGCATCTATGTATATATTATACCTTGCACTTCTCATCACCTTCACTTAATGTTGGAATACTGACCTCTGTTCTAGATCTATAGCAAGTGAATCCCCTGTCCCCAACATCAAAGAATCTAATTTTCTTTCTTCAAGATATGATGATGTTGGGTGACTTGACATATCACATATGGCATATATTCTCTTTCTGAAAAATAATGTTACACATCAAAATTTATATATAGATTTTATGTAAGTAGACCTATTATGAAAATGATATTATATAATAACAACTAAAGCGAATCAAGTAATATTAAACGCAAGACTATTAATAAAAGCAAGTTTTTAAAAATTGAACGATAAATTATTAGGAGCTACTGTTAAAAAAATCTTACATATAGTTTTTGGTCCTCTGAAGAGCCGTGTTAATCTTATATATAGGTATAAGGGGAAGAAGCACGCGTGAGGAAAGAGTATGGCACAAAGAGTGGTAGAGGTGTTGGTGTTGGTGTTGTTATTGATGGGAACAGGACCAATGTTTCCGAAGACAGAGGCAATGAGCAGAAAAGGTCATAAAGGGAATAAGGAAGAGTCCTCAAGTGGTGATGGGGATGGAAGCTTTTGCTTGAGTTGGAGATTGGCTGTGGAGGCAAACAATGTTGTTGCATGGCCAACAGTGCCACCTCAGTGTTCTCGATATGTTGAGACTTACATGATCGATGGTCAGTACGACCGTGACTTGGAATTGATAGTTCAAGAAATCTTGGCTTATGTCAACGACACATTCCTCGTTGGAGATGCCATGGATGCTTGGATTTTGGATGTCGATGACACTTGCCTCTCCAACATCTATTATTACAAAGGCAAGAAATATGGGTATGTATATATCAGTTCCTCTCTCATTAATCAATATATCAGTTCCTCTTGCTGAAAATTAGTTTATCAACTTATTTCCCTCACTCCCTCTTAATTGATTCTTCACTTTTTTAACCCATCTTCACTTCATCGTCTATTTATAATGATAATACAGGTGTGATCCGTATGACCCATACGGGTTTAGGGCATGGGCGATCAAGGGAGGGTGCCCAGCAATTCCTTCGGTGCTAAAGTTGTTTAATGAATTAGTGGATAAAGGATTTAAAGTGTTTTTACTTACTGGAAGAGATGAACAGAGTCTTGGTGAAGTTACCAAGAACAACTTGCACAATCAAGGATTCATAGGCTATGAACGCCTTATTTTGAGGTAAGAAGTTGTGCCTTTTTTGTAATTTGTGACAAGTATGTATAAGCTGATGTTGATAAAATTGGCAGGGGTGTGGAGTACAAAGGGAAAAGTGCAGTGAAATATAAATCGGATGTGCGAAAGCAATTACAAGAGGAAGGATACAGGATCTGGGGGAACGTGGGAGACCAGTGGAGTGACCTGCAAGGAGACTATTTAGGGAACCGTACTTTCAAGCTTCCTAATCCCATGTACTTCGTTCCCTGACCACATGACCAATTAATATATGTAATTTAAATGTATAATCCACCGTATCCAATCCATGTCTTGTCCTTCGCTGCAAAGCCAATTTCTCTCTTAAGTTGTTATTTATTCAAAATTAAAAGGTTTAAGAATCAAACTTCGTATTTATTGATCTAAAGACGTACATTATTTTTTATTAAAAATATTATTTAATATATTGAATTATGTGATACTTTTTATTTTTAACAAGAATATTGGGTACATTTAATCATACATTAAAAAAATCAAGTAAATTATCAACAAAATTAAATGTAATATATAATTAAAAAAAGTATTTATAATACTTTATAACTTCAATATAATTTTAGCGTATTCAAAAAATTATTGACAATTACACAAATTCATTGTAAACTATTACAATTTTTTACATTAGGAATAAAGATAGAAACTTATAGCTTAATCTTTTTAAAGTTTAATTTGTCTAGACTTTTTTAAATAATAGATTTAATTTAAATTTTTTTAAAAATTTACTTAATTAAAAATGTTAAACTTTAGCTTAAAAAAATATATTAGACTTAATATAATGACTTATTTAAGATCCATAAAATTTATAATAATATATTAAATAATTTTATATTAAATAAACTAAAGTTTAAAATAAATAAAATCTTAAATTAAAAATTGTAGTATTTTTTATTAGAGTTGAAAAATGTCTCTACTATGTATCCTCTAATAAGAAGATAATATTATTTCTATCAAGTTATTATTGTTTAATTTGTTCTGTGCACACAATGCTTATATGCATTTGTATTTGTTAAGTATTTAATAATTTATTTATTTAAATTAAATATGTAGTTTAAAAGTGATAAATATAAACATGTAAATTTATTATAAATATTAAAAATGTAAAACTATTTTTTATGACTTATTTATATATAAATTTTATAATCTTTATAGAGACATATTGTTTAAATTATTTAATAGCTTATTTATAAATAATTTAATGGCCTGTTAAAAAGTAATTAGTCATATTAGTCTGAATTGAAATATATATTTTTTATTTTTAAAATGTAAAATATGTCTAAATCATCTAAAATTTAATTTTGGAAAGTTGTTTATCTTAGTTAGGATTTCAAGACTTGAAATTAGGGTTTAGTTGATGAAAATTAGGTTTTGGTATAGTTACATGCTTAGTTGACCAAGCTAGGCTGTATTTTCTTCTAATTTATTTAAAAAGTAAAGTAAGGCTAGTTCTCACTCACACACTATGGCATACAAAAAAAATTAATGGACAAATAAACTAAAAATGAGTTGAAATTGGGGATATTACTGCAGGTCAACTCTTAACCATCATACCCACAAGCACATACCATTTTAATACATTATGATTTATATTTTGTGAGTTTGAGTTATGTTGGCACTCTTCATGGAAAATTGGGTAGATTGAATGCAAATTCATGAGGAAACATTTGTTAAAAAAAGAAAATTTCTTTTATGCTTTCTCACACTTTAATCAATTATATTAATAAATAATAAAATTAAGAGTTAATTTTTAAATATATAATATCCTTTATTAAAAAAATTAACCGGGTCGGGTGGGGCATAAGTTTCCCGAACTGAACGCGACCCGTTATTAACTTATTACATATAATTTTACCATTTCCCTTTTCGTTCCTTTTTCTCACTGTGTTTTGATTTGCTTTGCCTTCACATCTAACGTCGCGTTGCAGGTAACATTTTTCTTGCAAGACATTCGTTTATGATGCTTTAACCTTCTAAATCTTCTTCATTCGTCCATTTCTTAGCGTAGTTTCTTCAATTTACAATCCCAAATTGACAAAATAAATTTTAGGAGCTAGAACGATTAACAATTTGAATTTTGAGTGTTTATTTTTACTATGAGGTGAACGATTAAATTAATTATTGAAATGCGTAATGCACTGTTGTTAATTCCATTCAGTGGCTGGTGCTCTGACTACCTCTTTCGTCAGGTTTTTCCCCGATGCTCAAGCGTTTGCTCATAAACTGTTCGATTAAATGTGTTACCATGTTTTTCAGAGACGTATTCACTGTTTCTTGCTATGAGTTTATATATATATATATATATATATATATACAGTTTTATGGATATTTGCTGGTTGTATGGCACTGTAACATATGCCCACTGTTGTTAGTTGTTGCTCTGGTCATTAGTCAATTTAACATAGTCCATTCTTTTTTTTCCCTTTCAATTTGTATGTACAACCCAGTTATCATGAAATCTGAATGCATGTGGGTTTATTTGATTCAAATAAAATTTCTTTCCTTACCTATTTACTATTTAGATTGCAGTACCAACATTCTCTGTACTCTCCTATGTTGCAAATGCAGTCACTGTCTTTGAACATGCAATATGGAAAACATGCCTACTTTTCTATGAAGTGTCCTTCACTATACATATTGCATATATTTCTTTTGAGTCAATGTGGATTCTAAGAGATAGCTTGGCTCTTTCAATATCTTCCCCAATGAAAATGGGATTAATGTGAGAGATTATCATGAGCAAATTGACACCTTCTCCCTCCATATATGGCAGATTCATTCTGGTTAATTTTGTCATCAATGCCACTCTGTCTAGGTTCTCAAATTTGTGTCTTGAAGTCCTTCTTAAATCTACAGACATGTGCATGGTCTCTAAGCTTCTTTTTTTTCTTTCTTAAGAAGAAACTATACTATAAAAGGGATGAAAGATTAACTAACTATTACTTGCTACCAGTTGCTATTTCTAGTAACCATTCAACAATATTCACCATTGGCATATAGCTGCAACCTGTTTTAGTCATTGCTTGTTTTCTTACCTCTATGCCAAGGCTTGCTCACTCACACTGGACTGTAACTTGTTTTAAATTGCCGAATTGACTTTCAATTACTAAAATCTAGTTCTGATACCATGAATTTTGTTGAAACTTGTTTAGATACTGAGTTAGTAAATATACTATTTTATGGATATGATTCTTTAGGCTATTGTGCATCCTCAACATTTTTTCTTCACTGGGACCTATGTGTTCTACGGACACTACTTTGAAAGGGATTTTGTTTTTTTTATCACTCATAAGTGGGCTCAACCACCAGAATGTGGTTGAGTGGTTCTTGTTCTGGCAATTTGTGATTATCTTCTACTCATGTGATTTGATTCATTACAGGTCAGATTTGAATTTTGTTTTCTTGGTTTTATATTTTGTATGGTAATACGCCTAATGAAAACTGACTTTTGGACCTATTTCCCTAATATCTCAAATGTAATTATCAAGTATTGACAATAGGGAATTTAGTAGTTATTCATTCTCAACCAAACATGTTCACACTTCACACTAAAGCCTAATGTTGTTTTAATTTCTGTTTTCCTTTTGGGTCATGCTCTCTTAAGTTTTTTGGTGTTGAACCTGCTCCCACTTAAGTGCTGGTTTGTAAAACTCAATAATGGAAACAAAATTGACCCTGCATGTCAAGGATTTCCTGGATATTTGTGCTAGGGTATTCATATTTCTGGTTTTATCTGAAGATCTGTACTGGAACTTCTGGCCTGAACCCAAAAAGGTTATAGACATTTGACATATTCTTTGACTTATAACAAGCCTCTTTCTAACACTACGACAAATTTGATACATGTACATAATTTTGAAAGAGGAAATGTTTCTCTTATTTAGTATTGTTGTTTGATGATATCCGTGGAGTGTAATTGTTGCAGAGTCATATGGTACATTTTTTATGATGTTCTAGACTGCTATTTCATGGGCACTCTCAATTGTGCTGAATTTTAAATTATTAATGATAATTATTGATCTATAGTATCTCTGACTCTGACAGCTGCCTTAGGTTAAGTTTATGGAAAACATCATCTCCAGTCGTAGTTCACTTAATTGTTTGAGTCACTCACTGATGCACTCCATAATGTTGGTGCTCAGTTTTGTTAGTGGAACTTAATCTCTTTCTTTTTGTTGCTAAGCTTTCCATAATGTTGTGTATAGGTTGTCTCTCTCAACCCTCATTCCCAAACCCTACTCTCTTTGCATCTCCACTCATTCTCTTCGTTGGGTCCTTCTAACTTCACCATCTCTCACTCCTCTCTATTCATTTCCTCAGAACCGTATCAGGTTCACTTTGCTGTTCGCTTTTCATTTCTAGGAATCTAGGTATCCTCTTTCATTTTCACCCAATACCTGAATATTTCTGCATATTGAAATTTTAAGACAATTACATGTTACAGGTTTAACAATTAAGATTCAATGTTAGAATTCTCAATGTTGTGTGTCATGTGATCACATCCCTCATTATTATCTAATCCTTGATTGTTATCTAACAGAAAGCAGTGGCTAGTTTTGAAATATAGCATTGAATGCAATTGATGTATCGTGTAATTAGAATTTCAATTAAGTTATGGGTGAGGTTTTAGAGCCATTACAAAGGTTGATATTCTTTATGAATGATTAGAATGAAGCAATCAAAGGATCCTTTTGAAGCAGCATTTGAGGAATCGCCACCTGAATCCCCAGCCGAGACTGAGATAGAGGCACCAAACCCCAGTTCTGTTGTTGTGCTTCCACAACCCACTCAGGAAGAAGATGTTAATGTGAAGAAGGTGAGTACGGGCAAGAATAAAGAGGAGGAAGATGAGGAGGAGGAGGACAACATGGATGTTGAACTCGCCAAGTTTCCTTCTGCTGGTGACCCTCATAAAATGGCCAAGATGCAGTAACTTCTTCAATTCAACAAACACTTTTTCTTAATTTCATCTCATAAACAATTACTCTTTACCAATTCTCCTTCTTTTTCAGGGCTATTTTGTCACAATTCACTGAAGAACAGATGAGTAGATATGAGTCCTTTCGGAGGGCTGGATTTCAGAAAGCTAACATGAAAAGGGTAATTTTTTTTTTTCCTATTATGTTTTTTTTTGTTAATCTCATGGTGTGTCTTTGTCTGCAACATGTCACTAAGGTATGTACAACACGTACAATTAACGTGGTTTCTAATTTATGCTTTAACGCATTGACTAGCTGAAGGAGTGGGGTTTAATTAAGGTTCATTGGGTAAGTTTGAGAGTAAGGCTGATTTGGAGTCATGGATGGGATTGAATGGCCAGATTGGTGGCTGCTTGAGTGCCCTCAACAGTAATTCTGAAATCAGAATTTGGGGTTTGTTGATTTTGGGAGGAAATTGATAAAAAGAATAACTATTGTTTTTTTGGATTGGTGAAATTTTAATAATGTCTTCTGATGAAATTATATATCTTGGGAGTTACTAGGTATAGATAAAATATGATGGCAGGGGAGAAGAACCAAACCTAACCATCCCGTATAGGGTTTGATTGCATCGAACAGTCAAAAGAGATCAGTATGTTTCCATAATTCATGAAATTGATAATCTATCAAAATTACAGCCTTACAGAATACAATGGTTTAAGTAACCCTCCTACCCCATACTAGTTATCCTGCAAGGATTGAGACTCTCTACTGCTGCTAAATCCATATATGACTATGAGAAACTTGGACATTAGGGCCAAAACCCAGTAATGCCCAAAACAAACATAAAGGCAAGCCTGGATACATCCCTTTACTAGAAAAACTAAAACAAATCTACTGTATGAATGACCTACAAACACTGGAAAGCCTAACAATAGTGATCTCGATACGTTGTGGTAATGAAGCAAAACAATCAGCCTCAAGATAAACAAAAATAAACCAAATGCCTAAAGGCCTGTTGTGGGTAGTTGGCATTGATCAATTACTCTGCAGAATATGAAACAAACATAGCATAAGGTGATTTATCTTTAAGTTTGTTTTCTTGATGCCACTGCTAACTACATGAGCTGGCTTTTCAGTTTAGTATTCTGTTGTATTTCTTCCAAACTGATTGAGGAAAAATTAGTTCTAATATCATCAGGACTCCTAAATGATTAAACTATACCACCATAGACACAGTATACTGTCAAACAGTCAAATTGGACTTCATTCAACGCTGAGCTGCTTTAGCTAACCTTTGCATTTTCTCCTTGGTCATTATCCAAGATTGATTTGTCACCTTGGTTTCTGCATTATTGCTACTATTGGACTCGTGTACTTCTATGGTGGTTTTCAGATTGTCATTTTTGCATTTACAAGATTTTTCTGAAGTTTTCTCCTCTTCTCTCTTGATGGCATGAAAGCAGTTATTAGCTAGCATCACTGGGACCCAGAAAATTTCTGTGCCAATGACGATTGTTGTATCAGGAATTGCTAAAATGTTTGTTGGTGAAGTTGTTGAAACAGGTATGGCTAGTTTTCCTTTACAAGCATGAGCTACTTCCTTCTAAAATCATTGGAAAATTGCTCAACTATTTCTATTATGTAATGTTTAAAAGATTAAAATGTTGCAGTGCATTAGTCTCACTATATGTATAATTCCATTTATTTCCATTAATCGTAGGTACTATTTTTTGCAGCTAGAATAGTTATGAAAGAGAGGAAGGAATCTGGACCAATCCGACCTTGTCATCTGAGAGAAGCATATAGACGATTGAAGCTTGAAGGAAAAGTTTTTCAGAGATCAGCCTCAAGACTCTTCCGGTAGATGGACCAAATATAAATATTGTGCATAATATCACTGGTTAGCAATTGTTGCTAGCAGGAAGGTTAAATTCTGTAGTCAGTGCCTTCTAGTTATTGCATCTTGGTATCCAGTTTACTGGAACGGGTGAATTAATATTAGGTGGTAAGTTGGGAATAGTTTCCCTTTTGTAATGTGGTATGGATACATGTATAGGAACCAACATCTTTTCTTTTTACGTTGAGAAGAAAATGTAGTTATGAAGACTGGCGCAGGTGGACGTGATCACATCCTTATTGGATTACTGTGTGAAACACATTCCTCTTGTCTCTCATGATTTTCTTGTTAGTTCCTCAAGTCAATTGTCAATATCAGCACCAAAAATTATAGTCAAAATGAATCTATCCAAGTGTCAAACTTAATGATTTCGTCCTTGAATAAACAAACCATCATGCTTGCTAGCATACATGTGATGTGAATACCATGCCATGCCTCTGGTAACTTTTCTATTAAATCGGTATAGTATGCCCTATCCAATAAAGTTCCATTCAATCCCAAATATGCCTCCAAATAATAAATTACGTTTCCAGGTTAGACCTTGAAACTCAGCTATGTAGTGCACTTGTCATCCTTTTTTGATCGAAGAAAGAAATCTCAATTACATTTTACCAATTGTATCAAATATGAAGTTATTCAATGGGCTAAAATATTAGAACTTGCCATGGGCAAATGCCTCTGCATTATAATATATGGCCTTTTGCAACATTATCAATAATCCTACCAATTCCTAGCAGTACTTAATTTAAGTTACGACAGGAAAATCGACCAGATGTACTGGAAAAGTTGATGGACAAGAACCGTTCAAATTTTGGATAACATATGAACAAATCTTGCAGCTGAACTTTCCTTTTCTTCCTTTCCGCCTGTATGCATTAAACATTTCTTCCAATAAGGGGTATTTAGACTGAAACCATAGGGAAACTTATAGTTTACAAACCAAAAAAATCAATTCAAACAAAGCACTGATATTTTGTTAAGAATTAAGAAAATTACCCTACCCTCTCTAATACCTAAAACAACAAACAGCTCCAGACAAGGTTGATTCATGCTATCATATTATTAATCTTAAAAAGCAAAGTACAAATGCTAAACCAGGGAATGATAATACTACATGCAGGCTTTCACTAGAAACTACTCTGAACCAAAAGATAACAACATTGTTGAAAACTCATTGACCTTATTATACAACTACTAGAAAGATTATATGTTTCCCTTGTGGACAATATTCATAAGGTTCTAAAAGAACGTTATTAGAAATCCCACCCAACATTTAATTGCATTCTTAAGAGTACATGTAAATTTTTTGCCAATTAAAGGGTGTCTTCTTCCATGTTAAACAAGATGAAACCCAAAATATGAAATTAATTCAGAATAACTAGTCATTTTCTAACCATAATCCATTTTTCACACAATCAACAAGTACAAGGAAATTGTCTCCAATTTCATTTCCAAATCACTTTTCTCAGAACATGATTAAATTAAAAAGAGTTGTCATTTCTAAATCACTTCCCTAAAAATGCGCGAGACATTGTGTGGCATAGAACGGATACAGATCCATTGTAGTTGATGCGAGAACTAGACGTCCGGTTGGTCATGTTTGCTTAAGTCATTTTGACAAGGCTTAAGCGATTTTTATAATTTTTGTTTAAGCCCATATGCATTAGCTTAAGTGAATGAAGGCTTAAGTAATACATGCATAGAACGAGACAATGAACTAAAGCGAGTGTCTGATGCACTTAAGCTAAAATGTAAGCACTTAAGCAAAAAATAACAGAGAGCATACATTCCAATATTACAAACTGGCTTAAGCATGCTTGATTTGGCTTAAGCTAGTGAGTTGTGAGCTTAAGTGCACATTTGTAAGGCTTAAGCGAGTAAATGATAAGCTTAAGCAATACCTTAATGGCTTAAGCCTAAAAAAACAGAGAGCACACTTCTCAGAATTACAAAATGGCTTAAGCATGTATGGTTTGCCTTAAGTGAGTGAGTTATGGGTTTAAGCGCATATTATAAGGCTTAAGTGAGTAAATGATGAGCTTAAGCATGTACCTTAATGGTTTAAGTCTAAAAAAACAGAGAGCATACCTCCTAAGATTATACTATCGCTTAAGCGTTGTCGTTTTAGCTTAAGTGGATGAACTAATTGCTTAAGCAGATAAGCGTTAGCTTGAGCCGAAATTACATAAAAATAATACAAAAAAATACCTTTTTTGGATTGATAAACCGGCTTAAGCTGTTACAAAATGACTTAAGCGAACACATAATCGCTTAAGCGAATATTGTGAGCTTAAGCAAGTATTTGAGGCTCAAGCGAGTATGCAGGAAAATTGAAAAATAACAACTTAAATTGACAGATATGGATACACCACTTCTGAAAATAAAATACATTTGTCCTTTACATAATTATTTTTGACAAAAAGAAATAAAATGATTAAGATACAACAAGTTTTAATTTATAAGGTAATTTGTTGGGTTTATTTAGTAAACAAGCAAATAAATTATAAAAAAGAATCAAATTGAAAGGAATTTAGATATTTATAAATAAAGTGAAATTTCATAATTTAGCTGCAACAAACTAAATAGGTCTTTGAAACTTTACAATGTGAACTAACTCCAAACATAAACTAAAATCTAAACTTTAAAAAGGAAATATAGAAAAAAAAAAAAACAAAGTATTCATGCATCTTCTAAAGCAACATCATCACCATCTTCATGATCAGGTTGTGCTTCCCTTTCTTCTACTCCCCCTTCTCCTTCTCCTTCTCCCTTTTCTTCTACTTCTTCTCCTTGTGGTCCACTGTATTCATGATTTGCAATAGGTTCATTTGGAAGGAAGGTGTGTCTCCCAGCCATGACACTACAGCTGCAAAATCCTCTAGAGTTGGCCATGGAAATGTTGAAGTCTCTCCTGTATGCTGGTGTAATTCATTAAGGCTGGTGTAGGCTCGATAGTTTGCTGCCATCTAGTAGTATATGTGTGTATATGCCCAATTGTTGTCCTTCATTTATTACTGTATTTGATTCAAATGTTGTGTGATACGTCATTCCATGGGTGTCATTTTGGGGATGGATGGTGCTGCTGATGGTGGTGCTAATAAAGAAGGATCAGAAGCTAGATGTGGTTGTGGTTAGTTCAATGGGTTGATGCAATAGTTGTTTATGAATTGGGCATTTATAGGTTTTTTCGACTTGATGCTTGGTGTTGAATTGTTTGGTATCTCAACACCTTGGGCAACACATAAAGCAATAATTAATGCTGGGAAGCCCAAGGGATTTGTTGCAGATGCAGTAGGAGAGTTGGTGGACATAACAAGCTAGTGAATCTCCTTAGAGATCACAGTTGCAATGTTGATTGTGAGGTTCTCCATAATACTGAAGACGAGGTAGGCCCGAGGCATGCGGAGATCTGATGTGCGAGTGGTTGAAGCAATGTTTGCAAAGAGAATGACATCCATATTTGAGCCAATGTCTTCAAACTCCCTCTTTTGAATCTCATTGGCTTGCCTTGATAGTTAGTTTTATATGATTTGTTGGGAATGCATAAGGACCTTGCTACATCATCATCATTAAATCCTGTGGTTAAGCGCCTCCTCTACTGTTATTCGCACAACTGCCCTTCTTGTAAGGTGAGGGAGTTCTCCAGCAATGCATTGATAGCATCCTTATCATAGGAGATGAATGTCCTTCTAACCCAAGACTTCTCAGATTTGTCTGGGTGCAAGGGCCATGCATTGACATAAAACTCCTTTACTATGTCTTTATCAATTTTATTTGGTAGGTTAGCCAATATATTTCATTTTCTCTTTTGAACTTTTTCTGTAAATTCAGCAAATTGTCCCTTCTCCAAAATAATTTTCCTTTCAGGTAGAAATTCCCTTAGGTGTAATTCCAAATATCTTTAAAAATAGGCTCAATTGAAGAACATGTATCTGTCAAAGATGAGTTGCTGACTATGGCTAGGTTGTGTTGGAGGTTCATCATCCTGAGTTGCTCTTTGGTGTACATGTTGTGAAGCCTCTCTAACATTTGAACATTACTTCTTTCTCTAGGGAATTAATTTTTTAGGAGCCATATCTGCAAAGTAACAAATCTCAATACTCAAAAAAATGAAAAATACACATACAGAGAGATGCTTAAGCCACAATGACACGCTTAAGTGCAAAAAATTAACTTAAGTGAGTAATGCGCGCTTAAGCGTTTCTTTACAGAAACAAGCACCTCCACAGAAAGCTTGATCTCAACCTAAAAGTAAGCAAATTAATAATCCTAAACCCTAAAAATTTTAACCTAAACCCTTGAAACTCTTAATCTATAATAGTATTTCTATCCCCATTAACCATCTCTAACCTAAAAGTAAGAAGAACAACAATGTGGGTGCAAGAGTTTCTCATGTCATTCCTTTTAATCCTTATATTTGAAATATCCAAAAACTTTTTAAATCCCATATTAGATCTACTGAACCTTTCCCCATTGCAGCATTCCTCTCTATTATCAAAGCCACCTAAGAATTCCAAATTCGCTTAAGCGAGTATATCTCGCTTAAGCACAATTTTAAATGTTAGGAGGTAAATGGTTTTTTGGTCCCTTGCTTAAGCTGCTACAAGCTCGCTTAAGCCCTAACGTGCTTAAGCGAGAATCTTCACTTAAAAATTAGAATTTGCACTTAAGCGATCTATGTGCGCTTAAGTGAACTAGCATCGTTTTGGCGCGAATCCTTCATATGTGTGGTGTAAGCTTGAAGAAAAGCTTCATTTAAACCCTAAAATACTCTCTCTTAAAAAAATACATAATTGGTACAAATTAGAGACTTAAACAAAACAAGTTTTCATCAACATACACTAACTTGGAGCTTCATTGACATTGATAAAGGAAGTTTATTTCACCATGGAACCATCTCCATTGTCAAGTATCTTTTTTCATTTTAACATTTGTCTTTTCCATTTGCTATATCCTAAATGGAGGAATATGTGACAAGATCAACATGGGAATTTTTGTTTTTGTTTTTGGTAAAGGGCATGACTAAACACACTGTGGAATGGAAGCCAAAAGTTGGATTAGAGTTTAATAACGTAGAACAAGCATGAGATTTTTGGACTGAATATGGTAAGAAGATCGAATTTGGAGTTAGAAAGTAATATTTTAATAAGAGAAAGGAAGATGTTGCTATTACTTCTTCTAGATACGTTTGTTGTAAAGAAGGTCTTTGAAAAGGAAAGAAACAAGTTTGTCAAGTTGCTAAACATAGAGCTGAGACAAGAATAAGTTGTTCTGCGAGAATTGGAGTGTTTTTGGGGGAAGAATGGAAAGTTTATAATTCATGAGTTTGTAGAAGATTATAATCATCCCTTACAACTTGATAAGACAACTCACATGTTTGCTTCTCATTGTAAGATAAGTGAAGTTCAAGCTTATGAGATTGAAATGACTCAAGAATCTGGTTTGCAACAAAAGTCCTCATTTCAACTCTAAAGCACACTTGCAGGTAATAGATGTAATGTCGGATATATTCGGTTGGATGCAAAGAATCACTTGAAGGCAAGAAGACAAAGAAGCATGGTTTATGGAGAAGTTGATTGTGTGATGGAATATTTTCAGCAATAGTTGTTAGAGCATCCATCATTTTTTCATGTATACCAGATGAATTATGATGAACAAATTACAAATATATTTTGGACTAACACGAAGATGATTTTAGACTATGCATATTTTGGTAATCTAGTTTCTTTAGATACTACATATTGCACTAATCGTGCAAATAGACCTCTTACCTTGTTCACAGATTTTAACTATTACAAAACCACCCTCATTTATGGTGCAACTTTATTATATGAAACGATTGATTCGTTTAAATGATTGTTTGAAATATTTTTAGAAGCACATAATCACAAAAAATCATTAACTATGTTTACTGACCAAGATCAAGTCATGGCTAAGGCCCTTCTAGAAGTCATGCCAGAGACACATCATTCCTTGTGCACATGGCATTTAATGCAAAATGGGATCAAACACTTGAGTAATTTGATGAAGGGTGTAAGTCATTTTTAAGAGACTTCAAAAAATGCATGTATGACTTTGATACCATCACTGACTTTGAGAAAGCTTGGACTAAGATCGTTCAAGAGTATAATGTCCATGACAATAATTTGATGAACTCACCTTCTACCATAAAGGAAAAATAGGCATCATGTTATATGAAAGAAGTTGTCACCCAGGGATGCAGAGTACTCAACTCTCTGAAAGTTTAAATTCTGATTTCAAAGCTTCTATGAAACCTAGTGTTAGCATTAAACAATTCTTTCAATACTTTGAACATGTAGTTGAAGAGAAACGTTATGATGAACTAATTTATGAGTATGAGTCCCGACATAAGCTACTAATGTTGAGATACAAGATGTCTCCCATCTTGATACACATGGAAAAAAATTACACATATCCTATATTTACCCTTTTCCAATAAGAATTTACTTCATTCTTGGCATGTTGCATATCAGAGAGGATTAATCTCCTCCTATATTTAAATAAGTCATCACTATAGTCAATCAAGAGAAATCATGCAGAGTATCATTTGATAATGTCTCAAAATCAATTTTTTGCACTTGTAAAAAATTTGAAACATTTGGTATGATTTGTTCCCATGCATTGAAGGTATTTGAAGCAAATGATGTCAAGGTTATTCCTAAAAAATATATCCTTAAGAGATGGACAAAGGAAGGTCGTTCTGACATTATACACAATGTCACAGGAAGAGAGATTGAGGGGGATCCAAAAGTTGCTACCACACGATGATACAGACAATTTGCTTCTAAAATAATTAGACTTGCATCAAAGGTATCTAGTTCAGAAGAATACTCCACAATAGTGGATGAATGTTTACATGCTATGTGTCGTCAAATCTCACACCTTCGATTACAAACACAACATGTTGACAATCACACTGACAATGATGCATCTACGTCGATGATCAATGATGGTACAATCCCAAAAAGTTTCAAGCACCAGCCAAGCTTAAAAAGGAATACATATAAACAATTTAGAAGTTAGGTTGAACTACAAGGAAAAAGAAAAAGAAATAGGATAAAGAGAGGTCAATCACAAAACCAACTTGCTGAGGTACATATATCAATCAATTTACCAATACATTAATTTCAATTTTGGTTCCTTATTAACCATATGGTGTTTATTTGGTAAATATTTTAGGAATATGAACTCACTCCATCCGAACCTTGTGACATACATTGTTCAACACTTCCATCTTATCATCATCCTCAAGCTTTCAATAATCAATTCAATTTTACTACATTATTGACCGTAAGTTTATTAAATTTCAAAATGAAAATTTAATTCTTTATCTCACTTCGTTGTATAATTTTTTTTTATGGATTTGTTTTTTTTAGGAACCTTTGGATGACACAACTCATTCAATCCTTGATTAATAATTAAAAGTTGTTGTATCTTAATCATTTTATTTTCTTTTGTCAAAAACAATTATGTAAAGGACAAATGTATTTTGTTTTCAGATGTGGTGTATCCATGTCTGTCAATTTAAGTTATTATTTTTCAGTTTTCTTGCATACTCGCTTGAGTCCCCAAATATTCACTTAAGCTCACAATGTTTGCTTAAACTAACTCATTCTCGCTTAAGCGGTTATGTGTTCGCTTAAGCTAGTTTATCACTCTAAAAGAGCATTTTCTCTGCATTATTTTTATGCAATTTTGGCTCAAGCTAAAGCTTATTCGCTTAAGTTAAAATGACAACGCTTAAGCGATAGTGTAATCCTAGCAGACGTGCTTTCTGTTTTTTTAGGCTTAAGCCATTAAGGTACGCGCTTACGCTCATTATTTACTTGCTTAAGCCTTACAATGTGCACTTAAGCCCACAACTCACTTGTTTAAGCCAAACCATGCATGCTTAAGCTAGTTTGTAATCCTAGGAGGTGTGCTCTCTGTTTTTTTAGGCTTAAGCCATTAATGTATTGCTTAAACTCATCATTTACTCGCTTAATCCTTGCAAATGTGCACTTAAGCCCATAACTCACCAACTTAAGCCAAATCAAGCATGCTTAAGCCAGTTTATAATTCTGGGAGGTATGCTTGCTGTTATTTTTTGCTTAAGTAATTACATTTTAGCTTAAGCGTATCAGGCACTCACTTTAATTCATTGTCTTACTCTATGCATGTATTACTTACTTAAGCCTTCATTCGCTTAAGCTAATGCATATAAGTTGAAACGAAAATTGTAAAAATCACTTAAGCCTTGTCAAAATGGCTTAAGCGAACAAAGAACTAAACATCCCGTTCCCGTGTCAACTACGCTGGGTCCGTATCCGTTCTATACCACATAATGTCTGACGCATTTCTAAGGAAGTTGAACTTCAACACAGTATGTTAGATATATGAGAAACTCGATATATTATGCAAATTCAATGAGAAATTTGTAATAATTAAAGGGATTATTAGGCAATCTAATAATATTTAAAAGAATTAAGCCAAAAATAAAAATCATAGACTAAATATTGGTTATGAAAAATATTTTGTGAATGATTGACTTAGAAAATTATAAAAATAAACTAACTTGAAACATTATAAATTTTTAAGGAATGTTTTGACCTACATTCTCACAAAATTACTTTTATTTTACTTTAATATTATTATTTAAAAAGTTTAATGTTTGACTAAAATTAATTTCACTTTAAAATTAGCATTTATAAATTATAACTTTTACATTGTATTAAAAATTAAATTTTAAGTAAGAAAATTTCAAACATTAATTACGGTAATTTTTTTGTCATTTAATCACGTTAAATTTTTAAGATCTGTACAGTGAAAGTAGAAAAAAATATTGTTAGTATGAATCTAAAAGAGAGAGAGAGAGAGAGATGGAATGAAAAAAATAGAAATTATTTTTTGAAACCAGCCCTTATTTTAACGACAAAAAGGCAGCGTCAAGTTCTTGGGGGTTTTAGGAAAAGGGTTTTGAATGGAGCTTGATCGAGAGTGCATGCGAACAGACAAGAAATGTTTCCTCTTCTGCGGCAGAAATTAGCATTCATCGTCTACCATCGTTAGTCTTGCACATTGCTCATTGGATTCTTATTATTCCCCAAATAAAGGTGTAATCAGTGTACATCGTTATAATTCAATTGCCATATCAGCATTTTTACTTTGCTTTCTCAAATCATTATTGTTATCTGCATACTGTGATGACTCGGAACCTCACTTTTTAGTGCGAACTTGTTGAGAGGGAAAGTGCATTGGCATTGCTAAGTGTTTATTCTATTGAATGCAGAGAGAAAAATGGGATTCGCTGGAGCCCTAAGGAACATTATTCGCCCCCTCTCTCTCTCTGTCTCAGCATCAAGAACCTTAACATCACCAATCTCCACCAATGCTTCAATGCCACCATTTCGTCCTGCTTTTCCATCTCCTTGCAAATCTCCCCAATGGCTTCTTCCTCTTTGGAATCACTTCCACAGTTTGACTGACACTCGCTTCCCCAAGAGACCACCCTCTCATAAACCCCGTCGAAAGAGGGCCAGTTTGAAACCCCCTGGTGGATTCTTTTTCACCTTTCGTGCTTTCCCTTTTCAAATTCATCTCAAACTTTGTAACCTTTTTTCGTGGTTCAGGGCCTTATGCTTGGGTTCAATATACGCCTGGCCATCCCATACTTCCAAATAAGCCCAACGAAGGGAGTGTCAAGAGGAGGAACGAAAAGAAACGTATGAGGCAGCGACGTGCCTTTATATTGGTGCGTCCTCCCTTTATATTATTCACTGTGTTTTCTGTTTGTGTTTAAGAAAATGACAACCCTTTTTAATTTAATCATGTTCTGACAAAAGTGATTTGGAAATGAAACTGGAGAGAGACAATTTCCTTGTACTTGCTGATTGTGTGAAAAATAGATGATGGTCAGAAAATGACTAGTTATTCTGAATTAATTTCATGTTTTGGCAAAAAATTTACATATACTCTTAAGAATGCAATTAAATGTTGGGTGGGATTTCTAATAACGTTCTTTTAGAACCTTATGAAAATTGTCCACAAGGGAAACATATAATCTTTCTAGTAATTGTATAATAAGGTCAATGAGTTTTGAACAATGTTGTTATCTTTTGGTTCAGATAGTTTCCAGTGAAAGCTTGCATGTAGTATCATCATTCACTGGTTTAGCATTTGTAATTTGCTTTTTAAGATTAATAATATTATAGCATGAACCAACCTTGTCTGAAGCTTTTTGTTGTTTTAGGTATTAGGGAGGGTAGGGTAATTTTCTTAATTCTTAACAAAATACCAGTGCTTTGTTTGAATTGATTTTTTGTTTGTAAACTATAAGTTTCCCTATGGTTTCAGTCTAAATACCCCTCTTATTGGAAGAAATGTTTAATGCATACAGGCGGAAAGGAAGAAAAGGAAAGTTCAGCTGCAAGAGGCTAAACGGAAGAAAAATATATTGAGGGTGGAACGTAAAATGGCTGCAGTTGCAAGGGAAAGAGAGTGGGCAGAAAGACTGGCTGAGTTGCGGCAACTTGAGGAAGAGAATAAAAAATCTATGGCTTGAATTTGTTTGGGACCTCATCTACAATTGGTAATACCTGTTTTAAACTCTCTAAGCACTCGTATCTATGGCTGTTTCTTTTTTTTTCTTTTTCTGAAATTTGTCAAAACCCCTTCCTTGCTTGGATAGTAATTCTAAATGTTCACCGCCTTACCCTTGATCTAGAAACAAAAAAAAAAAAAAAAAAAAACAGAAAAGTAAACTGTCTTCTCTGTCACTAGATCACTGTGCATGTTACTAATTATAGCTGTCTATATTCATGGGAGACTGTTTGTAGTCACCCCAATTGTTGTTTTGGATCCTTTTGATAGAAGTCCAACATTAGGCTTGAAGGAGGGAAGCCCTCCACAGTGCCTGGTCCATACTAGAAGAAGGAAAGGAGAGGGTGAATGGGCAAAGACAAGGATAAACCATTAGGGAAAGTGGGGAATTATGAGGAATTTGTTGGGAAGAATCATGAGGCCACATTAGTAGAGGTGGTTTTGTTGTGATCAACAGCTATATAATAAGCTGGAGGGAGGTGGTATCCAGAATCTACTATTCTCTTTGGGTCGAGCTTGGGACAAGTCTGACTTGCGCAGGAGTCTCTCCTGTGACTTCTGTGTTTTTATTTCTGTTTTTCAAGTTCTGTTTAGATATCCATTGTGGAATTTCATTTGTTTGTAAGGATAAGCCCTTTTTATATTGTTAATAAATAACAGCAGCAGCTTTATCCCAATTCTACCACTATTGTTCTGCATGTCGAGCTTGTATCTTCCCTCATTATATCTCGTAAAAATTCCTATCTGGCTCATACCACATGCCTGATTTGTGGTGAGACGAGGTTTTCAATTGTTCTAGGGTATAATAAGGCATGTAAAGGGCAAAATTGCAACTGTTAGTGTGAGTGATGTAGCTTGCTAATTTACAAGGTTGGCCCAGGCCCTTCTGTGCTGCTTACCTTGGGTAATGTTGGCTGCGCTTGTTTCGTATAAAAGCAAATTAGATCTAATGTATGGACGATACGCAGTGTTGCCACTCTCCATAGCAGTTCACTGGCAGCAATCGCAAAAGAATCCTAGTGCTACCGAGTTTATTGGGCACTATACATGTTGGCCCCATTTTGTCAGATTTAGAACCTATGCTTGTATAAGTATAAGAAACGATTGGTTCTATAAATTGCCACATAATGCAACTCTAACGCCGGTTTTCTTTAGAAGATGGTATTTTATTTGAAAGAACAAGTTAATCAACCACCATTAATGACACTATGTCAACTAAAAATCGCATATCCGAATTACCAAAATGTTGATACCGAAAGGAAACTTGAGAATAATGTTAATTCACGAGAGACTAGTAAGTTCTTACGGTACAAGAAATAAAAGTTGCGCTACTTCTATGGCTCCCAAAGCTGCAATCCAAAAATGTTATGGAACTCAACCTATTGGCTTCAACACATACATTTTACAAGCATGTGGTTCAACAGTGGCAGTCAAATTTCCCACGAAGTGTCTTTCCAATGTCTTGTGCTGCATACGTCATATAATGCATTACAGCATCAGTGTCCAGTGAAACGTAATGAAAGAAAAAGATAGTGGACATGTCATGCTAAATTATTAAGGAAAATATTAACACTTAGAGCTGTTTTTAAACAACAAATAATAGTAATTTTTTTATGGAAAATGAATTTATTAAATTGAGGATATAAAGTGTAAAAACGTTTTTTAATTACTATTTTTATACGTTTAAAATCAACTATGTTAACAAAACTGAATCATTATACCTCCCAAGGGTCTCTTGCTTCAACAAGACTTGCAGGTGGAATGCCAATATCTTCCCATAAAGCAGTGATGGCCTTTCGACGACGACCTTTATTAAGTAGGACTACAGCAACCCTGGAATCTGTAAGAGGACCTGCCCAAACCTGATGAAAAATTGAAAACATTCCAATGATTATTTATTTTCCTTCTTATTCAACAATCTTTTATTCGTGGCATGAAGGAGCTTACCTCAAGAGCGCCTTCGTTCCTAACCTTTTTACCTTGTACACCAAGTGGATCTGAAATTGGAAAACAAATATATTAAAAACAACTTATAATGCATGCACAATAGATATGTTAAGCACTGCATCACCTTGGTCAACTGCAATAACCTCAGTATTTGATAATATCATTTTAGTCTCTTCAGTCATATTTCGAACATCACAGCCAATAAGAAGAGGAGCCTGAAATAACTCTGCTTGAGAAACTGAATACATAAAATATGCTTTCACATAACTAGAAGAAAATGAGATGAAGAGAATACCTTGGAAATGGCCCATAAACTGAAGTGAACAATATATTCAGATTTGTTCATCCCTCCATTTCCTATCTCTAGCATGTCAGGATCTATTGATTTTCATGTTTAGAGAGATAAACATCAAAAAGATATTCATTATCATTCAGACAAAGAAAGCTTAGTGAAATTCATACCATTCCAACCACCAGGTTTTGCAAAATCAGCATAAATTTCATTTACGTCTGCCTTTGAAAGCATACTGCCAAACAGAATATTTACGTTTAGTTTGTACGATATAAAGTATAAACCCAATTTTATCACAACTTAATATTAATAATAATAATTATTATTATTACTATACCTGTCCCATTTGTCTGTAATGTCATCAGATGTTCTCCAGCTATTTCCCACTGGATTACCCCATAATGCAGGGTGCATGTCTCCCCTAATGAACAAAGCACGTGTGATTGTTGAGTGAAAAATTTGAACACAATAAACATTGTAAGAACAAACAAAACTACCATTCACATAGTGAGAAGTAGATTGGACGGCCTGCTTTCATCAAAGCTTGAGTCATGATAGGGTATCTATACATAAACAAGAGGACAAGTAGTTGTCATTTTTAAGAATGAAAATGAAAGAGGAAAATAACCATTTGGTCATACAACTATTTTCTACTACCTAACAGTGGGCTTTATTCCATCATTGTCACAGTTGTCATACTTCAAGTAATCAACTCCCTGTAAATAAAGCAGCATAACCGTTTGTTAATAGCAGCTACAAAAAGGAATAAGCAGTGTTTCATATCATACCCACGATGCGAAAGTCTTAGCATCTTGCTCTTCATGACCAAGTGAACCGGGCATCTTTTTGCTACAAGTAAAATACCTGCAAATTTGCCACAAATAAACACAGTTTTACTTCTACATAAAGCAAAAAGTTTAAGGCGTTGACAAACAACATGTGGTTTGGCTAAAGTCTTGTACCCTGCATCTGAATAAATCCCAAGCTTAAGACCCTTCCCGTGAACATAATCTGCAAGAGCTTTTATTCCGGAAGCAAATTTTGTTTTGTGTGCTACCATATTACCCTGCCATTACCATATATAATATATGTTGTTTGGATCAAATGCTTTATAAATGAAATGATTTAATTATATGTTGTTAGCATCTATACAATTCATACCTCCCCATCACGAGCTATTTCACCCCAGCCATCATCTGCAAAAAATTATGGATCAAGGTTAATTGCAGTTCTTATGTCATTTTGCAAAGAAAAAGGAAGTGAAAAAAACAAAAATTTAAAGCAAAAACTAGCAAGAGTAGAAAGAGTTGTTTTTCATATACCTATGTTGACATAAACGTATCCAACCTTGGAAAGACCGCTAGAAACAAGTGCATCAGCTGCAAAACCATAATGAAAATTTTGCAATTAGACTTTAATGATGAATATATTGTCTTAACAACTCTCTTGATTCAATTCTCGTTCTATTAAAAAATGCAAAGGTTTATTTATTGATTGTAATACTTTTTATGCATCAGAAGTCAGCACTACTACTAATTAAATTTGCCAAAATTAATATAAAGTTTGGCATTGGACTATACTCCAAAATTTAAATGGTTTGTACGTATGCATGTCACATAAGTGTAGAAAATAATCATGAAATACCTGTTTCTCGGATAAGAGTTTCGTTTACGTCACTTCTAAAATGATTCCAGCTGTTCCACCTGCATGTCACATAAATGCATGAATGAAGCGTTATGGTGTTCATATCAGAGTATGAAAAATTGTCATTGATTTCCATCATAAATCACAAAGATTTTAAAGATTTTATGTGGCTACTGAATATAAAAGTAAAAAAGTATACAAACCAAGAAAAGCCGTGGCTGACACTGTTAATTTTCTTGATTCAATGAAAGGTGATATTGCATAAACACACACACACACACACATATATATATATATATATATATACAAATACATGTCATACCCCATTGGAGGAGTGGCACCAAGGCCATTGGCCAGAAGATTTCTCCTATTGTGCCTCTCATGATCGTTAAATAGCCTTGATGAAGCTGAAACATTGCAAAACATTAGCGCCATCACAAAAAACATCAACATTTTCATTCTCTCCATTAGTCTATGTAACATAACACACTGTTGAATTCTACTTTTGGCTTTTTATATACACTACTTTTCAAAATGAATCTCTACATCATGCATATAACTTTCAGTTGTCAAATTTCATTTTTCAAACAAACTCTTCCATCAAATTTTGTTAAAAAAAAGATTTGAATTTTAGTAGTTGAAAACAAGAACAGGAATCGTCGCTAACTGATGGCAACAGAAAATCTTTAAATCACAACAATAATTTTCTTTTCTTTTGCTATAATTATTATAATATTTAAAAATTGAATTTGTAACTTATACTGTACTGTTAAGTTCACTTTAACAAATAAACCTAAATGATTTAAAAAATATATTTAGTTTTCAAATATGTGTTTCATCTTAATAAAAAAATAACACTTTCATATTCTATAAAAAATATAATTAAACGTTTTATTTTATTTGTCATCATAAATTAATTATTTCTTATTTTAATAAAATTATCATTTAAAAATAATTTAAACATAAATCTTATTAAAAAAATGTTAGCACATACAAGTTTAAAGACAGGACTAACCAATGTCAGGCCTAGATTAAAAGATATTCATAAACTAGTTTAACTTAAGTTAAACTCTAAAAGTCAAAGCGAAAAACTCAAAATCAAACAAATTAAAAATGGAAAACGGAAAAACTGTTCTTCTTTCTATCAAATTAAGTTAGATTTTAAATTCAATTTTTAAAATTATCCAATCCCACTTAATATATGTATATATAAGATTTAATTTATGAAATTAAATTTTTACTCATTCTTACTTATTTATTAACCTCCAACTAATTTATAAGAACTAATTCTCGAATAAAAATATTTTTAGAAGTATTCATAATTAAAAACATTTATAATCCATAATGGTCTCCGGCTCGACCAAGATTGTCTCCTGGGAAAGATAAGATACATTTAAACCCAAAAAAAAAAAGATAAAAATAAAAATTTATAAGAATATTTTCAAACGAAAATAATTCTAAAAATTAGAAAAAAAATTTTATCATACTAAGTATATTTTTTCACATGAAATCAAAATTTTATCCACGAAACTCAACCTTACCAATAACGTGGACATGGATTCATCTACTTAAGCCCAATCCTATGAGATAATTTCCTTTACAAATAAGGGTGACCAACAAAATAATTTCTCACCCATCTATTGATGTTATTGATGAAATTTCACAATCTACAATGATCATATTGTATGTGGTTGATACCATTTAAATATATTTATGTTTATTATGAAATTCACATTATAACCGCTTGGGGGTATATTGAAATATGAGTTAATTTTGATACTATACTATGTAAATATTTTTATATTATCAACTAATTACACTATTAAAGACTTTAGCTTAACAATTTTATTAACATCAATTCTTAAAATTAAATTTAAGCATATAAAATTAGGTTTTGATTAGAAAAAATATTTATTATATTAAAAATACAAAAACATAATAAATATTTCTATTTCTAAAAACAATATTTATTTTAGATATTTAAAACCAATTCAAAAAGGTGATGTTATTGTAAAGTCAATAATTTTTAATTGGATAAGTCTGCGTACTCTTATTAAATTCTTAAAGTAAAACGATGATAACAAATATTCACCTAACAATAACATACTACAACCTCGGAGCAAACTCAACCTGTATTTATATTGGAAATGCAGAAATGTGATATCATGGCAAATGGATCTTAACCAAAATGTGTGGCTTGTATCATGGATTTTCTGAATCTGGGTCAAACTTAAAAAATGATTTAAGAACAAACATGAAATCATCCGAAAGAATCAAGGACTTGACACCAATACTAAGAACAAGTGTCATATCAGCAGGTCTTGGTGCACTGCACAAGCAAACATAAATGCTTGTTCTTAACTTGGGAACAAGGACAAAGGAGCAAGCAGAAGCACCACCAATAATTCCAAAAAAGATAACACTTGACTTTGGAGGGAGGCATTAATGTATCTTAGCATCCTCACAAAACATCATATGTTGCTTGTAAAGTAACAAATGTCACAAACAACATTGATATACGCAAAGAGTGGCAATTCAAACCGATCTGCTCCTTTTCATTTGCTACTTTTCTCTGATCTCTCCACCATTCTTTTCTACTTCTCCTGAACAAGGGATCAAACTCCTCCACGAATGTTTTAGCAGAGAAGAGACAGCTACATGGACACAACACACACAAACAGGTACGATCTCTTGTTTAACTTCTTTGGAAAAAAGAACTCTCATCACCATGTACTTCGCAAAATGTATTTGTCTGTCTGTTATAGAGTTATTTATAAAAATGTTCTTTTAGAAAAAGGGATTATAGAATTAGAAGAAACTTGGTGAGATTATCTCATTAAGTTTGTTTATTTGTAATAATCTTCTAATTATACGATTACCATAACTCCTAGTTTCTTCAAATCTAACAAAGCCTCCCTGTATCCTAAGTTATGGTTTGTGGAACCCACTTGAGCGTACCTTCAGAGTTATGAGTTATGACTGACATTGTTGCTACTTTACTCCTACCCTGACTTGCCTATTCATTGCTTGTCAATGGATGAAAACAGAATAGAAACTTTTCTTCGCTTTAAAGCTAGAGTAGTGACATGGTCCCAACTTACACACTACTCTTCTATGTAAGACAACTTAGGATGATCACATATATAATGTGGTCCAAAACAGCTTAGACTCCATGGCCATGTAACTATAGCTCTATGGAAACACACACAAGATTCGGATTAAGTATTATTTCCTTGGTCCTTTTTCTGACTCTCACAAAAAGTTTGAGCTCTGATGGCAGTGAATATGAAGATTGGGAAAATGATGATATGGCAAATTCTATCTTAAATTATGGGTATGTATTCGAAATTTTTCGCTTCTCTGGTTGTTAATTCTTCAAATACTAAGAACAATAAGTTAACTTGGGAACTTAGATGTATGGTTTTTATTTTCATGGATTAAGGAGTGAAATGGGACACGTGGAGGAAAATGAATGGCAGATGGTGCAAAAGAAAGGAAACCAATTTGTGGTGAACGACCAACCTTTTTATGTTAATGGATTCAACACTTACTGGTTGATGGTATTCGCTGCGGATGAGTCTACCAGAGGAAAGGTCACTGAGGTGTTCAAACATGCATCCTCTGCTGGTATGACAGTTTGTAGGACTTGGGCCTTCAATGATGGCCAATGGCGTGCTCTTCAGAAATATCCATCAGCTTATGATGAAGTTGTATTCAAGGTCAGTGCATCTTAATTATCTCCAAAAATTACAAACTGTATTATAATTTTTACTTCTCTAGTATGATCAACCGTTCGTCGACAGTGTGTTGTGGTTATTATTTTTAAACGATGATAGTCAAATGTCTAGTTATACGTGCTGCTAAATAGCAATCCTCATGCATTCCATTTTATTGTTGGAACCATAGGCCTTGGATTTTGTGGTAAGTGAAGCAAGGAAATACAAAATCAGGGTCATATTATCATTGGTCAACAACTGGGAAGCTTATGGTGGAAAACAACAGTATGTGAAGTGGGGCAATGCAGCTGGCCTTAATTTGACCTCAGATGATGACTTCTTCTCACATCCAACTCTAAGAGGCTACTACAAGGCTCATGTTAAGGTAAGTTTATTCCAATCCATCACTTGAATTTGTGCATATTGGAATTGAATCTTGTTTGTGATGTGCTACAATGCTCAACCACCCAAATATTAATACATATTGAACTTTGATTCTTCTAAACTAATTGGATTACAGTATTATTTTCACTGTGTAGACGGTGCTAAATAGAGTTAATACATTCACAAATATCACTTACAAGGAAGATCCAACAATTTTCGCTTGGGAACTGATGAATGAGCCTCGATGCAACTCAGACCCGTCAGGTGATATCTTACAGGTTTGCCCCTCCAAAATTTATGCTTTCCACCAAAAAATAGAAGAAAGGTCATGTGTATGTTATTAAAAAGAAACACCATAAAACGAAGCTTGTAATATTATTAAATCATTGGATTCAATTAATCAGTTCTTTGCATGATATCACATTTGCACTAAATTGAATACATTCTAGGATTGGATAAAAGAAATGGCATTCTATGTGAAAAGCATTGATCCAAAACACCTAGTGGAGATTGGACTAGAAGGATTTTATGGCCCCTCGACACCTCAGAGATTTCAGTTCAACCCAAATTCATATGCTCAACAGGTTGGAACTGATTTTATCAGGAACCACCAGGTTCTAGGCATTGACTTTGCTTCTGTTCACATATATCCAGACTCTTGGTAAGTTTATTCAATGATGACTTTTACTGAGCTATGTTGAGTATCATCAAAATGAACATATGCCAACCATTTCTGCAAACTATTAACATCCATCCTATCATCATGTTCATATGCAAGTGCATACAAGTACTCTATTTTTTAACCACAATAACATGTGATGTCATAAGTGTTTCTTCTTTGCTTTTACCTTTCATCCAATTATCTGACATCCACACCTTTAGACATGAGTATAGGAGTTTCTGACTAAGAATTACATACCTGTTGAAGGATTTCACAATCAATTGCTGATTCCCATCTCCCATTTATAAAGTCTTGGATGGAAGCACACATAGAGGATGCTGAAAAGTATCTCGGAATGCCTGTGGTTTTTTCTGAGTTTGGTGTATCTGCAAAAGCTCCTGGCTACAATTCAACATATAGAGACACCCTTATAAACACCGTGTACAAGACCATCCTAAACTCTACAAAGAAAGGAGGAAGCGGGGCTGGAAGCCTTGTGTGGCAGCTCTTTCCTGATGGAACGGATTACATGGATGATGGGTATGCAATTGTTCTCTCAAAATCACCTTCCACGTCAAGCATAATATCCCTTCAATCCACAAGGCTTGCCCTATTCAACTCCTTGTGCTCTAAGACATGCCGTTGGGGTTGTAAAAAGAAAAATGTGTTGGAAAAAGTACTCTATCACGATGAACTCTAACACCATATGTGCAAAGTTGCCAACTATAGCCATGTAAAAGCATGCATGTCTCTTTTGCGGTGGATGCAAGGGTATTAACTTCAGATTGAAAATGATACTACATAGAAAGGCAGAGAGAGAAGATAAATATGAGGATTCACCATGGTATTCTGTTTGTATTGATGCCAATAGTTTTATTTTGTATGTTCTGACATTTGTGTCCATATGTAAAATAAGCTAGTATTTTTGGTATGAAGAACGTCGTTTTTGACAACAACTTTTTGAAATCCATAAGAAGCTAGATTTCATACAAGAATACTTCTCAATTGACGAGTTATATGGAACTGAATACACAATCTCATCTAGGATGTAAGTATGTAACTTTCATCCAATAAGTGTCACTAGAATGCAGCTCCACTTGGCTCTATATCATGTTACAAGCCATAGACCCGAAGTTATGGTATTACAGGTGAGGTCCTGCCAATCATCAAGCATTCATCTCTTGTAGAAAGAAACCATGGGAGAAGATTGAATAAGCTATTACAACCATTATGTGCTCCTGCTAGAAATTGTTGTCATATAGGTTACATGAAAGATATAAATGTATACTGTAGCAATAATTTTTCGTTCTGTATCCTTCAAATGTCCTCAGGCTTGTTGCTTGCCTGAAATTGAGTAGAAAATCTCCCACCAATTTAAACTGAGGGGGGAAAACCCAAACACAGAAAAAAATTGGAATAAATCTTATAAATGATGGTCGTCAATTCACAAGTTAGGCACGCTTGCTGTGGGACACCTTTGAATTCAAATGTGCTCCTGATGGAAATACACGTTTTGAAATAATATTACCTCAGATGGCTTCAATCAAAAGTGATATGGTTCGAAGTTCTTACAAAAAAGAACGAAAAATAAATGGGTAAACTATCCTTACATATTATCAGTAATAAAAGACCTATAGAAGTTGTTTTAATTACGAGACTACCTTTCGCATTAACCAGAATTTTTACCTCACCTTGTATGGCAAATAAGAGTGCACAGATTGCAAGTTGTCCACATTTGCGATTTTCTTTTGTGCAATTAAATAAATTCAAATAGCAAGCACATTTTTCATATTCATTTTAAATGATCTTGTTTAGTTTCTTGTCAAGGAAACAATATGATAACTCTAGATATATTTTCAGAAGCCAACATAGGCAGCAGCAAGAGAAAACAAAAATTATCTATTCAAGCTTGACTATATAAATCTGATCAATATCCAGGCACTGAAAATTAAAATGAAAGAATAAAAAAATGGAATGATATACTCACATTGCTATGCAGATCACTTTCTGCTTAAGCTTAATTTTGAAAGGACTGCAGCTGCCTGATCACCACCCAGAAGAAAATAAGGATGTCTCAAAGCAGCAGCAGCAGATAAACGTCCTCTTCTAATGGAACCTCTCTCAGATACAAGCTTTGTTGCTAAGTCCCACCCTCTCCCAGATTCGATATCTAGAATTTGGAAGTCGCCAGGCCTGAGGCGAGTATAGTCCCTCCATTTTTTCAAATCATATCCGCAGGTTTTAATTTCCAGGTTGAAATTCTTCAAAGCAGCTTGAGACCTTAAGGTTGGTATTGCCATTTGCAGGAGAACAATCCCAGCCGAATACATATCAAACAAATCAGGGCTGTTTAACTGCAACAATAATCACATAACTCCACCTTAGCATTTCCTGAACAAAATAGATATTTGAGGAACACATGAACAATAGTTAATTCAGTAAGTATCTGATTAACATATTAACCAATCTTTTAGTTTAAGTTCCTAAATTTGAAATGTCTTAACTAGGAGTTCTTAAATTGTAATTTACAGAAAGTATCTATTGTTTGTGAACAAATCTTAGCTAGTGTACTTAATTAACCAATTTGATAAAACCATTGACTGCCTGTATTATCTTTTTTTATTAGGTTTTGTTAACTTCAATCGCTGAGTTTAAGCCTCCACAAATAGAAGTTTTTTATAAAAAAAGTGCACACTTATTATATTAAAATTATAAAAGTACAATAAATACTTCTCTTTCTAATGAAATTTTACTATTATTAGCTGTGTATCCTCAGCCCTAAGGGCTGATGTTAACAAACCTTTTTTTATTTTACTAAAACCGATAACCCTGCAAAAGAACCATATATTGTCACATAAATAGGGTAAAAGTAGTAAAACCTGCCACAGGATTGGTGAAAGGAAAGCAGCAATTGGTTCTGGTGGAGGACTTGGAGTTTCTTCTGGGAGTACATATAATTCTGGGGGGCAATAGTCAGGATCAAAAAGGGTGACGTTGGCAACATAATTCTTGCCAATCCGCAGGTCTGTTGCTGCACCAAAATCAATGAGTTTAATCTGCCCCCTTTTAGTAACCACTAAGTTGGCTGGCTTTACATCCCTGTGAACAATGCCTGTATCATGAATTTTCCTAAGAGACGTAATGATCTGGCGCATTATTTGCTTGATGATCAAAGCATTTCGTTTCAAAGAGTCTACACCTTGCAAGACACGTCCAAACATGACAGATTCTAAGTTTGAAGGAAAGTTGCGATCCTTCATGTAATCAGCAAGAGTACGATCTCCCTGTGACACGGACAAGCCTTCAATTAATTTAAGTAAATGAAGGAATAAACCAGACTAAGATAACAAATTGAATTTATGTTTTCAAGATGACATTTAGCATGCCGCAAACAAAAATATGGATAAAACTCTTGAGGGTTAAGTAGTGCATGGTCAGGTAACTAAGGCTATTGTTTATGCAATAGAAATATCAGCTAGAGCACCTCAAACTTCCAAACAAGCCATTTTCCACCTTTTGTGAACTGTGTATTTGTTTTATCAGCTACAAAACTGCCAAGGAACTCGGCAGATGTTTCAGGTGCTGCTCTAGATATCCTGTAATTGAACCACTCCTCATAATCACCAAATTCTTCAGCCCCTTGGATTCCAACCTTAACCTGCACATTCCACTAGTCAGCTGCAAAATCCTTTTTACAGCCTTTATAATCGACAAACAGAAAATGGAAATTCAATACATTAAGCGTAAGATTAGACAAGATATCAAACAAACAAGTCAGTGCACAAGTATACAATTTGCCATCAAAAAAGAATTTAGAGTTCAATTGAAAACTTTTGTGCATTTATGTATTTTTTTTTTCTTGGTCACGAAAATAATAATTCATAAGAAAGAAGAATCTGGAACGAATGAGGAATCCTAATTATCAAGGGTTGATGCACTAGAACATTTCGTTATCACCCATCTGTCAAATAAAAAAATCAAAACCAGGAAACCAAAGGCAAGGTTTTTCCATGATCTCCTTATCAACTCAAGGTGGGGACAGGACAAACAACTGCAGAGTGCAGAACAATGAGGTACAGGTAGGTGAGATACACACTCAACAGGCAGTTCCAATGGAGGTCAAACAAATTGTAAATAATAAAACAAACAAACACCAATACAAGATCACTGTTATTTCTGTAAAAACTGTTCTAAGCATTTTATTTCTATAAATATAAGGATACCTTTTTAAGAATGACTTTATCCGTAGATTTGGCATCCAACTGTGATGCCTTAGCTCTCCCCCTCTTCTGCACCCTCTCTTCCACATTCACATTCACATTCTTTGGGACCAAAACACCCGAATAGACAACACCAAATGACCCTTCACCAAGCTTATCACCAATCAGAAAATCACTCCTCTTCAAGTTTCTCCTTCCAGATAAACTGTCCAAACCAAGTTGAAGAGGAGCCAAAAGGTAGGCATCAATGGCACCAACAAGAACACCTGGCCTTGCAGTTAAGTAAATCCATGTCAACCCACCAAACATGAGAAACCCCCACTTCTGCATCTCTGATAAATTTTCAGTTACTCTCTCAAATTGCACTTTTCCTGATTGGAGAAAACCAGCAAACTGCTCCAAACTAACACTGCCCTCCAACAAACCTTTGGCCACATCATCATAAAATGCATTACACTGTGAAGAGTTGCTCTTGAAGCGCTGGTTTGATAAGAAAGAAACATTATTTGAGGTGGTGGGTTTCAAGGGAGAGAAGCAAATTCCCATTTGACTTTGTTTAAGTGTACAAGTAGCAGTTGGAGTTGGAGGGAGCAGAGAAGCCATTATCACATTCATTCCAAAGCCAAACAATGCCTATGTTCCCAACTCAATTTTTCTTCTTGTTTCTAATAGCATCATCAGAGGTTGCTCTTTTTCCACATGTTCTTCCTCACTCCTCATTTTATCCGCTCACTGCTTCCCTTTTTCTCTTGGTCCAAAATCAATGAAACTTCAAGCCCCAACCTTTTTTATATTTACAAAAACATTCTAATTATTTATAAAATGTTTAAAATTTATTTTCATTCAAATTAACTGTCCATTTATATTAAATTCTCTTTTAATTAAATTGTTTATTTAAATTCTATTTTTTTTTATGTATAAAAAAGGCTATAGACAAGAAACGAAGTTTGAAAAATGTATATTTTGCTCCAGGAAAAAGGAATGGCAGTAACCAACTGCTCTGCAACTGATTCTCATAAGTAGTTTTTCTCTTTTTACCTTTTTTTTTCATTAAGATAAATAGCTTCAGTAAACATTACACACATCATTGTTAGATATTAATATATGTCATAGGAAGTCTTTTATATTTGAAGTCAAGCTCTTCTAGAGTCTAAACATTAACAGAACCTTTTTAAAAATTCCTGTACGTTGTATTTTTTTAATTTTTAAATAAAAAATAAATATTTTATTATTAATACTAATTTTTTATTAAAGAAAATAAATTTTTAAAATTGACTAGTAAATTATAAAAATGTATCACAAATCAAAATTTATTTTTTTTAATTTACTATAATCTTTAATACGGTTAATTGTAAAATCATCTTTAATTTAACATAATATATTAATATTTAAATTTTAAATAAAAAGCAATAAACAAAAAGTCATATAATTTATAAATAATATTTTAAAAATACCTTTATTTAAGAATAAAAACGTAAAACTATAGTATAAAAGTGAATTCTAAAAGATGTTTTTTAAAAATTTTAGTAAAACAAAGGGTAATTATTCTTTAAAAACAGTGTGCCCTGTAAAGATTTATTATATTATATTTTAAAATAAAAAATTATAATTTAGAAATAAAAATATATATAAAGAATTATAATTTATCATTGCTATGACTTCAATCTCTACCACATTGAATTATTACATTACAACTATCATTTTTATTGTTCGAAACAGGGATGACAATAGATAAAATACTTAATAGGCACTCCCAAACTTTATCTATAATGGATAAGATATTTACCCGCTACATAAGTACGGATATGAATATGGATAAATATTCGTAAATTTTAATGAGGATAAGGATGAGTATGAGTATTTAAGTATACACTCTACCTCATACTTGCATATATATATATATATATATATATATGCGTGTGTGTGTATTTGAACTTTATTTTACAACTATGTATTGAATTTTTATATTATTAAACTACTTATATGAAGTTATATAATATTAATATAAAAATATATTTAATAATAAAATAAATTAAAAATTTTATTTTGGTTTATATTTTTAATAAAATTTATTTACTATTTTGTATCATTTAATTAGGCTAATACAATTTAATTACAGTTGATTTGATATAAGATTGACTTTTTTTAAAAATATTATTTATATATGACACACATAAAATATTTTTGTTAATAAAATCATATTAATATTTAAATTATAAAGTGAATAATAAATAATAAACATATTATAAATATTTTATAAATTTTACAATCACTTACTATTGTAAGCTTATTATTTATTGATAATATTTAAATTTTATTTTTATATTTTAATTTAAAATAATAGTTTTCTATACAACATGCGTATTACAAGTACAACTATAATCTATTGAATCTAAATAATATTCTTTTTACTATTTATTTATTATAAAATTTTATTGTGACTATTGATCTTTTATTCAAATTATTTCTTTTAAAATTTATATATATTATAAATATTTAATTCATTAAAATAATTTTTCAAAAATTTATATTTTTGACAAAATACTTTCATATAGTACATGAGTTAAAAATATTAATATTAATATATATATATATTATTTTAATTAAATATGTTATTTTTCTTACAATTTCAAATTCAAAAATTTAAAAAAATATTTTATGTATTCATTTTTCATTGCCGTTTAGTATTTAACTTCTCTACACTAACTCTACTTTCATTTTCAGTGTCTATCTCATTAAAATCTAGTAACTATAAAACGTTATTCATTAAAGTTAGTTGTCAATATCACCACAAGATGTCACCATGTGATCCCATACAAAGAGCCACTCAGCTCTGATATTACCAATCGATCGAATCTCACACAAAATAAGGTTATCGTTGATAAATAACTTGTGTGTTTAATTTCACTTATTATTTTTAAAAATTTTAGTTTAAAAAGTTATTGTATTAAGATATATTTAACACTTATGATATTTGAATATTAATTTTAGATGATAAGGATTAATATTCATACTCACACAGATATAAGTATGAGATTGAGTATGAGTATTTTTTTAAAACGTGGATATAATATCCTACCGATTGTCATCTCTAGAATTCATTATCATTACTACTTTTCTCTTCTCTTCTGTTGTCCAAAAAATTTAAATTAAAAAAAGTAATTTATATTATCTTATATAAGATTTAACGTTAAAAATTAAATCCTCAAAAATTTTAACAATAAAATTATAAAAGTTGACAGTTATTAAAATTTTAAAACATTGGAAAGCTAAAAGTCACAATCATATCAAATTGGACCCTAGTTTTTAAAACTGAATCAAATAAATGCGTTTGAGTAGGAATTAGTTAAGTCAGTAATTCAAAGAACTGAATTACGAAAGAAAATTAATTCGAACAAAAAATATGTTATTATTTTATAATTTGTAAAAGAACACAATTTTTGTGCTGAATGAAAATCTTATATAATTTAATATTAATTCATCACTTAATGTAGTGTATAATGTAATATTATTTAATCATTATTACTAATATATCAAATATAATTGAATGATATTTGAATGAGAAAAGCAAATATCTTTACTGATATAATGTTTGAATTCAGCTGCATTAACTTAGGGGACATTTTCAACTGAAAAAAAAAGAATGTTAGAAATGAAGAAAAAAGAAATTATGAATCGACAATGAATGCCACCTAAAAGATAGTTAATGACGTAGGAATTTGAATGTGTAGAACGGAGAAGGTAACGTGTGGAGCGAAATTTGAGGTGAAATAAAGCATTGGAGAAAAGAGAGAAAGCAAAGGAAGCAGAAGAAATTGCAGTGAAAGATATTGGTGGTTCCCCGCTCTCTCGGCAGATTCGATCCCATTCTCTGTGCATTTCCATTGCATAAACACACATCACATTCCCCTTTCCTCTTCTCCTCAATTCCACTCTGCCTTTATTTCTTCCACGTCAGGTTAGGTTTTTCGTTTTCTTGTTCAATCCATGCATTTCTTCATTCATTTGCTCTCTTTTAATTACCATTCAATTCAATTCAATGCAATGTCTTGTTCGGACAGGAGCCGGAGGGGGAGGCGGAGGAACAATCGCCATCGCCATCGCCATCACCTTCATCATAGATGCAATGCAATGACTTTGCCGCCAATGTGGGCTTGAAGGCCCATTAGGTTCCCACTCAATTATTATTTTTTATTTATTATATTTGTTTGCTGATTAGAAGCAAAGGCAAGCGATAAGATGATTGTTGATATATGCAAGTGAATCTGATTGTCTAATCTGCTTGGAATCGTATCCTTGGGAAGCGGTTCTTCCCAATGCGTTGAACGAAATTTACATTCAAGTGCCCCACGTTTGGGGGGGTCGTGGAGTGCCATGGAACGTAATACCCCCTTTGAAATTTGTCATCCTCAAAACAACAGGATTCGTCCCAAAAGTGTGCAATTTGATTATAACATCCTCTCACATGAGGACCATGCCAGGCTCATATATGTTAATGACCCTATCACCACCAATGAAACCTATGAGTTCACAGGAAACCAGATTAAAACCAGCAAATACACTCTTCTTACCTTCTTGCCCAAGAATCTATTCATTCAGTTTCACCGGGTTGCTTATCTCTATTTCCTTGCTATTGCTGCCCTCAATCAGCTTCCTCCCCTTGCTGTTTTTGGCCGAACCGTGTCCCTTTTCCCCCTCTTGTTGGTGCTCTGCGTCACCGCCATCAAGGATGCATACGAGGATTGGCGCAGGCACAGGGCTGATCGCAATGAAAACAATCGAGAGTGTCTGGTTCTTCAATCTGCTCGGTTCTGCTCCAAGAGATGGAAAAATATGCAGGCTGGCGACGTCGTTAAAATCTTTGCTGATGATATGATTCCTGCTGACATGGTCTTGTTGGGGACAAGTGATCAAAGTGGGATTGCCTATATTCAGACGATGAATTTGGATGGAGAATCCAATTTGAAGACAAGGTATGCTAAGCAGGAAACAGCTTCAGCCGTATCGCCAGAAGCTTGTTCTGTCTCTGGAGTTATTAGATGTGAGCAACCTAATCGAAATATTTATGAGTTCACGGCCAACATGGAGTTCAATGGGCTTAAGTTTCCCCTTAACCAGTCAAACATTGTGCTGCGTGGTTGCGTGCTGAAGAACACGGATTGGATAATTGGTGTTGTGGTTTATGCAGGAAAGGAAACAAAAGCAATGATGAACAGTGCAGCTTCCCCTTCCAAGAGAAGCAAACTGGAAATTTACATGAATAGAGAAACCTTTTGGTTGTCAGTTTTCCTTTTCATCATGTGTGCAGTTGTGGCCATTGGGATGGGTCTCTGGCTGGTACGCCACAAGGATCAGCTTGATACCTTGCCTTACTACAGAAAAACCTACTCCAACAATGGGCCAAACAATGGAAAGAAGTACAGATATTATGGCATACCGATGGAAACATTATTTTCCTTTTTGAGTTCTATTATAGTGTTTCAGATAATGATCCCGATATCACTTTACATCACAATGGAATTGGTTCGTTTGGGTCAGTCTTACTTTATGATAGAAGACAAGGACATGTATGATGCTAACTCTGGATCAAGGTTCCAATGTAGATCATTGAATATCAACGAAGATTTGGGTCAAATACGCTATGTGTTTTCAGACAAGACAGGAACACTAACAGAAAACAAGATGGAGTTCCAGAGAGCCAGTGTGCATGGAAAGAACTATGGGAGTTCCTTGCTTATGAGTGATAACAATACAGGTATTTTTCTTATTTGGGCTCTCTTGAGAGATTTATGTAATTCCAGAGAGTATATTGGAGAGTTAAATTTTGGAGGAAAATACGAGGGAGGTAAAATTTTAATAAATACTTTATAATTCAATATTTTTTAAAATAAATAAATAAAATATTGTATTAACATAAAGATGATGAATCTTTAATTTTTCTTATAAATATTATATAACTCTATTAATTTCAAAATAAAATATTTGCCTTCCTTTTTTCTCCATAATCTAACTTCCAAACATAGGTTTAATGTGGTATAGTGCCATAATCTCTGTCATGCTAATATAGTTTGAAATCCTTTAAAAGGATAACAAGTGTGTTTGGCAAATCTAGCAGATAGGTTAACTGAAAGTTGAAAAAGCTAACTGTTAAATTGAAAATGTTTGGTAAAACTATTTATTAGGCTAGCAAATAAATATAAAATGACAAATAGAAGCATCATAATTAAATATAACAAAATTGAAATTTAGTAATCATATATTTTCAAAAAAATATAATTTTTATTTAAATTTATTTAAAATCATTTATCATCTTCAAATTAAGATAATAAATTTCAAATTTTATTCTCATTTATAAATATAAATAATTTATTATAAAAAAAAGATTTAATTACTTTGTTAAATCTTTTTCAAGACATTAATAATTCATTGTTTTATAAAATAATGAATGCTGTGAAATTTATTTATTTTTTATTATTTTGTGACATATTTTCTTCCTTTGAATATAACAGCAGTAAAAAAACAGGGTTTAAGAAATCGAATGGGTAAAGAAGGAATTACATAAAAATAATAAGGACAAAAATGGAAAAATAACGTTATTAACAAAATATTAGTATGAATAGTGTTCAACAAAATGCTAGCAACTATCCGTTTCAGCTACTTTATCAAAGAGTGTTATTTTTATTAAAGAAACTTTTCAGCTAGTTGAAATGCCTTGCCAAACACACAACTTATGAGAGTTGAACTGAGTTTATGAGAAATTTTCTGGTTTCTTATGGTAGTTTGAGTAATGTGCTAGTTTTGATATTTTTTATTTATCATAATTGCTATTTCATATATCTCATATTAGATGGCATTTGAGTACTTTTTATTTGTTTCAAATTATTTATTATTTTATAATATCAAAGAAGCATTAAATATTGTTTTTCAATAATAAGCTTATTTATTATGAACATATTTTGCCACCAACAACTATAATGACTATTATTCCTCCAAGAACAATTCTTATCAACTAACTATTGTAATAACTTCAACACTTTAATAGAAGTATTTTAGTAAAATTAATTTATTTTATCATAACAATTAGTAAAATTAATCATTTTCTTATGATGTGTGAGTGCCTTTATAATCCACCTTTGTTTCACGTTTCACAGTAGCACGATGATCTCTTAGGCAGTCATTTTCTATTAAGTTACTCAAATCAACCCTGGGATTGACCTGTACAACATGTTTTGTTCACATGTAACGCCCTGTGGTTGTTGTACGTTGGAAGAACCTTCTTTTGGTCTCAAAATTTCTACCTTCTCTTAGTCTTGCGTGATGAAATATCTGTGCTCTTCAAAAACATTTTATTATCAACTATTTGATTAAGTTGTATGTCTTGATCTGAGTCATTGGGCTACATGAGTTCCCATCAGAACTTGAGTCATGAATGTGCTAATCATGTGTTGAAAAATTTGCTGGTGCATATGTATCACAAAACAAATTTTGTGATGTTTTGCAACAGCAGCAGCCGTTAGTGGTAAACGAAGATGGAAGCTCAAATCTGAAATTGCTGTTGATTCTGAGCTAATGGCATTGTTGCAGAAAGACTCAAATAGCGATGAAAGAATTGCTGCTCATGAATTTTTCCTTACATTGGCTGCTTGTAATACTGTGATCCCCATTGTTAGTAGCAGTAGGTCTTCTAGTTACGGAAAAGGAGAATCAAATGAAGATATAGAAGTTATAGATTACCAGGGAGAATCTCCTGATGAACAAGCTCTAGTTTCTGCAGCCTCTACATATGGATATACTCTATTTGAGCGAACATCTGGACATATTGTTATTGACGTCAATGGTGAGAAACTCAGGTAAATAGTGACTTCTTTTGGTTGGAGATTCTGTGCTTTACTTTTCAAAATAATGATGGGCTTTTTAATTTAATGAAATTGAATTATATTTACATTGCATATCCTAGCACATTCCTTTACTTTGTGTGGTTTTTATATGTATCTATACTATTCAGTTAATCATTTCTGTGTGTACTGTAGGTTGGAGGTATTGGGCCTGCATGAGTTTGATAGTGTGCGAAAGAGGATGTCTGTTGTTATCCGGTTTCCTGACAATGTTGTAAAGGTGTTGGTTAAAGGCGCTGATACTTCAATGCTTAGCATTTTAACAAATGACAATGCAAGCAAGGATGGCCTACGGCATGTAACCCAGAGTCATTTGACTGAATATTCTTTGCAAGGTTTAAGAACTCTTGTAATTGCCTCCAGGGATCTGTCAAATGCTGAGTTTGAGAAGTGGCAAAGCATGTATGAAGATGCCAGCACTTCATTGACTGATCGAACTGCAAAACTACGTCGAACAGCCGCTCTAATAGAATGCAACCTAAAACTACTTGGAGTAACTGGAATTGAGGACAAGCTGCAAGAGGGTGTACCAGAAGCCATTGAGTCCCTGCGGCAAGCTGGAATCAAGGTCTGGGTTCTCACTGGTGATAAGCAAGAGACTGCAATTTCAATTGGTCTTTCCTGTAAACTTCTCGGTGCTGAAATGCAACAGATAATTATAAATGGAACTTCAGAGGTTGAGTGCAGAAATCTCTTGGCTGATGCTATAGAGAAATATGGTGTGAGATCTTCAAGTAGAGGTCATCAGAATCTGAAGCACAAAACTGATGCTAGACATGGTGGCCCTGATATTCCCAATGACACAAAGTCATTGAGCATGCCCAAGTGGAATCCAGGAAACGAGGAAGGAACTAATGCTCAGTTGGCACTCATAATTGATGGAACCAGTTTGGTTTATATTTTGGAGAAGGAACTGGAGTCAGAGGCAAGATTGTCCTTCCTCATTTGAAGTTTTTGTTTGGAATATTTATATACATTCGAACCCCTTAAGCTTAATTTATTTTAGGTGCATATACAACTGCTTAGATTGGAATTGATAAATTCAACTTCATTACAAACATTTACTGTTTTTCCTTTTCCTTTCAACAGCTTTTCGACCTTGCAACTTCCTGTAGGGTTGTGCTATGCTGCCGTGTTGCACCCTTGCAGAAAGCAGGAATTGTTGATATGATAAAAAGCCGCACAGATGATCTGACATTAGCTATAGGTGATGGTGAGTTCTTTATAATAATAATATGAAACTAGTTATATTATACTTGTGAAAAATTTAAATATTACTTATTTTTAATTATATATTAATTATATTAATTAAAAATAATTAAAAAATATCAAGAGTTTTAGAAAACAATAATCTTTTTTTTCAGAATTTTGAGAGAATAAAATACTTGAAACACTTTTAAATTGGTAAAAATGGATATTAATATTTAAATTATCTATTCATTTTTTTTTTATCACTTTTCATATTCTAAACATCAAAATTCTATTTTATTATAAAACATTTAAAAAATGGTAAAAAAAAAATATTTTTGTACAATTTATTTCTCGTGTGATTAGATTAAATATCAAAATTGTGACAAATAAATTAATCTTTATCTAACAAGTAATTTACCAAATAAATTTGATATTTCTATGTTGCAAAGGTACTTAGTTTTGTACTCCTTTCATGTTATTTTACTTAACATCCAAATTCAAAATTTAACAAAAAATTGTCTTTATCTAACAAATGATTTACCAAATAAATTTTGTATTTCTATGTTCCACGTTAGTTTTATTCTTCAAAGACTATTATATCAAATAAGAACATTAGAAATAGAAAAAAAAAAAAAAAACATTAGAGATTAAACAGGAAGACTTTTATCATTGATAAATTTTGGGTAACTTATTTGATATCACAAAAATTTAGAAGAAAAAATAAAAAGTACGTTAAATACTTTAGTTCTAAAAATTTTAAATTAAGAAAATGAATAATTGATTTATTTCAATGATAATTTTAAATATGCTTTTACACTTGATAATATGAATTCTAAACATAGTTCAATAATTATTTTATAAATTTTATTAAATGTTTTTTTTATTTTAGTAACATTTATTTTGAATTATTTTGCTAAAATTTCTTCTATATTTTGATGTAATATCATTATTTGGTGCTATTAATTTATAAACAGTTTGAAATTAAAGTAACGCACATTATGTCCAACATTGTTTAATTAATATGATAAATTTTACAAAGTATTTTCTTATTGTTACTTTTATTTTTTACTATTTTTTTAATTGTTGCTTTTTACAATTATTTTATTGTTTAATTTTTATTTTTTAAGGTATTATTTTTTGGTTTGGTTGTTTAATTAAATTTCTATTATGTTAATCATACTCTTATTTCAATATTTTAATGATATTAACATTCTATAACATCATTGTTCTTATATTTTAAATTTATGATTAATCTTATTATTCTTAAATTATTTTAACAATATTTTTTATTTCACATTATTTTAGTAATATTATTGTTATTCCAATATAAATTGTATACGTATTTAATTTATATAACAATGTGAACATATAATAATCAAATAATTTTATCACTATTTTCTGTTAAAAGAAATAAGTTTTATCATTATAAAATAATAATAATAATAATAATAATTTATTATTTTATGATTAATTAATAGTAAATGATCATGTAATAGTATTAAAACATTATTTTATGTAAATAGAATTTAATTGCACCGCACTAGAGTTGTAAAGGCTTTTTATACGCTCATTTAATCATTGATTACCATATCAATGATGATTATTGACTTTTATAACTAGTGATATTCCCATGCACTACACAGATATTATTAAATTAAAATAAAAATTTTAAAGGAAATATTAAAAATATTTTGTAAGATTATTTGAAAATTTAATAAATTTTAAAAAAGAAAATATTGCAATTACTGATAATAAATATTCTATTATATTGGATAAAATTAAATAAAGAGATAAATTATTTGGCATGGTGAGAAAGAGAACTAAATCCTAAACGTACTCTCATTTGAGAAACTTTTTTAAAATGCTCTTATTGAAAAATATGTATTTATAAATTATATAAATGTGATTAATTTAAAATTCATATTTATTGTATATTTGAATTAGTTGACTATGGAAAAATATTTATACTGATTCAAAATTAAACTTTTATAATATGATTATGTTATTATTCCTGAAATCATAATATTTTCAATATTGTATTTGTTTGTACAATATTTTATATTTTAATAGAATGTTGTTATAATATTTACTTTTTGATAATAATTTTCTCTCTTATCATTAGTATTTTAAACTATTTCATATTATTTATAATAGCAGTGACAATATAAATTCTTTATTTGATCATATTATTTTGACTGTTATGATGATATTTTATTTTTTATTTTCAGCAGTTTAATATTTGATTTTTTATGCTGATATAATATCATTTTCTTCAGTTTTTTAACTATTATTTTTAAGTAATTTGTTCCATAATAATTTTATTATTTGATTATTACTTTTTAATTATGTAGAATGTGTATGATATTTATTTATTTATTTTGTTAATATTACTGTTACACTTGTAGTAAGACTTTTATTTTTTATGTTTATAATATTACTTCATAATTATTATTAGAAAAATGTATATTTTGTATTGTTATTATAAATTGTTTTACTTTTGATAATATTAATTTACTTTCATAATTGTTTTTCATCATGTTATTATTACTTTATTTGTGTGACACACACATATAATATTGACAAGACTTTTGCTTTTCTAGTATATAATATAATATTATGAAATAAAAGTTTGAAAATTAATTTTAGTTTTTACATATATGATGAATAAAATAGAGTGAAAATTTTGGAAGGAAAAACCACTGTTTGGATTATTGATAGATTTATATAATATATAGATGCCCCATAATTTACATTTGAACTTTTTTGTGGTTCGTGGGTGCTGGCTGATAATGGATTTATCAATAAGTTGAGGTCAACAAGATTCTTTTGCATTTAGTTAGAGTAGGCAGGTACACTTGCAATTTAAGATTATTCAAGTAATTAACTTATAATCTCTTCTGTTTATTTTGACCTCTTTTGACAGGGGCAAATGATGTGTCAATGATCCAAATGGCCGATGTTGGTGTTGGAATATGTGGGAACGAAGGGCGCCAAGCAGTGATGGCGTCAGATTTTGCTATGGGACAATTTCAGTTCTTGAAAAGATTACTTCTGGTTCACGGGCACTGGAATTATCAGCGTGTTGGTTATTTAGTTCTGTACAACTTCTACCGCAATGCTGTCTTTGTGTTGATGCTATTTTGGTATGCATAGTTCTTTGAAAATTTCTGGCTGACTTGCGCTTATTTGTTTGATATCAGTTGGTGTTTCTTTCTTTTAACTTTTTAGATGCATTCCATTGCTATGCATATGTTTTAATTCTGCTATCTGATTTTCAGACATTTGGGCATAAACTTGAACTAGAAAAATGTAATTTTCATTATATTTGCCTCTACTGTACATAGATTTTGGAGTGAGATCACTAAGAAAAGGGTTTTTAATATCCATATTTGGATGTTAACTTTTGTGATTTTGTCTGTAAAGTTTTCCATTTTTTAATAGACTGATCTTCCAGCTGTCCTTAGAATTTGTAATATGTTGGTGGGTGTATCGCCAATTATTGGGCTTAGGGATAGAAGTCATTTGATTGATATGATGGTTGAGGCTTTATGAAATTTTCTTGATTCTAATGCAATTTCTTCCTTGTCTATAGGTATATATTATGCACTGCTTTTTCTACAACTTCGGCATTGACAGATTGGAGTAGTGTACTTTATTCTGTGATATACACATCTATCCCTACTATCTTTGTTGGTATTTTGGACAAAGACTTGAGTCAGAGGACACTTTTGCAGTATCCAAAATTGTATGGTGCAGGTCACCGGCATGAGGCTTACAATATGCAGTTATTTTGGATCACAATGATTGACACACTATGGCAGAGCCTTGTTCTCTTCTACATTCCCCTATTCACCTATAAGGACAGCACAATTGATATATGGAGCATGGGCAGTTTATGGACAGTTTCAGTTGCTATCGTTGTAAATGTACACTTGGCTATGGATATTTACAATTGGGTATTAATTAATCATGTTGCCGTATGGGGATCAATAGTCATTACATACGGTTGTGTGATGGTATTGGATTCTATACCTGTCTTTCCTAATTACGGGTTCGTCACATTGTGTCTTCTTATGAGTAATATATTGTATTATAGATTATGTGGTAGTGTAGGATATATATCTAATGTGCCTCCAATCATTTCAGGACAATTTATCATTTGGCAAAGTCCCCTACATATTGGATTACAATTTTGCTTATAACAATTCTGGCATTGTTCCCTCGCTTTTTTTGCAAAGTTGTCTTTCAAATATTTTTGCCTTCGGATATCCAGATTGCTAGAGAAGCTGAGATAATGAGTAAACAACATGATGATTTGCAGTCAAGGCAACCAATTTCTAATTAACTTACTATCTTCTAGAAACTACAGAAATGTCATTGCAATCACATATGTTCATGACATTGCATTCTTGTGGCAGTTGGCTGTATAAGTGACCAGGTAAGCATATGGTTTCTCTCTCGGTTTAGTCTCAACATATTTTAAATGGTATTCTTTTATAGTTGTGTATTGATATTTTTGTCAACTAGTTTCATTGAACTTGGTGGTTGTCTAAAGCTGAGAATAACTTCAATCATTTTAGATATGTATTACTACTAGTCCAAGAAGCTATGTTGAAGGAGTTTTCAGAGATCTTTCAACTTAATGCAGTTAGAGTAATGCTGTTACTCACACAGGTTTTACAGAATTTAGAAGTCCTGTTGCCCTGATTGTAATTCTACAACATGGTTGTTAAACTTGCATTTTAACTCGTAGGTAAGGAAATCATGTCAAATCACATGTAAAATTGTTTTTGAGTAAACTCAGAAAGCTTGATCCTGATTTTACGAGTTTAAGAAAACAAATAGAAAATCACATTTTTTCACCAAAATAATGCCATTTGGAATTAGGACACTACTTTTCTTCTTTCTCCGTAAGTTGTGAAATATCACATCTACAATTAGGCACCAAAATCACATTATCATTACATGATATGACTATTTAAGTATAATTTCAACTTTATTACTGTTTTATTTCATTATTATGCCTTTTTAAATATTATTTTTTTATGAGGTAAACTCTTATGAGTTTACGAATTGAGTTTATGGACACTCCACGAATTCACGTAAACTCTCAAGTTTAACAACGTTGCTATTAATAGAGATATTGATCCATATGTAGCATGGAGGATTGGTTCTTATGGGATACTTTTAACTATTAAGGCTGATAAAAACTTTGAGAAAATCAAACCACAAAAGTTAGTCATTATAGTTGATGAGTCAGGGAGTTAAAAACCCCAGAATTCCATACTTTCAATGTGGGATTCAATTCTTATACCAACTCGTTGTATTTTTAGATCCCACATCCCACCACACTCAACAACCCCAGCACCCACGTTGGCCCTCGACTAATCCTTGGCAAACACTGCAATGACAGTTTCATCACTTGTGCTGCTTGTTTGCCAGAGAGAAAAGGTGTAAGGCAATGATGGTTGAGTTTAGCAAACAGTCAAGGAAATGCAGTTTGTGTTTCGTAACTGATAAATGTGTTAACAGATCACCATTATATGTCACAAAATGGTCTTTTCTTCGGTATTATGTTTCGTGCCAAGTGATTTTTATGGTTATTGTACCAGTTTATATCTATATATGTGGATGAATATGAACAAATGTTGTGCGCATTCTTATTTTACAAAAATAATATTAGCTCTCTTTTCAAGTGTTCAAATCCATTCGTGCTTAGCCTTAATCTTTTGTGGTATCAATTCTTCAGGTGAGTAGCAGCAGCCAATTGCACCAGGGTGAAGCAGATGCATGCTTCATGCATATTAACCAAGTATGTCGTGAGGAATCACATGTAAAGTAATGAAGCCAAGCCTAGTAAATGCCTCGGGTAATGGAGGTAAAAGGACAGGGAGGTTAGAAGGTTATAGAGGTCTCTCAGCAATTAGTTGTGGGCGAAATTTGGTAAGTGGGGCATTGGCGACATGATTATGATCCCCTGGTCTTGAGAATTGCTTGTTGAGAGAATGGATACCAAGTAACCAAATGTACAACAGTTCTGTAAAAATCTGGCTTGTATTACCCCCCTTTAAAAAGAAGAAAGATAATTGCATCAACCAAGGATAAAATAAAAGAATGTAATTTCCACAATCCACACAGCTCTTCTGCCCAGTTTATAGTCAATATCAAGGGCAAGGGGACCAGTCGAGAATTAAACTTGATCAGTGGAGTCTTGGCCAATAAAACGATTTTGGAACCCATTCACATGATGAAGCTACACTCAAAACCCCAAGCAGATTTATTTTTTCTGTTTACATCAGCAACACTTCCAACAAAGCTAACAAAAACTGGATTGTTTAGAAGATAGGAAAGATGAAACGGTGCTCATATTTAGATTTTCATACATACCCGTGTGGTCCTTAATTAATAGCAAATAATTATGTTATAAAAATAACAATACATCCTTGATTTGGATTATGAATAAACACGTTATTATATTACTAACCTACTAATAGAAAAGCTCTCTCAAATCTTAAAACAAAGGTTTACATGTAGATCTAGAAACAACATGTGCAGGTGGTTCCAAACGACGAACTCGTAGTTTTCTAATTTTTTATTTTTTATTTTTTGTTCTTTTTGTTGCTAATTTTGAATAAATATCGTTTTCTGAATTGTTAGTTTGTGGTTGTTTTTCAAAGAATAAATGTAAACTTTTCTACAATATCTTCTTACAAATGCAACAGGAGGATAATGCGAGAATATAACATTACTCTGTCAAAATATCTTCAAAAAAATTAATTGCTTATCTCACAGCTTTGTTGTCCGTTGATAACTTGATATTCTTTTTCAACGTAATCGTGACGATTGACCAAAAAGAAAAAACGTAACGTGACGAAAGCCAAGGATGATATGAACTCTGATTAAACTAATAATACGGATATGTTATCTTAATTCAATACTAAACTATTCTTTGTTTGCTCATGTTTACCTCCTCTTGGAATTACTAAATATATAGTTTCCTACTCAAATCTGTCTTGTATAATAAATTAATGCACAATAATAATAAGTTTCAAATTTGACCCAGTCAAGTTCTTTTATGAAATTAGTTGATGTAAAAATTTTGAGGAATAAGTTTTTGTTTTGGTTAATTCACATTTGAAAACGTAATATAAAAATCAATTAATATAACAAAAATTCCTTTTTCACGATGGTGTCACACTTCATTCTTGAAGACTTTCCACTGTCAATGAACATTAGAGAGCATTCAGATTAATGAGAATGTTATTACTCATCCAGACAGATTAATAGATACGTTGGCTAGGCATCCAAAATTAAATAAGTCTTTTCACATGGCATCCCCACGCATTTATTTTATCTACACGTAATGCAAGTAGGGGTGCTTGGATCAGCCTCACACTTTATATCATAACCTTCCGTTCATATTACATCAAGATCAAATTACATTATTAATAATCCAATTTTTTAATTATAATTATATATTAACTAGATTATTTGTGTCAATTTTTTAAAATTCAAATATTTATAATATTGTTATCAAATAGTATTTATTTTCATGAATTTTAAAAGTATATATCATGTTAATTTTTATGTATATGAATAAAGTATTAAATAATTTTGAATCAATATTAAATTTTTTATATGATTTATGTGATTGAAACTTTTAATTTAATGGTTGATTTTAAGATTAAATTATCAGACAAAAAAATATTAAATGATGTAAAAGTGAATATAATTTACACTGGTGTAATTTAATCATTGTATGTATGGATTAAAAAATTTTATTTGTATTCTTCAGCGAGTCTAGTTAACTGCTCAATGCGATTTAAAAAATGTTACTGTAGAGTTTATATATAAAATTGGTGACAGAATATAAGATATACTTGTAGAAAACACTCTAAATCTCAAGCTAGTACTTGCACTAATAAAGTAATAACTGAGAATAAATTACATACCGTATCAAATGAAAAAATGCCAATTATATAATACATGGGTATAAGTAATACACAACTTGAAATTTATTTAATTATATGAAAAATTTTATATAAGTTGTAATATTATTACAATAACTATATATATAATTTTAAATAATTTACACACTCATAAATAAATAATCTAATAAAAAATATTTATTTTTAAAAATATTGGACTTGGTATGTGTTTAAATTAGTTGAAATTCTTTTAATAATAAATTATTAGGACAATAAGTCATCTAAAATATGTTTTATGTTTGAATATATTAGATAGAAAGCAATTTTAAAATAAACTATTCTTTTTAGATCGTATAAAAATAACATCTTTTCTTAAGTAAAATTACAAAGAAAATGAAGTTAAAAATAGTAAAAAAAAAAAAAGAAAATAAAGTTAATCGTAGTAGTTAGCCTTTTATTTAAGACAATTATTCAATAAAGATAAAATTAAAATTAAAATTTACCAGAAAATAAGGTGATAGTTTTCAGTCGTAAGCTCCAAAATTATACTCATTAAATAAGTTATTTTTCTTTTAAAAAAAAAAGATTATAAGCTGGTTTCCTAAAATTTGCCAAAAAATTATGAAGAGTAATTTTTTTAAAAATATTTTTACATAATTCAAAAAATTCAATAAAAAAACTTAATTAAATTTTTGTGCAAAAAAAAATATTAATTTTTTAGTAGATATCTCATATTTAATTTTTTTAAATAAGATTTTCATAAAAACAATTTTAATACAAAATAGTCCTTTCTATTTATTTTATTTTTATTTAAATATAATATTTTTTTATTTCGTCCCTATTTTAGAGCAACCAAATAAAAATATATGATGTTTTAAAAAATAAATAAGAAACTCCTAATATTTAAAGGATTAAATAAAAAAATTATGATATTAAAATTCAAATAGATCAAATTGAAAATAAAAATTACAAAAGACAATTCAGTAAAAAAAATATTATAAAAATGTTTCAAAAAATAAATAAGGGATCAGTAAAAAATTATAATTATTTTAAGAACCAAAAAATTAGTTAAATCATAAATTTTAATATATTAAAATAAAATAACATGATAAAGTATTGTTTAATTTTAAAATTATATAAAATTTAATATATTTAATCTATTTTATAAAAAAATTAACTATTATAATTAAATTAATAAAATTTAACCTTTGTAGAAAATTATTAAAATATTAATTTGAAACCTAACATCATATAAATCTGGGAAGGGAAGTAAATGACAGTAGACAACTCATTCCGCGGAACACGGAAGGGCAAAACCGTCCTTTCATACCCAAATAGTCACTGTGCTCATGCTACGTCTCTTCTGACGCCATCACATGACGCAATCCCAGTGACATAATTTCATCGACTTCATACACGTGGCACATCATCAGCCGTCGTAATCATCACGCATTGCGGTCTCGCGTGGATGTTGCCGATTACTATTGGGGTTGTGGAATTTTCCTGGCAGGGAACCTTAGATCTTAGTATATGAACAGCAAGTGGCTAATTTATTGTTTCTTTATTTTGTCTTACAACAAATAATAAAAATAAATAAATAAATAAAATAAATAATTTGGCATAGGCACAGTGAGTGCTAAACAAAATAAATATATATAGACATATAAAGATAGTTAAGGTAACTTGGCTGAACTGGGTAGCACCTAAGAAGGATAGTGAAGAGAAAGAAAGAGCAATGAATCATAGAAAGGCAATAGAGGAGCTTGTGAGAGGGCGTGAGTTTGCCAATCAGCTTAGAGAAGTGATTCATGGAGATGATGAGTCAGGAAGTGGAATCCCATTTGCACAACATCTTGTCAATAACGTTCTTAGTTCATTCACAAACACCCTCTTCCTTTTGGACAATTATCCCACTGTTGAATCTCATGATATGCAACAAAGAAACTCTTGCTTTCTTAGCCCCTCTAAATCTGAGGACTCTCAAGAAAGTTGCAAGAGTTTCACCAGTAAGAACAGAAGAGGATGTTACAAGAGAAGGTTAGTAATCATTATTATACTTAGTGATGAAATATATTCAATTTCTGCAATTAAGGCTTGAATTTCACTTCTCACCTGTTTGCTTAGATTTGGATCTCAAAGATAGAATGCAAAAGCGTCCCTTTGGTACCTTAATGGTCGTTGTTATTACTTAATACGTATAGATTCAATGCATTTGTCCAGTGGACCCCATCACTATATTGTTTAGCACCCTCGAATTTGATGCACGATTATGATATAATTAGGGCATCTTGTCTATCTTATTATTTTTATCCCTTTGTTGTGCTTTGCTCATTCAAAATTAAGCACAGTTTCTGGTTCAAAGTTTGTGTAAATCTGGATTTCTTGTATATATGCAGAAAAACTACAGAAACATGGGAGAAGGTGTCAAAAACTCTAATAGATGATGGCCACCAATGGAGAAAGTATGGCCAAAAAGCCATACTCACCGCCAAATACTCAAGGTAGGTAATATATATATAGAATATTAATTCCTTTTCTTTCATCTCATTCCATATATATATATATATAGACACAATTTCCCTTAATTAAAAATATATGTGTGTATAGGAACTATTACAGGTGCACTCACAAGTATGATCAGAGTTGCCAAGCAACAAAACAGGTGCAGAGAATTCAAGAGGAACCTCCCTTGTATAGGACCACCTATTATGGTCAGCACACATGCAAAGACTTGCTAAACTCTGAGATCATACTAGATTCCACTTCCACTCCTGACACTTCTATATTGCTTAGCTTTAATAACACCTTCCCTAATCCAACCAAACAAGAGTGCCCCTTTTTATCATCATCTTTTCCCTCATCATCAGTGAACAAGGAGGAGATAATTCCCTCATCTTCCTCAGATAATTACCTGCTCTCCCCAGAGCCCATTTTGGATGATTCTTCATGGCATAACAATGTCGCTCTATCATCATCCAATCAAAGGGATGTCATGTCTTCGGTCTTGTGTGATTCTGTTGACCTTGATGATGTCTTTCAGTCCTTAGTTGGATTTTGATGAATGATTGGGAATGTTTTGGCAGGCAAATGTAAATTTCTTTTTCAGTTGACAAGAATGCTTGATATTACCAAAAGTTAATGAGATAATGTTACTATCTTGAAAGTTGGAAAAGCCATTATTGTAGTATCTTCAATTACTTTTCATCCATTTTCAATGTTCTAGCTATAAACTATACCGAGCTTGAAATTACATAATTCAGATTTTATATATGGTTTCGTGTTAGCATAGGAGAAACAACAATAATATATCTTTTGTTGTAGAGCAAATGTACTAGTGGCTGACTAAGGGAAAAACAAACATAACTAATTCTAATCAAAAAGTGTCCTTTCACCAAATACATTAAGGCACCATGCAAAATGGATTATACAGTGACACAGTGCTATAGCACATATATGGGTCACATCAATTTTAAAACCATATAGTAATGATGAAACGAGCCAAAACTATATGCATTTGTATATATCCTCACATGTTTTATTTCCTTGTTCTATATATAGATTGACTCGCTTGTATTAATTACACTTCAAATAATTCAAGTGATTGTGACGAATATATATATAAAGGTAGGTTAAAAGCACAAATTCCAGCGGGACCTAGCTGGACATGTTGAGTTGTTCGCATATTGCTGTGTTGTACTTCTCAGGGATGAGCTTTTGCACTTCTTTTTGGATCGCGAGAAGCTGTCTGTCCAAGAAGATGATGAAACCGGTTGGAACAGTGAAATTCATTAACAAGAAGCAAAGTGTAGTAAACCGCAACTACTTTATCCATAAAGATCATTTGACTACTCATGTTAATTAAAGATGTGCTTCAATTTAATCTGTACATAATGTTAAAAACTAAATTAGCACTATCATTGATAGATTATCATTCATTTTCAGCCCTCCACACCTGTGAGATACACTTCATATATATCTAAGAATGAGACAACTTTAAGCCTGTAAAAGAAAATATTCTAAGATCTACTTACTTAAACACATAAATCTCCCTTGGGATAGAATTATCTTATAATCAATGAGGAGATGTTTGTGGGAGCTAAAAAAGAAATGAAGCTTATGGTGAAGCATTTAAGCTCATTTTTGCAAGGGTTAAATGCAATTTTTCTAGCATCCTGTCTATCTTTCTCTTAAGCAAAGTTTTGTAACTTTTCTAACCATTCATTTCACGTGCTTTTAATCCAATGGTTAGGAATGAATATGACACCGTGAAGGGTAAAAAAGTAAATATTAAGTGAGATGTTTTAGTTCTTCTCTTCTAACACTTGTTTTGACATTTCTTCTTTCATCAAGCAAAACTCTATTATCCAATATGGTTGGAATTGTAATCCCACTCATGAATGATTAGGAATAATTATGACACTCTTGTCTCCTCCATAGTGAAATGGAATGGAGGGAAAGAGGAAAGTAGTAAAATGCACTTAGTTGATATGCATGCACTCAAGTTTTGAGAGTTACACTTTTTTTTCATTAAAGACAAAGAAAAAGGAGGCTTTCATACAAAAGAAACCTAAGAGAGATTTGTAATTTGAAAAATTGTCACTAGAAACAATAAGTACAATTTTTAGCATCAATGTCGCCAAGGAATGAAAAATGAATAAACTAGTAGCAGAGGAATATGAGAAATGAATAGTCTTAAAAGAGTTCCTCTATAATATAGATTATGCAAGAAGTCACATGATTATTATAATAATTATAAAGATTTGGCAGGTTGTTATAACCTAGTGTTGTAGAGTGGAATAGAATGGAAGAGAAGAAGAAAGCAATGCAGAGTGAGGATGTATTGGAAGGTTAAAGGAAAATTTTCGGAGTGAAAAATAAATTGAAAGAGTTAAGCATAAAAAAGAAAAGAAAGGAATGAGTGTTATTCTAATATGGTATTTACTATTTTTTCCCTAATTTCCTAGTTGGTTATCATAAATTTTTTTTTCCAATTTTCAGTATTAAATCCTAATCACTAAATTAAAAATGCACAAAATCAATAATCTGGAATCATGAAAAACTTTCTTAGGAAAGAGATTGAGAGGATGCTAGAATCTATCTATTCTCAACATTTCTAGTAATGTTTGCCTTTAAGTTTCACCATGCTACCAACTGAATTTTGGGTGTCAAAATCAATTCTAGGAAAAGCTTGTATAAAATAATTTTGGTATTGAGTTATAAGAATTTTAAACTAAACTTTAATTTACTATAAACTCTTTTTTTAGTGTTTTTTTTAGGTATGTTAAAGTTTCTAAATATAAATTACTTTACTTTAAACTTAATTTTAATTATAAAATCAAAATAATTTAAAATTAAATTTGCAAATAATCTCACAAACAACAACAAAATATGATGAGAAATCAACGACAAACAGTACATGAAGATGTAGTACATGATAAAGGTGATCATTCCTCTTCAGAAGTATTCTCTATTTTAACCTATGCAACTTGTTCATTGTTGACAAAACTTTATTCAAAGAGCTTACTAATATTAAAATTAGTAATAGTGCCATTTATCATAACTTTTAGTTTTCTCCCTTATCTTCTTAATTATCTTTCAATAGGTGTATATCTAGTGAGTGCATAATATATCATTTCCTTATAAAAATTGAGTTTGTAAATTATCAAAAATTAATTTTCTACGTAAGAGCACTAGATCATGACCTAAATTGTAGCACCTGGTCGTTCGAAAAAATATATTTTAAAATAATATCAATTTATGTTTCCATTAATCAAATATAAAGGAATTGATATTATCTACTATCTATTGAGACCGTCCCATCACCATCATGAATTAAAGTGATATATAGCGGTCTTTCTTTTACCCAAAGAATTTTAATAGAATCTAATTATCATCAATATTCATAAATTACTGAAAAAAATCATTTACTAACTACGAGGGATTAAATTAGTCTCAATTAATATAGTTAAATTATGAGGACATAAATTTCTCCCTTTTTTTAAGTGATTGAAAATCGTTTATGCATTTTAATTATGTTAAAATATGTTTGGGAGAGAGAAGATTTAGAAAAATAAAGACATATTTTTGTAATTTTAAAATAGAAAATTAAATATCATATATAATAATAAACACACTTAAATTTATATTAATATTAATATATTCATTTATATTTTTTATTTTAAAATATTAGTTTTAAATATATTTATTTTTTAAAAAAATTTCCCCTCCCATTTCCTCCAAAAGTCTTCTTCCCATACAATTCTTTAATAAAAAAAAATATATACATCAGGATCTATTTTGATTTGTTAATGGGGTTCAGCTTACTCAGTCCACCTGCTGTCTATGATATAATTTAAGTTCAAAATTTTCTCTTTTTATAAGAATTTTACTGATGCATTAATGGTTTGTCTTAGAGCTGGTTTTGGAATACAAGGGAGATATCTCCTTTACCATAAACACGTAAACATTGTCCTAAAAAAATATATCAAAAGAATTATATTTTATTTTATAAAAGATATATCAAGTTGACATATATTCCAATCTAAACTTAAGTATCATGTCTCTATTTTTATCATTATTTTGACCATCAGTTTCGTTCTGAAACTTTGCTGTGTTGTACAACAAAACCAAAGATAGTCTCTACAAATCATTGGTGTCATCACCTTCTCACATTGCTAATAATGAATTAACCACCAAAATACACATCGTAAGTTTGAATTTTTGGGTAAAATAGTAACGCCTAAGAGACTAAGGCTATGTTTTAGACATACAAAAAGACTAAGACCAAGGCAACCCAAGAGCAATCTAGAAGCCACTTTACATTGCCATTTTTCAACATACAAAATGCCCATAGAAAAAATAATTGTGAACAAGTGCTCATTAGCAATACCAAGTTCAAAATCTCTCTTTGATGGGATGAATAACATTGCACAAAAATCTAACAACACCCAGTTAATTAATTGATTTTACTGACAAATTTTTAAATTACTTTTAGCAACTAATTTAAAACAAAAAGTTATCATCAACTAAAATATAATAAATATTCAACAAAAGTCTATCATTTTAAATTGTTTAAAATCATTTCAAAAAGTGAAATTAATATTTATCTTAATTAATTAATCATTAAAAATGAGGTCATGAAAGTTCTACAACTGTTCAAACACATCTCAACTGTTCAAAAATGAGTGTCCATTTCAGCAAATATACAGTAAATTAACAGAATCGAAGAATATATAGTAAATTAATGTGTGATGTGTGTGTGAACAAATAGCATGAGTTTAGAACTTAATACAGAATCCAGAAAGAAGATCATGGTGGCCTATACATCTACCACCATCCATATTTGAGTATGACACAACATAATAAAGGTGAAACAGATAAAACAAAGGAGAAAGAAACAAGAGTCATGGAAGGACGGTGCCTTTAATTGAAATAATAAATATAGAGAATATGATCATATAAAGCGATGCACCACCAACCCATGAACCCATCACCATCATATCATTAAAATTACTATTACTTGGCTGCTTCAAAAAAGTGGTTCTTTGGAGACTCAGACGTGTGGATTGGTTCACGGATTCAAAACTCCAAATCCTAACCTTTTTCCTTCAAATCACTCGTACTAATTCAACTCCCAATGCAAGTTAGGTCTCACTTAACGTTACCATATTGAAATCCTTGTTTCGATTTTACTTTTTCTAAATCATCATTTATTTTTATCAATTTCTTAAAGTTTTTTAAAATAATTATCTCCTGATTTATTTGAATGAAAAAAACATATGAATAATGATTTGTTTTTTATTTTATTATAGAGAAAAAATAACTTCTTAAAAATTAAAATTCAATTTTTTTTTGCTTTTTATTTTTCTTCAATTTAAATTTAACACTTACTCTCGTCTCTTATTTCACTTAAGTATGATATTGCATGATAAGTGAAATTGTCTCCATAATTTTTGGAATTCTCAAATAATATTCTATGTTAAGCAAAATTAATTTTGAATATATATCTTTGGACATGCTTTTTAAATATAAATTAATTTTTACTACTAATTTTCTAAATTTAATAATTTTTTTAAAATAAGTTATATTAAACCATTGAGCCGTTGATCAAATGTTAGAGATTGTTTTAAATTAACATATTAGTTGTACCCAAATTGTAAACAAACAAAAATGTTAAGAAACAGTGTTGAGTTGAGGTTGTATAGATCTTGTAGATGCACAATAATGTATACAAGAGTGGAGACACTAATCAGCGATCAACCGAGGATTCATCAGTGTCCACTTATCTACGTACCCTCATTTTCCAACAAATTAAGACTTCTTTTCAATAAATTTATGAAATATTAAGGTTTTCACACTGACAAGGGAAAAAGTTCGTTGAATCCTTTGATTGAATCAAAAAATTTTGTATCTTTGTCTTTAATTGTTTCAACAACCTTTTGATGCTATCTGTGTTATAATAATATATCTTCAACCTCTCTCAACAACCAATACAATGAACGCATTATGCATAACTTTTCTTCGCTAGCTCCAATTCTTACTACTTTTTGCCAATACTAACCAAATACCAGTATTTTGCAGGTGCCCATTCAAGAACAAAGGTATTTTTTTATTAAAAAATTATAAATATAATTTTAATGTATCTTAAATGTAATTTTCTATAAGAGCTTTTTATATTAATTTATTTTGAATAACATCTTTATTTAATCTTATGACTCATTATTTCAACTAACTACTATAATCATATATCAATTTCTTTTACTTATTATATAGTGGGTTAGTGGGAAGTTAAAGAATAATACGTCAAACAGATAAAATATAAATGGATGCATTTTAATTAAGATAAAATAAAATTATACATAAATTTAAAATAATAATCTATATACATAACTTTAAACAAAAAAAAATATGAAATAGGATGGAATTTTATTTTATTTTTTAGTAAAAATGGACGTGTGCAGTGGGCTGCAAGAAATTATATTTTTTAAAACACAATAATTTAGTATTAATTATTTTAATTCATGTTACATACTCTTCTTACCAGGTTTTGGTTTTTAAATTCGTACATTAAGACTCCAAACCTGAATTGACTCGGGGTTGACTAAATAGGACAAGTACAGTAAATCCAAATTTCGTTCAAAATATGGCCGTGTAGACATGGCAGATGCATTCATATGGATTTAATTAAGAGGTGTTTGGTGGTGGTGTGTGCGTGTATGTATATATACATAGAGAGAAACAGAGAAGTAGATGTTCTTACATTGTTATAAATATTAGATTTAAGTTAAATAAAAAATTTAAATTAAGTGTAACAGTTTTTAGATTTACACTGATATAACAAATTATATATATATATATATATATATATGAGTGGCATCAGCTTCCGTCCGTTATTAGCAAAGAAAAATAATTAAATGAAATTCTTTAAGTGTTTTAATATTATTTTTGAATTAAATTTTTTAGTTCTAATATAAAATAATTAGATGGAATTAGAGCTAGGAAAAAAAAATTTAATTAATTTAATTGTGTTTAAAAACACACTACAAAGTCTCTAAACGTAGGTTAACATTACAACTAGTCAAATTAAAGCAATCATGGATATACCAATATCTTAACATGAAATCAAACATATTATAAGTTACTTTACAGATCAAATTGCACTTAAAAAATTTGAATAATGTAAATTAATTTTAAAACCAATTTTTGTTTGCTTTCGGGTTATAACTTAAATGGGATAGCATGTTTTAAGGAAATTCTTCCTTGGCATACCTTAAAAACAGTATAAAAAGTTTAAAATTTATTTTATTTTGCATTTAAACAAGCACTTAATTCTTAATAAATGGCTTGATTAACCCATTTTTAAAATTGGTTTTGGATAATAATTAGTGTCAAAATAAATTTTTATTAAAGACTAATTTTACTTTGTTTTACAATATTTATTTTCAATTTAATTTTATATTTATTTAAAAACAACTTTAAAATATTTTTAATAAAAAAATCTTGTTTTAATTTAAAACTAATTTTAAATCTGAATCTTCAAACTAAACCGGTTTTTTTCCATGTCTGTTTCAAAATCCACTTGAAACTAACTTGGTCAAAAATCAATCTAATTTTTAAAAAATCATTTTAATTTTAAAATTCAATTCATATATTTAGTTTTAAATTAAATTTAGTTTTGTGTTAAACCTCATGCACCCCCCTCCTAGACAGACCTTACACATTTTTTGTCAACAGACCTTAAACCTTTAAAACATTCGCAATTTGTTTTGGGTTTTTTAATGACAGTAACAAGACTGAAAAAAGCCCAAGACAAAAAAGCCTAAATGACAAACAGTGTTTTGATAAACCTCCTCTGGGCTTGAAGTAGCATCCATGACTTGGTTACTGCCTTTGGATCCATTTTTATTTTTCTTTTTTACATCCTCTTTCGTTTTCCTATGTAAATAAATTGAACAAAAATAATCATCAAAGAAGCCAATTTTTATGAATAAGTATTATCATTTGAATATTTAACTTAATAAATCGATGGAACTTATATATTATTGAATCGATTGTTTAAGGGCTGTCTTCTAACAGGTGCTTTAGGCTGTTGGTTCATCTAATCAAGTTTTATGTTATAAAACTTAATCTTTATTTTTAAATATAAAAACTTTTAGCTTTTTTTTTCTTAAATTTGCTCCTTTCTTGATTTCTCCCTGAATCGAAATTGCTTATTTGTTTTTACTTATATTTGAATTAATTATGAATTTTTTTATAATTTAAAACGTTTTTATTTTGGTTTATTCTTTTTTAGATTTCGCCTAAATTTTTTAATAAATATGGAAAGGGAAAGATGAACTCCAAATAAATAAAAGGGAGCATTAATAATTATACAATACAATAACAGTTTCATATATATTTTTTTATTAACAACTGAAACATTAAGATTCACATTAATTTATTATGGAATTTTGATATTTTTAATTAAATAAAATAATAATTAATTGAATTACGTATTATATAATTAATAAAATAAATAAATAGTAACAAATTTATTTTTGAGTCGATATGGAGAAGAAATCGGAGAGTAATTTAAGATTATTGAATGTAATATAGTAACTTTTAGTTTTACGCGTTTAACAAAAGTTTTGATTTATTCTTTAAATTTTTTAACTTATTAGTTTTTTAATTTAATTTAAGTTTCATTTAAACTCTTTAATATTTTTTTATTTAATGTAATCCTCTAAAACATTTGTTGTGCTATTTTTTTAACTTTGCTTTATCTTTCAATTTTTACTAATTTAGAAGATACTTTGGTGTTTGATGTATATATATATATATATATATATATATATATATATATATATATATGAGATTTTATCAATAAAGATAGATTAACAATAATTATAAGATATTTATAATAGAAAAAATAGAAACAAGGGGTTGTTGGTAAATAATTTTCAAGTAAAGAAGTTTTTTTCATAATCTGAAAGTTTTGAATAAATTTTTTTTTGCTAGAATAATCCTAAAATGTTTAAAGAATGTAAGATTGAAAAATCTTATGCAAAACATTATTATAATTAAAATTATTTGAATTAAAACATAAATGTAAATGATTATTTTAACCTAATAAATTAGTTAAAATATAAATTAAATAAAAAACAAAATTAAAAATTTAATTATTGAAAACAAAAATATAATTAAACCTGTAATAAGAAAATGTAATTTTGTTAAAAAAAATTGTACACATTTCTTAAATTAGAAGGGATTTTTTATTTTTAATAAAATTTATCTACTATTAAAGAGTGCTACCGAGTGATAGTATTTACAAAAAAAAAAAAAAAAAACTATTAAAAAAAGAGGTGTCGTTATAGTTTGGCTGGTTCGAGAACCGCATTACAAGTATTCCTGAATGCTCGAAGCTAGAAAATTTCTTCTGCCGCCGAGAATCGCTTTTTCTGGTTCTTGATCATCCAAACTGCTCCTTAACACCGAACCTTCGAGAAGATGGTGCTGATAGAGCAGCAAGAGTGCGAGGATCCAAACCCCAAACCCTCCAACGCCGCCGATGCCACCAATGACGCTTCCGACGGCTTCGAAACCGCCAGCGACGCCGATCTCGACAACGACGCCGAAGGCGGCGGAGCTAGCATCCGGGAAGAACAGCATCATCCCTCGGAATGCCAACATCAACCGCAGGCAGAGCAAGAGCAGGAGCAGGGTGTTCCTGGGAGCAGCGAGTCCTCCGAAAATGCCTTGATCAACGAGGAGGAATTGAAACAGGTTCGTTTCCGAATTTAGGGTTTCTTATTGCTAATTCATTTCTCAATTCTCTGCAAATTGTTTGTGCAAGCAATAATTAGTTTTGTAATATTGATTTGATATCTTGAAGAAAGTGTTTCTTTGTTTATCAAAAGAGAGTATTGAGGGGGATTGGTTCGTGTGACAGAAAGCATTGGTTGAAGCAAATGAAGCGAAGGTAGAAGGTAACAAATTTTTTGTAGATGGGAAGTATGAAGAGGCGTTATCACAATATGAGCTTGCTTTACAAGCTGCACCAGACATGCCTTCCGCCGTGGAATTACGCTCAATATGCCATGCAAATCGTGCTGTGTGCTTTCTCAAACTCGTATGCCCTTCTTTTACCCTGTTAATTTGATTAGTACATTCCTGTATTATGCTCTTTTTTACGTCAACCAGATGAAGTATTAATCCCATTTTATTCTATTTTACTTTTGCTAGAGTAGATAGCTTATAACTAGTGGTGTCTATCTTGGTCCCTGACCTTTTTTGTGTTTGCATTCATATTAGAGTTCAGAATTATAGGTTAAGGTTCAAAGTTGGTTTTGTTCTTAGCTCATGAGTATATGACCTGTTTGGTTTGATAAAATATTATGTTTTTACTGCTTGTTTTTATTGATGATTATAAAAATGCCGCATTGTTGCACTTCGTTTCTTAATTTCCAATTTCATTGTTTCCTACATACATCTTTGAAAATAAGAGGAGAGTGAGAACAAGGTGGCATTTTTGTAATTATTTGTGAAAATGAAAAATATTTTATCGAACCAAACTTGCCCAGAATTTTCTACTGCATATTAATCCAAAAGAATAAAAAACTAAAAACTAAGTATTGTTTGTTTTTATTAAAAAAAGTACTATTTAGTCAATTTAAATTATCAATTAATTTTAATTAAAAGATTACTAGAGAAAAGAGAGGGTAAGTGCAACTGTTCCACATCGTGCGATGCATCAAGGACCATGAAAGTGAAGCTTGCTACAAAGTTACCTACATTACAGAAATTGATATTACCTAGAAATAGCCTAGAGCCACAACAGTACCGAAAACCAAAGCTTAAATTTAATACTCTCATTACGAGTTGAAGGGAAACAAGACCCCTTAGAGATGTGAGCATTATGACCCAGCCATAAGCAATTTAACTTGTTTTAGAAATAGGTAAAGTATTGTTTTGATGAGCATCAACCAAGTTTCTAGTAGACTCCAAATTTGAGGATAGATGCTAATTTATTACATAAGATAGCTTGGGTATATACACATTTATTACTCCCTAATGTAATAAATCTGAGCAAAATCCAACCGCAATCTGATTCTTTCAAGAGGTCTGTTTAACCAAAAGACCATAAGAATAGTTGCTGTATACTTTATTCTCTTGCTTTTACCTTGTTTCAATTTTTTAGTGATATATGCAAACATTTTAATAATTTTAATTCAATATAAAGCTGCTACAGAGTCTACCATCATCTTTGTGCCCCTTTGATTATGTTTGCAATTGATTGAGTTAATTGTTTGATTTTCTTTAACATATCTCAAATATACGTCAGGGAAAATATGAAAACACAATTAAAGAATGTACAAAAGCATTAGAATTGAATCCTGTGTACGTTAAAGCCTTGGTGAGAAGAGGAGAGGCTCATGAAAAGCTTGAGCACTTTGAAGAGGCCATTGCTGGTGAGTTCAACTTTTGTATTTGTGTGAGTGCAGGGTTCCTCCCCTATTTTCCTTTGTAAATAACAAAGTAAGGGAAATTTAATTTCTCAAATAAAAAGGGTATCAAGTGTAAACAGTACTGTAGTTATTCCTTCTTTTTTTTTGGCTCTTAATGTATAAGTGCATCACTGTGTGTTTTGCACACTAATAGCATTCAAATTCTTACAAACTTCTTCATTCATAACCAGTTCTTTTCAGTTCACCATATTTTCAAAAATAATTGACAGATATGAAAAAGATCTTAGAAATTGATCCCTCAAATGATCAAGCTAGAAAAACCATTCGGCGACTGGAGCCAGTTGCTGCAGAAAAACGGGAAAAGATGAAGGAAGAAATGATTGGTGAGTCTTTTTTGTCTTTCTCTTGGTTTTCCTATTAACATTCATATATGCTTGTTGTAATTTCATCTCCTTACATCAAAGACTCAAAACTAACATGGCATGATGGCAAAGATATTTCTCTTATCTCACTTGCCTTGTGTTTCTTGGCTTATTTACCTTAGTCAAGAAGTATTGAATGGATTGTAAAGACTGTCTATGTTTACTTTTAATACACGTGTGGCCATTCTTAGCATCAACTTGTTTTCTAGTGTTTCACTTTGGTGAAGCAAATTCCAAATCAAGTTTAATCAAATGAGACCTTGTATGCAATAAATACTTATATCAAAGGAATCTTTGAATGCCTTGTTAAGATATTTTCAAGCACTGGGGTTTCCAGGTGATTGAAAGATGTACATATTGATTTTCATTCATAGTGCAATTCTAGAGATTTGCATCTCAGCTTGTTGAATGATTGCATTTCATCTCATAGACATGTATTGTTTTCCTAGGTAAGAATACTCATTATGATACGCTGCTTGTATTCTTTGCAATGGGCATAGAGCTGGTTTTTGTTTAGATGGAATCTTGAGGAAGAAATGTTAGGATTGGCTGATTATACATATTATTTTTAAGTTTTAGAACAAAGCTGAAGGTGCTTTGTTTTATATATACCTTTTGGATATGGGGCTGAACTAATTAATTGGGTTTTTTTATTCATTTATACATATTATCTGTTTTTTTTTTTTTTTTTTGCCACTGTCTATATCTGTTATTCTGTTTTCTAAAGGCAAAGTTTTATCATAAATTGTGAATAGTTAATAACAATATTTCTATCTGTGGCTTTTGTTATTCTCGAGTATGTTTCACATTGCTTAGACAGAGAAAGGTTTCTTGATGCAGGGAAACTGAAAGACATGGGTAATTCTGTCTTGGGCCGCTTTGGGATGAGCATAGACAACTTTAAAGCAGTCAAAGATCCGAACACCGGTTCCTATTCCATCTCATTCCAGCGTTAAATTGTCCACCGAGTACCGAAGTCATTATAACAACATTAAACAAGAAAGAAGCGGCCTAGAATGACGCAGGGTTGACACTTATTTGTGCATGCAAGTTATTAGGAATATTTTTATGTTAGTAATGTATGAGAAGTGAGAATTAAGGCATATAAATTTGTTATGGTTTCATTGAGTAAGTCTATAATAATCTCTTCACATTCCAACATGTCATTTGTTTTCATTTTGGGAGAAATTTCATGTTGTGTGATTTGGCTGTTGAGAAGTACTGGCAAGATCTTTCGTACACTTGATAACCAACTTGAGATTTCATCCAATAATAGAGCAAGTGTTGAAAAGGTGCCAAAATGTGTTCCTAGCATCCTCTCAACTTTTAGGCTTTTATTTGAAGTGGTGGAATGTAATGGAATGGTATTTTGTTCCATTAATTGGATTGATAAAATGAAGATGGAACATAATTGAACTTAATAAAAATCATTTCATTTTATTTTATTACTTATGCTCACTTTTGATCACCTACAATTTGGGAAGAATGGAATAGAACTAAAAAAAAAGAAATATAATTTAAAAAAACATTATTTTATCATTGTCATATTTTCATTATTATATATCTGTTATATTTAAATTACACATAATATTGTTGCACTCCTTTCTCTAGTTGTCAACTCTCTTTATTTGGTCATCATTATTCTTCTCTTGTTAAGGTATTTTTTTTGTTCAGTGAACATTAAAATATGAAATATTGGAATTAGAAATAATATATTAAATAAATAAATTATCCTCACAATTGAAAATATATATAAGTAATTGGATATGGTTATTTGAAGCATGGTTTATTGACATTGAGACAAATGTTTTTCTTATGCTTGAAATGTTAATGGGTTTTTATGATTAAGTTTATTTATTTTTTAAAAAAGAGATTTTGTTCTCGTCACTTTTGGAAAAGGAACTTTATAGATATAATTTTTTTTTCTAAATAATACACATTTAAATTTGTCATAAATTGAGAATTTTCTAAAGAAAAATATAGGACGATATAATTGTTATAATTTATAGAACTATGAAAATGATATTTGTTGAAATGAGTTTTTAGTTTATATTGTTTAACATGTAAATAACATTTTTTAATAAAATGTAAATAATTTATTTATTACTACAATGATTTTTTATTAATTTAAATTTGAACATCATATTTAAATTTATATATAATTAAATTAAAATTAGATTGATGATATTTAAAATATACAAACAAATAATATACATATTTTAAAATTAAAAGTTAAAGAAATAATTATGCAAATCAACTTAGATATACACAACAAAATAATATATTATTGCCATATTTTTGTGTGTTAGATTCTCAGTTGGTATATAAAAACAATTTTATGTTTTTTAAATAAATTTGTTTATTTTTGTTCTTATATAACATTTTAATTTAATTTATATATTTATAATTATTTTTAATTTGGTGATTATCATTTGCTAAAGTTAATATAATAAGGCATGATTAAATTGAAAATACATTGTAAGAATAAAAAATTATAATTCACTCAATTTCATTCACTATTCAAATAGTAGAATAATTTTTTTTTTATCTCATTTTATCATAGCACATTTAAACAATGAAATGATATATTTTTTTAATATGTTCAATTTTATTTAATTCCAAGTTAGTTTATTTCATCTTATTATATCTCCTTCCATCAATCCAAACATATGCCCAATGTTCTTAAAGATGGCGCTTGTTTGAGTTGGACATTTTAACTTAAGTCACTTCACACTCGTTTGATACCAAAAAAAAAATAAAAAATGCGAGATAAACGAAAGAAAATTGCAGCTCATTTACATACTTTCCTCTAAATTTGTCACTCTTAGGGGTTTGCCGTTCAGTTTAAATTGATGTTGGGGTCAAAAGTTACTCGAAAGTAAAGTAATGCTTCCATATGATTTGATGCTGGTTCAACAATATTCTATATATTTAGATTTATTATTCTCACCGGGGTGTCTCTCCCATACCAATTCGTGGCTTTAATAACACTTACCAAGTTGAACCGTTAACCTCAGATGGCTTCAGTAGAAGACTACGTTTATTTCAGTATTATTGACGGGTGAAGGAAAGGGGTCTAGAATAACAGTATCCATTTTATAAATAGCAACACTTCATGTCACGAGAAAACAATTTTATATGATAAGAAAGATGATTTTGAGGACAATGTTGACCAAGATCATTTCAATTTTGGGTACAGACAGAGATGCAATTTCAATTTAACAAACAGATATTCACTCACCCCCCGATCTGTTTTGCCCTCATCAATTCATTTTTCATGCTGCTAATTAGTCTACGACATGCACTGGAACATCCACCTGCATGTTGATTTAACAAAAAGAATGTGACACGTGAGTTACACACTAAATAGCAGAGGTTCCCTTCCATGTAGTTTTTGAAGCATTATTCTCTTCACAAACAGTGGTGCTTTCAAATTGAAGGGTCAAACATACAGTACAAATGGGGGGAGTGGAAGGCCGAAAAGCGTCAGTTTGTGGTACATAGGCAATTCAAATATTTGGTGCGGCACCCAGGAACATCATCAGTTAAGCTGTGGCTGTGGTATTATCATTACATCATTTATGCGCGAAATAACTAGTGCTAATCCAAATGAAGCCCTATTTTCTATAATTCGAATAATAAACAACATGGGACTTCAATATAGGGTTTCCTATAAGAAGGTGTGGCGTTGGTCAATGAAAAGCTAACAAACAAATCGCATGGTGAGTTGGTGACTGGAAATTTGGAAGAGTTCTTGCACTGTTACCTGGACGAATTGCTGATGTGCTAGTAAGTTGCATAAAAAAGCATCTTGCTACAGAGCATACGACCCACAATATAATTGGATGGGACAGTCTTCAAATTCCACTTGTCAAAATTTTCATTACAGACCTGGGGATTGAGCTTTAACACACCCAGAATCAAATAAAACACAGCTCTATAATTTAAAGCAGAGCAGGTGAGAACAATAGAAATTCTTCATTCACACATTAAATTCTCCTCCTATTATCAACTCGCGGTTTCTTTGATGCAGATCCAGCTTGTATACGCTCACCACTGGATCGAATCTGGATAGGAAGAAGAAATTGTTTCAAAGCTCCACAAAATAAATGATTCTAAAACATATGCAGAAGGAGACATCACCTTATCAAGCTTATCCCTCACAAACCTCACTGTTTGATTCATGGAATGGGAAGCAAAATAATCCTGGTTATAGAACATGTCAGTGTTAGGTAATACATGAAAAGCAAGTATCCTCTTTTTCCTTCGCATACAACATCCTAGTTAGAGCAAATTAATGAGTCTGATAACATGGGAAACTATAAACTCAGATCCACCAATGCATGCCCTAACAGATTGCAACAAAGTTTAAAACTGTAAGAAAAAATTTCCATCAGAGATATGATGATAGCTGAACATTTGAAAAATACAACAGCATATATGTTTCTCCCAAAATTCCAATTGGTCCTCAGAGACAAAGTTAATAAAGGCATGAAACTCGATTAACTTCAGAATGGCTAACAAACATTCTAACAACATTAATTGCAGGAAGAATTGTATGCATTCCCCATCCAAAAAGCTCCCTTCAATTGAAAGGGGAGATAGGACGAAGACCAGGGTAAAATTTTCAATATGCATGTAACAAAGAAGCAACTAACCTCATTAGAGGAAACAGTTGTTATTGGACAATTACTGCTGCAAGAAACTCGTTTGAATTCTAAATCCCTACAGTAAGAAGAGAATCAATAACAAACATTGCCTTAGTTCCAACTGAAAGCTTGGAACCACAGAGCTCAGACAAAATAAATGACCTTGCATTAGGATCTAATCGTTCTGCACAACTGGTCTTTGATGTAATCAGAGGCATAGAGCTCGAAGCGGTGGTCTCTTTAGATCTTCTAGCTGATATCATGGGGAATGCATGGATAAGTTGATAAAAATATGATTACAAGTTACAGCAAAAACTAGTATTCATATAACAAGCACTTGTGTATCCTATCCTATGTACTATGCAGTATGCATAAGTTTAAAATGTAACATACGGTCCAGTCGTGCTAAAACCTCCCTTCTTCTTCCCTCTAATTTATCCTTTGTGTCAGAGAGGCTCTCAAAATGGGGAGCATACGAAACCTGCAGTCGATTCCCCAGGAAAACAAAATCATCGAGTTTTCTTTTCGCAAACCTGAAATTTATAGATAGCAGGTACTCCCTCAACTCAACTTTCTAAAACATAACATACTAAGTGGTGTGTTTAGAAACATGTTACAAAGCCTTTATATGTAGATCCAAAGCAGAAGTTATAACTTGTAGCATTAAAATAAATGTGAATCCATATATATCATATCCTAAGTCCAAACCAAACACGCTGTAATTCATTAGGATTGTACTCATGTAATCATAACTACGGGGGTAAAATTGTATAGTATGGTGGGAGTTGAATGACACCTGGCATTGTGGAAAAAACGGAATTTGATCCAATAGACATCGGTGAATGGGTCACAGTCCTCTGCATCCATTGGCTTACACCTGTAGAGAAAAACATTAAAAAAATTTTAAAAGAAGAATTTGGGAAGGAGGGATGAAGGAACATTGCATACTCCTCAACTTGTCCATAGGATGAAAACAGTTGCAGCAAATCATCCCCGCAACCTAACGCTGGAACGTTCTTCACAGTTAAATATCTGCATAGACACGAGAGCAAGACAATTATAAAAGAAAAATTAAAAAAAAAAGAAAAAAGAAAAAATTTAAAAGGAATAAGAAGATAGAGTGACCTGGATTCATCGCAGACAGTATAGACCCGAATTGCAGGGGGCTCGTCTTTGTAACGAGGCATTTGTCTGTGTTCAAACAAATTAGGGTTAGGGATATGAAAAACTAGGATATATTTGAAGTAATGAAACGTTCTTGTTTCAATGTTGAAGAATGAATTGAATTAGCAGTACTTCTATATAGAAGCTGCGTGGCGATCACGACTCCGATGGTGACGCCGACGGATGAACGCTGCGGTAGCCGGAGACAGAGAAGCAGCTTTAAATCTCTTCCTGCAACTGCAATGCAAGGATCAAACGCATATGACGTCGTTTGGCATAATTTTCAGCTTCGATTTTATAACATGCTTTTTTTAGGAGCACACAACTACATAAGAAATCAATCACTGTTTTTTTTTATTATTAAAAATCAAATTATTGGATTATATGATTTTTTAATAATTTTTAATAAAAAAATTATCTATAAAACAAATTCGATAATTATTTACAAGAAAATAAAAATATGCTGATTATTTATTCCAAAAATTATTTAATGGTCGATAATTAAGTTTGAATAAAATATATTTAAATTATTTTTTATGACAATATCATGTTAACTAATGATATATATAAAAAATAAATTTGAATAAAATAAGTTTGATTATATAATAAAGTAAAAATTATAATTTTTAAATTTTTTATTAATTTTTAATTTTATAAAAGAATATTTTTTTTTCATCCGATCGTGTATTTGAATACAATAAATAAGTTTATTATTGAAAAAAATTTATATATAAAAATTTAAATTAAAATCTTACATAAGTAATATGCTTGTCACTCAAATCAACTTCCATTAATAAAAAAAATATATATTTTAATATTATGATTTAAATAATATGATATGGATTACATGATTAAAAAATGTTGAATAATGAATTGAAATTTTCTACAATAATTACATCATTGTAATTAGTAGTTAGTATATTTTTATAATTTTATTTAAGCAAAATATAAAAAATACATCAATTACAAGTAAGTAAAAAATGTAGAGAATTTTGATCCTTAAATAAACATAAGACTAAAGTTTGAATTAAAATATATTAATTTAGTTAAGCATTTATCACTAGCAACATGGGTGAGAAAAAGGCGAAGATTACAAGTTAGGAGTGAAATACATTATTCAAGGTTAGTAATTTGGTTAGCTACTTAACTTTTTTAAACAAAGAACATTATTAATAATACACTTTTTAATATTTTATCTTTGACATATTATTTATTTTTATTAAAATCTATTAAAAATTAAAAAATATAAAAGAAAAATATTAATTTAAAAATGAGAAGTTTATAATTTTTGTAATTTACGTTATTGGCATTAATATTTTCAAATTAAAGAGAAACAGATTAGATTACCACCATAGTATTTGATTAATTGAAAAGCAATATTTGGTGATATAATTTGAAAATAAAAGAAGAGAGTAACTCTACGGTAGCAGAGGAGAGGAGAGGAGAGTAGAGTAGCACAGGTGAATTGAGAAATGAGAACACTAACAAGACAAGACTACACAAATCAACATTTCAACGTTGGGTTTCTTTGAGTTTATTAATGAACCAAAAAAGGTAGCAGAACCCTGCAAATTGCAAAACACTACCCTTATCCTTACCCGTCCTTCTCTGCTGCTGCTGCTCTGTCGTTTTCGCTATTCCTTTCAATTCAGAGACGACGATGTCGATGGGGTTTCGGATTCATCACACACTTGCTCTGTTTCTCATTCCGTTACTCATTCCGATCGCCGTAGTCCAAGTCAACGCCTCCATCCACGACTACTCCAACGAAACCTTCACTCACCGCTCCAACGCTTTCTTCTTCCATGGCGGCAGCGAAGCCCTCTTCGCCTCTTCTTCCCCCAACTCTAACTCTTTCATCAGGTTCCATCACATTCTCTCTAACTCTTAGGCTTTCTTGTTAGGGTTTCACTCATTCCATTCAATTCAATTCAGGTTCGAAACGGTAACGTTTACGCGCCCAAAGGAATCGGCCAGCAACAGCGGCGCGATGCAGCAGAACACGGGGTTGGTGGAAGCCATTATTCTGGAGGTCAAAGACAGGAACAGAATCGGAGGGTCGTACCTCAAATCCGATTTGATTTGCTGCGATCCGACCCTCGCAAATGATCACCATTGCAACGTCGGCGAAGTGATCATCCAGAAGAACCCCGACAGCCCTGAATTGCCCAAACGGATCAAAACTTTCTTTCAGGGAACCAGGGACAAGGTTCAGATGGATATTCAAACGCTTCAGATCAACGCCACCGGCATGTACTACCTCTACTTCATGTTCTGCGACCCTAATCTCCAGGGCACCACCATCGAAGGAAGGACCGTTTGGAGAAACCCTAACGGCTACCTCCCTGGGAAGATGGCACCTCTTATGACCCTCTATGGCTTCATGTCTCTGGCGTATTTGTTGCTCGGTCTTGCATGGTTTCTGAGGTTTGTTCAGTACTGGAAGGATATCATACATTTGCATTACCATATTACTGCTGTGATTGCGCTTGGTATGTGTGAGATGGCTGTGTGGTATTTTGAGTACGCCAATTTCAATTCCACTGGAACAAGGCCTATGGGGATTACCCTGTGGGCTGTGACCTTCACCTCCGTCAAGAAGACCTTGTCGCGCCTTCTGCTATTGGTTGTTTCCATGGGCTACGGTGTTGTCCGCCCCACGCTTGGTGGCCATGGGATTGCCTCCAGGATACTGCTTCTTGGCCTGCTATATTTTGTTGCCTCGGAGGCACTTGAGCTTGTTGAGCATTTGGGTAACATCAATGACTTCTCTGGCAAGACTAAGCTCGTTTTGGTACTCCCTGTCGTTTGCCTCGACTCCTGCTTCATTCTCTGGATTTTCTCTTCCTTGTCCAAAACCTTGGAAAAACTGCAGGCAATTTTGCTTTATTATTATCCTCTTATTATTATTGCTAATGCTGATTGACAAGGCCTGCATTTTTGAGCTTTGGTCGTGTATAACTGTAAATGCCGTTCTTCTCTCTGTTGATTGTTGTTTGGTTATGGCATGACTTTAGTGCTTTTTGTTGGGTCGGAATGTGGATTTTTGTGGACTGGATTATGGATATGCAGGTTGGTTGTAACAACATTTCTACTTATTAGTGTCCATTCGTGTTTGTTGTTTTTGGATGCAGACAAGGAGAAACTTGGCTAAACTGGAGCTCTACAGAAAGTTTACGAACACGCTTGCAGTCTCTGTCCTACTTTCGATTGCATGGATTGGTTTTGAGGTAGTTCATGGAAAGATATTTGATGCTCATAAATAAACAATTTTAGAGATGTCCTTTCTCTGTAGGAGTATCCAAACATTTTCATTTATGCATTTATTACATGAGTCAATGTTTCTAACTAGCATTTCTTGCTCTGTCCAACCAGCTATACTTCAATGCTACCGATCCATTGAGTGAGCTGTGGCAAATTGCTTGGATTATTCCAGCTTTCTGGTCACTGCTTTCGTTTGTTCTGTTGGTGGTGATCTGTGTCCTTTGGGCTCCTTCTCGTAACCCTACTAGGTACTTGTCCTTTCCATGACCTTTGGTGTGGTGGATGGTTACTTTTTAAGTTAAAAAATTTTTCAGGACAGTTAGTTGGTAATCTAAAAATTTTTCAGGACAGTTAGTTGGTAATCTTATGCTAATGTATTTGACCTTTAATTTGGAATGCCTTTAATATTTGAGTGTAGAACTAGTTGTTGCAACAGCAAAAGTTGGTTTGGGTCTTCATTTGCTGAATCTTTTTCATTTCATTATGAACTTGCAATTATATACTGCACATTTCGGTGGTGCTGGATCTTGTTTGCATCATAAATTTAGCCACACTTGTGCAAGTTTCCAATAACCCGTAGATGAAAATGCAAGTTTCTCTCTCTGTGTTAGGTGTGAGAGCATTAGGTGTTGCTTGAGTTTTCTAACACTGAAAATTTTTAACTGGTAATATATATTTCAACATTATTCATTTGATGGATATATTTGCTCGACTATGTACATTTTTCCTCACTACCCCTCTAACTGGGTGAAAAGATATTCTCATTTCAACCTTGTTATATTATTCTTTGATTCTGTATTGCTCAACGATTGATGAGTACAACAGCAAGTTGATCCTGTGTAATTTACATAGGGCATGCCAACCAATCCAGTTTCTCTTTGATAAATGTCAACTTCAATATTCTTTGTTCTGTCATGTTGTACCGGGTTATTAACTATGCTAATTGCAAACTTGTTCTCACAGTAGAGAGTCGTACTGGTCTATCTCACTTGATCTTCAAATCTTCAAGAATGATTTTTAACCAAAGTAGCTCACCCACACTTAATGACATAGCTCAAAATCCTACCTCTACACTAGACTGTGCTTCTACATTTGTTTTTACTCCATGACACAATATTCCCGCCTAGAAAGGTACAAAATTCAGAGGTTGATCTTCTATCATTCAAAGATCCATATTTAGCATTTTTATTTGCCTCAAGTACTAAACCTCTTCAATAGAATACCTTTTATAGTATTTCCCTTGAGATACTGTAGTACCTGATGAACTGCTTGTAGGTTAACTTCTCTGAGGCTATGCATAAATTGGCTGATTACATTTATTGCATACACAATATTTGGTCATGTGTGTGAGATTAATAAACTCTTTTTCTGTCTTGCTCCTTCTTGCTTATTGCTTCTCCATTCTTTTATGGGTCTTCTTTCTGTTTTTGTGCCGATTTATTCCTGGAAAGACTGATAGCATTTATATCTTTATTTGTAGATATGCATACTTAGAGGAAACAGGTGATGACTTTGATGAGGAGGGTATCTCTCTAACAAGCAGCGTAGCGAAGATGAGTGGGGATGTGGCAGTCAAGCTTGATCGGAAGGAAAGGAAAGGTTCTAGTGCAACAGATCTTGCCTTCGGAGAAGATGTTGAGGAAGATAAGCGAGAATAATGTCAAACCTGTATAGATATTAGTGTTTCACATGACATCGTTTCTTACAAGAGGTCGGCAGATGCCATATATACATGTGGTTTTGTATGCAGGTGGTGTCAATTGGTGATGGGGAAACAAGGAAGCAGTCTCATCGTTAGATCAAAATCTTGTAATCATGAGAATAGATTTCGTGACTGATGGTGTGATAAAATCTTTCCCCTGTTTGCTTTAAAATGACCATCATCCGTATGTATCCATCTCTGTACCATAGAATTTACATTTCCTTTACCTTTGGGTTTTCTTCATAGTATTATTTCCGGAAGCCTTATCTGCAATTAGCTAAACCAGTTTTAAAATTACTGCCTGAGGATTTTAAAGAGACTTACCCACCTTGTTGAGATTCATGATACAATTCAAAATTTTGACTTAAAAGTATTCTTCGATGCACTCAATTCGATTATTCTCTAATCCCCCACCCCACCAAAAAAAGAAAAAAAACAGAAAACAGAAGACAGAAGACAGAAGACTAAAAAAAAAAAAAAAAAGCAACTAAGAAACGGATGTACGTAGAAAATCGGTTAAAATAAATGAAAAAAAAAAAATTCCCCCTAATTTCAAGGCCAAAATGCAATGCAAATATAGGTGATATAGTTGTTTTGTGGACATGGTTTGACGTTTTTAAGAACTTGTAATTGCATGAAAATTAATTTAAATATTTATTTTATAAAATGAGGTTATTTGTAAGAAACTAAATGTGTCTATTTTCAGTTTTAATGGATTAGTAATTTAGTTTTATTATACTTTTTAAATTAAGTTTTTTTTTTTAATGAGTTCATCTTTAAATTTTAATCGTGTTATGGCTTTTAAATGACAGAAAGACGTCTCAATCTACCTTGAGATAGTTCATTGAACACTTCGCATAAAATAGGTTAATATAGTTAAACCTTCATCTTTTAATTATAGAATAAGTTAACCATGTTTTTGCGAAAAATATTAGTTATTTATAAAATTAAAAGTTTATGTGCATAAATATCATGAAATAGGTTGGTTTGTCAATTTTTTTTGCTAACATTGGTTTGTCAATTTTAAAGATTATTTTGAAGACGAGAAGAATAGCATTTAATTAAATAAATATTTTAAATTTTGTTAAAATTGTTTATTTATTAGAAAGTCCAAATTTTATATTTCCTTAGACTGGTTAACTTTTTCTCATATTTCTTAGTAGATTTAACTACACAAATTACACATTTATAAAAATAAAAAATCTTAGCAACTTTACATGATTGACTTTTTGTCACCATTGTATGATTCTGAATAAGAAAATGTTATCTTGATTAGGTAATTTATGTGTTTTTTTTTTATTTTTTTAAAGATGATGATATTAAAGTTTCAAAGAGACAACCTAAGGGCATTTACATCCAATAATGGAAAGTAATCATCTCCAAAAGAACAATATTACAATGCTTAGAAAATAAAACACTATAAAATAAAGCATGCTCGCTCAAAGTATACAAAATGAAATGTTAAACTAAAAAAACCAAGTGCAATGGGAAAGAACTCGTTCCTCTCTTAGCAACTTTATTTCCACAGACAAATAGCTGATTATTAAGAAAAGATTCCTCTTTTTTCTTCATTGTCTCTTCTTTTGGTTATATCTTGACATAGTTGGTTCTGTCGTACAACCAACTTATTTCAAATTTGAGAAGCTTGAAAGGTTGTAAGTACAACAGGTCATATCAAACTCAACTAATATTAACTCAAGAAAGAGAATGGGAAAGATACTTAAAAAAACAGTGGCTGGATGAAAAATGAGAGAATATGAGGTGAATGGAGGATGAGAGAAAAAAGGAGGAAATGTAAGTGGTAGTTTGAGAACAAGAGAGGTATGAGCGGAGAGAAGAGGGTGATGGTGCAAGAAGACAAATGCAAAAGGGTAAAGTTTGTCTCTTGACATGGCGATTTACGTTTGAAATATGAATATTAACGATGAGATAATATAAGAAAAACATGTCTCTTGAAAAGCTGTGTTTGTGGAGCAACTTGAACATAAAGTAATGATTAATTGATTCTAGAGACATCTGATACCTTTCGAGTGTTATCCACAGTTGAGTTGAGAGTATAACATTATTGCCAAGTGCCAAGTGTTAGTGTCGGATGTACAACTTCTTCCTAACCGGATATGAGTGTCATCTTCCTCCAGGTTTGTGTATATCTACCCATTCATTCTCATGAATCAAATTCACCTTCAATTTTCTTGATGAAGAAGGTAGGGTGGTTTGTGTCTGTTTCATTCTAAAGAGCTAATCAATGTCCAAAAGCTAAAAAATGAGGCATTACCATCATAATGCTAATCATCAATATCAGCGCCATAATCCAGGTGGAGGAGACAGTCCCTATGATGATCCCTTCTTGAAATCATGTTGTTGCTGCCACTGTCTTCTGCCTATCTCTTACATCTTCAGTAGTTTCCAAAGATGCATCCTTTTGGCTTGTTACCCTCTCTTCAAGTGCTTTGGGTGGATGGAATGACTCTGCCCCTACATATCATTACATCCAACACATGCAAATGGAATGAGCTTTCTTCCATCTTACACCCATTTATCCATTCCAAAGAAAATTATAGATGCAAGATAGAAAACCAAATTAGATTTCAAGACACGATGGATCGTTTTTTTTTAATTGTTTTTTCTGTAAAGATTTTTTGCATTTTTATGATCACTGTTTGAATTTGTTTTGCTTACTCTTTGGACTTGAATGATTATTCTACAAAGAAAAAGGAAAATGGAGAGTTTAGCATCATGCAGTTTGTATTTTTATCATTTTAAAATAAAAAATGTTTAAATAGGAATAATAATAAATACTTCAGTATATTCTACCCTTTTTTTTTTATCGAAGGGTTGTCTGCGATTAAAAATTGGTGAATCGATCTCCCTAAAAAATAGTAGTATTTGTTTCTTAATCTTTGATTAGTTTTTTAACAAATTATAATTGTTTGGGATATAAATTATGTAATTATGTTTGGGAAAGATTCATCTAGGATTTTTTAAAATATTATAAGAAATTTTTAAAATTTATTATTTTTTAAAATAATCTGAATTAAATATATACCAACTATAACTGAAACAAAATATTCTTACAATATATTTTTATTATGTAGTTTGCTTATTTATGATAGCTTGCCTCAAATACTTTTGGCTTAATATTTTTCTATGACCTAATTTCGTTTAGTATACATTTCATTTTGATTAACTTTTGGGAGTAAATATTTTAACTAAAAAATTAATTGTAAAATATTTTTTTTGAGTTTATCCCACTCTGTTGAGGTTTGAGTTGAATAGATTTACTAAAGGTGGTAAAAAAAAAGACCCTACAACATCCATAGATAAAGATTAGCTGATAAGCAAATTTGGGAGTAATTATAAACTCTTTCGAACTCAAAATAAGCTACTCAAATACAAAGTAATATTTGTAAGCAAAATGTGGTATGTTAGTGTGAATGAAATTATATTAATCAATTGTATGCCAAAATGTTAGGATTAATCTTAAACAGGTTTTATCTAAAAGAAATTATTTTTACAATAATTAAGAATTTCATCAAACACTCACTAAAACATACGAAGATTTGTCATCTAAAACAGGTTATATCTAAAATATATAATGAAATTATCTGCTATATAGACCAATTTCTTCCTTATCTTAGGGTTTGCAGATAAACCTCAATTTGGGGGTTTAGCATCAGAACTGCAGCGAACACCGACTCTCTTGAACTTTTGGGTTTACGCAAAGGTTGAAGATAGATGGACCCTAAACTATTACTTTCTTCACCTTCGTCATCTTCTACCCCGTTACCATTCTTCATCTCAAACACTCTCCCTTTCCATCAAAAACCGAACCTTTCTCTCAAACTTCAAAAATCCCAATTTTGGGGAACGAATTTGAGTTGGGTAGAATCACAATCACGTGCAAGAGTGGATGCGGTGGGGCCAATAAGAGCCGCAGTGAAGAGAAGGAAAGAGCTTCCCTTCGACAACGTGATACAGAGAGACAAGAAGCTGAAATTCGTGCTTAGGGTAAGGAAGATTCTAGTGAGTCAACAAGATAGGGTTATGTCTCTTAGGGAATTGGGTAAATTCAAAAGAGATTTGGGTCTTGATAGAAAGAGGCGTCTTATTGCTCTATTGAAGAAATTCCCTGCAGTTTTTGAGATTTTGGAAGAAGGGGTTTACTCTCTCAAATTCAAAATGACCCCTGAAGCTGAAAGGATTTATTTGGAGGAATTGAAGGTTAGGAATGAAATGGAGGAGTTAGTTGTTGTTAAGCTTAGGAAATTGTTGATGATGTCGCTAGAAAAGAGGATTTTGTTGGAGAAAATAGCGCATCTTAGGGCTGATTTGGGACTCCCACAAGAATTTCGTGACACCATTTGTCATAGGTACCCTCAGTACTTCAGAGTGGTTGCAACAGCACGGGGCCCTGCTCTTGAATTGACACATTGGGACCCCGAGCTTGCGGTTTCTGCAGCCGAGTTATCTGCTGAGGAGAATCGAATTAAGGAACTTGAAGAACAGAATTTGATCATAGACAGGCCTCTCAAGTTCAATAGGGTGAGGCTTCCTAAGGGTCTTAATCTTTCCAAGGGTGAGATGAGGAAGATAATGCAATTTAGGGACTTGCCTTATATATCCCCTTATTCGGATTTCTCTGGACTGAGGCCAGGATCAAGGGAGAAAGAGAAGCATGCTTGTGGAGTTGTTCATGAGATTTTGAGTCTCACCATGGAGAAACGAACGCTTGTTGATCACTTCACGCATTTTCGAGAGGAGTTCAGATTCTCTCAGCAGCTGAGGGGGATGTTGATAAGGCATCCTGATATGTTTTATGTCTCACTTAAAGGGGAGAGAGATTCTGTGTTTCTGAGGGAAGCTTATCGAGATTCTCAGTTGGTGGAGAAGGACCGTTTGTTACTCATAAAGGAAAAGCTTCGTGCTCTGGTTAATGTTCCTCGTTTTCCCAAGGGAGCTGCTCGCAGGATAGCCGAAGATAGCATGAAAGAAAATGATGGCAGAGAAGATGAAAGTGGTGAAGAGGAAGAAGGATGGTCAGAAGTTGATAATTTAGGGAGTGACGATGGATTTGATGACATTGATGACTATGATTGGAGCGATGAAGATGACGACGACGATACACCACCAGACTTTTTTGAGGATGCTGAGACGTTGGAGATTGGACAAGGAAAGACAACTAAACAAGTTGAGGACTCAAGACAGAATGATGGAAAGGTCCTTGTTCCTGTATTCCCTGATGGTCGCCCCAGAGAACGTTGGTGATCTTCACAAAGAGCTTTCAGGCTTGGGAGTTTTCAATACAAGAAAGCATCTGCCTTCAAATTTGATTTGTGATGGGTGCTGTACACAGTGCTTGTTGAAATTCAACTTCTTTGTTTTCACTTGTTTGATCCTCTTTTGATAAGATTTGTATAGAAGGTTGAATTTCACTTGCAAGCTCTGCATATTATCTTGTAACTGATATACATTTCTTGGTCTTGAATCTTAATAGTTAAGACTTAAGAAGTGCATTTTTTACTTGAGGATACTTTTTGTTCATAACACTTGAATCAATGATCCCTCCACATGATAGTTTCCACCTGCACGTTTAACAGCATATAATCATGAAACTATATCTTAATGCATCCAAAGCATGAAAGCTAAACCATAACAGTCCATGAAACCACATCTCTTAACTCCGTTGTATTATAATCAAAGTTACATATAGTTGTATTATATAAGGACTAAGATATGCTAAAACTTTACAAGTAACAATTTTTTTTATCCAGCATACTGTTTCATTTCTTTTATTATATTATGTATATTTTTTATGCCCATGAAAATCTATATCTATGTCTATATTTATACGTAAAATTTACCACACTATAGTATTAATATATTATTAAACAGGGTATTAGCTACACTGCATATAAATTGCTACAAAATAATTTATTTTTTAAGTTATACTTTTACTTATTGATATATGTAAATTATTATCAGTTATTGTTCATAATTATGTTTTATTATTTATTTTTATTTAAAAATATTTTAAAATAAAAAATCTATATTTATATGTAGAATTTATATTATTGTGTTCACAATAAACATGAAGTGGTACATAAATTAAACATTTATAAATAACATTATCCCGTTAACGCAGGCTGGCATGCATAACCTAAGAAGACAATAGTCTGTGTGTCAGATATAAAGTTTAAAATAAAGTTATAGATTTATTTTGTAAAAAACGAAATTACAATAAATTTTGAGAAAATAGCAGGAATCTGAATTCTAAACTTTAACAAATTTAAAATATTTTAAAATTAACATTTTTTATAACAATTTCTTGAAATGTAGTTAGTTAGTTAGTTAGTATATTACTATATGTATATGAATAATAAATTTGGAATCCTCTGAAGTTGTATGATTGTGATAACCGTTGAATGTAACTGACACGTCCAACCCATTGTCCATTTCTTTCGCCTTTTGATTTTGGTTTTAGATGTTTTTCTCTTTTGCCACGCATCAAGCAACCACAAAAGCCGTTGTTTTTGGCCTTAATTTTCATTTTCCTAATCTGGGTTTCGTTCCTCAGCATGCATTACACTTAGCTAAGTTCTTCATTGATCCAGACAGTGCTTCAATGCTATTTGAATTTCAGTTTTGGTGTTAACTGAACCAATAGAAACAGTATTTCCTTCTTTTTGTTGATTGAGATCTTTCTCTTCTGAAGTGGAAGAGATCAGCATGACAATGAGGACAAAGCTAAGTCTTTTGTGGTGTGTTTGGATCTTGCTTTGTGGGTCTAGTGTGGGAAGGTTTGTGGTGGAGAAGAACAATTTGAAAATCACTTCTCCAAAATCATTGAGAGGTATATATGAATGTGCAATTGGGAATTTTGGGGTCCCCAAGTATGGAGGAACCATGATTGGCAGTGTGGTGTATCCCAAGTCGAATCAGAATGGATGTAACAGATTTGATACCTCGTTGAGTTCCAAACCCGGAACCTTCCCCACCTTTGTTCTCGTTGATCGGGGAGGTTAGCTACCCTTTGGTCCTTTCAATACTCTTCAGTTTTTGAATGTGCCAACAAATGAACAGAAGTATTTGTTTGTAAAATGTTTGGGTCTATTTAGTGGTTCTTTTGTTTTTATACAGTCTTTTAGAGATGTTTCTGAATACGATAAGGGTATATTTTTTATATTCATGAATATATAAAAATAATTACATACAGTATTACGTACTGTGTTAATAACGAAATTGTTGGCTTCATTAGGAGGGTAAACTTGTAATGATATAATGGTGTGTGTATTTTTGTTGGGTATTGTGAACCTCAATCTATAGAGCTGAGTTAGACAGTCATTCAAGGTAGTAAGTTTGTATTTAAAAAATCCAATTTATTATATTAAACTTATAAAAGTGTGATAAATGTTTTTTTGTTAATAAAAATATACTGTTATTAAGTGCTTAAATTCAACTAACTTTTAAGGATAGAGGTTAACCTTTTTCATTTTTGTTTCTTCTTTGGCATACACTTCCCTGGTGTATTTTAGTTATGGAATTTTGAATCTTCTGTGCATTGCAATGCTTTCATTTCTTTTATGCACTTTATGGCACGACTTGAATAGCTGGGGGTAACTTTCTCAATCGCCAATGAGCTTGTAGTTCAATTGTATCCAACTGATATGATGTTAGTGTCTGAGCTTAGAAGAAGCCACCATTCCCCTCCCTTGCCTTTGTGCTTAAACCTCCAAGTTAACAGAAAAGAAAATAGAAAACATCTTTATCAATTGAATTGGTGTCTTACACTAGTTTTTAGTTGATATCACAAACTTCTGGTCCTCTCAATATGATGTAACAAGTTCAACGGAACTTCTTGTGCAAGACACTGGTACATTCATCACATTATTGTGTGGTGCTGATTGGTGACAAATTGTTGATCATTGATTGCTAGAAATAGCCCAATAAGATGGCAAGTTTTTGAAATTTGTTTTTGTCATATTGGTAGATTGCTACTTCACTTTGAAGGCGTGGAATGCACAGAATGGTGGAGCTGCAGCTATTCTTGTTGCAGATGATAGGATGGAGCCATTGATCACCATGGACACTCCTGAAGAAGGGAATGCTGCTAAAGACGATGATTATATTGAAAAGATAAGCATTCCTTCTGCCCTTATAAGCAAATCACTAGGGGAGAGCATCAAGAGAGCTCTTTCTAGTGGGTCAATGGTTAATGTAAATCTTGATTGGAGAGAGGCTCTTCCACACCCTGATGAAAGAGTTGAGTATGAGTTTTGGACTAGTAGCAATGATGAGTGTGGACCAAAGTGTGAAAGTGAAATCAATTTTGTCAAGAGTTTTAAAGGGGCAGCTCAATTACTTGAGAAGAAAGGGTTCACTAAATTTACCCCTCACTATATAACTTGGTATTGCCCAGAAGCATTTATATTGAGCCAACAGTGCAAGTCCCAGTGCATAAACAATGGCAGGTACTGTGCACCAGATCCTGAGCAAGATTTCAGCAGAGGGTACAATGGTAGAGATGTTGTTATTCAGAACTTGCGTCAAGCTTGCTTCTTTAAAGTGGCAAATGAAAGTGGAAAGCCTTGGCAATGGTGGGATTATGTGACTGACTTTTCAATCCGCTGCCCAATGAGAGAGAATAAGTACTCTGAAGAATGCTCAGATCAAGTTATTAAGTCTCTTGGTAAGTTGCATACTCATGTTTCTTTGCATACACTTTGCAGTGGGCTTGTTTTCTTCTTTGTCATTTTATTTTGAATTTCTGGTAAAACTTTTCCAACCTATGTATCAAGAAAAATATTATCACGCTTTTATTTTGGCACAATTAATAATGTGATCATTGATTTTAGCTTTCTTGTCAATGCTTCAAGAAGTTCCACTGCTTTTTCAAATGATTAAGCTTCGATATATATTTGTCACAAAACCAAATTTTTTCTCAAACCCAACATAAAAATCAAGTCATAGCTATAGTCTTCTTTACTTGGCATAAACTTAATTAACTTATCGTTTATTATTTCAAATTTTATGGGATAATGTTTTGTCATTATTCTATGTTCTGATTTACCTGTTAACTTTTTTCCTCATATGCATTACAGCTGTTGATTTGAAGAAGGTTAAAGACTGTGTTGGGAATCCTAATGCAGATGTTGAAAACCCTGTTCTTAATGCTGAACAGGATGCTCAGGTTGGTCTTCCCGGAGACAAACTTCTGATGGTATTCTTATAGGCTTGTTCATGTTCTTTAATTAGGGCATTCTGTTGTTTATGACCTCGGTTTCAGATTGGCAAGGACAATCGTGGTGACGTTACTATACTACCTACTCTTATAATAAACAACAGACAATATAGAGGTCTGAGACAACCTTTCTAAGTATTTTTTTATGGTTGTTTAAACTTGTTCTATTGTATAATTTTTATTTTTAACCGCTCTTAGGTAAGTTGTCAAGAGCAGCGGTACTCAAGGCTCTCTGTTCAGGTTTCCAAGAGACCACTGAGCCATCAATTTGTTTAACTCCAGGTCCTTATTTCATTTCCTTTTTAATTTCTTTTATTCTTCCTGAACCTCCCCTTCTAAACATCTTAGAAGATGAACCAGGAAATTAATTGATTTAAACACATATTTTATCCCTATAATTTATCTCAACTTATCTTTTAGCTCCTATACTTTAAAAGTTTATTTTTGGTCCTTATAGTTTTTCAAGTTTAGTTTTGGTCCTTGTAATTTTATGCTACTTTTATTTTGGTTCCTTTTATTTTGTTTTGTTTAGTTTTGGTCCTCTCTTATACCAAACATTAGTCCAATAGTTGTAGCCTTTAGGTCACTGGTTTTGACATATTGTTGGTACTAGGTAGCAGGGACAGAAACCAAAAATTTTAAATTATATGAATCGAAAACCAAACTTTTAAAATATAGGGACCAAAAACTAAAGTTCAAATAAACTATAACCACAAAAATGTATCTAAACCAAATTAAATCATTTCAGCCTCCTTCGATATTTGCCTTTCACAAGCAAGCAACTTTTTTTCACCTGGCAATGTGTAAATGAGTGTTGTCTTTCCTTAGTCTGGACGAAAGAATTGACGTCAGGTACCTGTGGTTACTCTTTGCAGACATGGAAACAAATGAGTGTTTGCAAAACAATGGTGGTTGTTGGCAGGACAAAGCTGCTAACATTACTGCATGCAGGGTATTTGGTTAACTTAATCCAGTGTGCCTTATTTTTCTGAAATGTTTATATTACTGTACTTAAATACATTTGGGGTCTGACTCTTCTTGTTTTGATCCTTTTTCTAATCACAGGACACTTTCCGAGGAAGGGTATGTGAATGTCCTATTGTACAGAATGTTCGGTTTGTTGGTGATGGATACACCCACTGTGAAGGTAAATAAGTTTCTTTAGGTAAATTGCTTCATTTCCATGCTATATATTTCATAACATAAATTCACCTATACATAATTGAATTTCTAAGCAGCTACAGGCGCCTTGAGGTGTGCAGTCAACAATGGAGGTTGTTGGAAGGAGACTCAAGGTGGCAGGGCTTACTCTGCTTGTATTGTAAGTAATCCTATGCATCCTCTTGTAAATGATCTTGCTTATATGCTCTTTTTCCATTTCTTTTAATGTTAGATATTTATTATCATATGTTTTCTTGTTTCTTAATTGATTATGCAGGATAATCACACAAAAGGTTGCAAGTGCCCACCTGGATTCAGGGGTGATGGAGTCCACTCCTGCGAAGGTGCTTTGCTGTCCAAAATATGTTTGAACTATTCTAGTACCTACCCTTTGAATGACAATTACATCAGAGACACTTACTACCCTTTTTTCAGAATGCTTGAATGTGAACCTACGGTTGTAAATATTCATGATGTTAGCTATTATGCAAACCTGATATGAGTAGTCTTTTTAACATTTCTTGTTTTGATTATATTGTAGATGTGGATGAGTGCAACGAGAAATTGGCCTGCCAGTGCCCAGAGTGTCAATGCAAAAATACCTGGGGAAGTTATGAATGCAAGTGTAGCAATGGTTTGTTCTACACACGAGAAAATGACTTATGTATTGGTGAGGTTTTTTTTTCCTTTTTTAAGTTTCTCTTAACACTTTTTGTGTGCCATTTTCTAAGACTTATCTAATCAGCGGATTTTGTGCAATCATTTGATTTGATAGAGGACTCTCCATGGCTTTGCACTGGTCACTCAATAATGCCCACTTTGGCATTTCATTTCTATCTATCCTATATGTAGCTTATTAATGTTTCCAAATTTTGTTTTGGCCTTTCTACTTATCTAATTACTCAAATTTCGATCTGCTCTTATGATATCATACAATATGCAGGTAAATATGCCGCCTCGGTGGCCAGCGGGGGCATTTTCTGGCTTGTTATTCTGGTCATTGCTATTGTTGGTGCTGGGGGATATGCATTTTACAAGTACAGAATCCAGGTATATTTCATGCTGATTTGGTTGTCCTTTAACTGTGTGGCTTTGACTAAAGAATCCTTAAGGCTGATTTAGATAAAAGACATTTATATTAATTTGAATAATTTTAATACTTCTAGTCTTCCAAATATACAAAATTCTTTTCTCAATGTTGAAGTGGCATGTTGTATTTGGAAAGACTCTTCTGATTAAAGTCAGGAAGGGTGAGAATTTCAATTTGGTCTAATAATTTTTAAAAAGTAAAAACGATTTAAATAAACTAATGGAGCACATGTGTTTTGTTCTCCCGATTTGCAATTTGGTTCAAATGACAATTTTATTTTTCTTTCATTTTTTTGGCTACTTTCTAGTTTTTATTCAAAGGTACAAGTTAGGCATTGGCATCCTAAACTTGCTAAATTAAAGGAGAAAATAATATTTTGCAGAGATATATGGATTCTGAGATAAGGGCAATTATGGCACAATACATGCCCTTGGATAATCAACCGGAGATCTCTAGTCAAGCTCATCCTGATGTCTAGACTCTAGAAGATAAGGGAAAGCAATTTCTATGCAAAGATGAATTTGATATATGGGAGATCCGCTACAAGTTGTTTAGTTATTAACACGAGACAAGCTGTTTAAGCAAAGGCTCTTAGCTAGTAGCATCAGGCTATGTTAGTATCATCTTTAGCCCTCAAGTCTTTTTCTTTCCATTTCTTTTCCTTATTTTGTTCTCTTTTTCTTCCCTCAAAGTGGATGATTTTGTTTTTCTGAGGAAGTATCAATATGGAGTAGAAGTCATGTCCTTTTTCTCCTCTTTAGGCCACTTGAAGTTGGCAACATATTTCTATTCAATTGGGGACAATAGATATGGCATGGAAAGAGACTTTTTCTGGTATAAACTATCAAATTTTACAAGCTTTTTATTTATTTAGTTTTTTTATACCATTTTGTGAAGGTTCTGAATAATACCTGTGGTCTGTCACTACCGACGAATCTACTACATTAATGACATCGGTCTCAGGAGTCCGGACCAAAGAAAACTTACTACATTCAGTAGCCTTCTTCAAGTTTCAAGACTTATAACAGTTTAGTTAGCTACATACCATTAACAAAAGGTGGTTCTAATATTTGATCCTGTTTAAGTTTCTCCCAAACATGGAACAGCAGAAGTGACAGAGAGGATTAGTACTTAACCTATATTAGAAAGTTGGAAACCCCCAATGAAAAAGAGGCTAGAAATGAGATATAAAGATAATAATTCCAAAATGAGGATAAGTAAGTTTATATACAAGTTAAATGATTTTTAAGAACCTGAACAAGGCAGTGATATAAATTACGGGCGGTGATCCTTGGAAAAGTAAGCAGGAATCGAAGCTAACAGAAATTTGAAACTTGATAAACTAAGGATAATGCAATCTTTATTCCTTAATTTCTTCTCTTATTTCTTACACGTTTCCCTTTTGGAAAAAAAAAACATTCAAACTAGTTTTACTCGCCAATTTAACCTTACTACTTACAACTTAACAAGACCAATAAACAAATAAAAATCAACATACTCCCTATTTTATTTAAAATCATTAATTATATTATTACAAGGAACTGGCACCAATGATGACAATCTTGGGAAGTGTAGCCGTGAGAGTAGGCTATTCTCTGTGCAAACCATCAAGAGTCATGTTCGTGACTTTGAAGCCTCTCAGCAACTTGACTCATGCTGGGTCTCTCGTCTTTCTGTTCCTCTACACATTCCAAAGCCACAGTTGCCAATATCTCCATCTTATTCACATCATAATTTGATCCCAAAGCAGGGTCAACGATTTGATCCACCCAAGATGATGCCATTTCTGATCCTGTTCTCCTTTTATCCCTCACCCATGTCACCAACCTCTCGTGATGATGTGATTCTGTTCCTATTTCTGTGATCTGGACACCCGTTGTTGGGCTTTTTCCGGTTATCATTTCCAAGACGACAATTCCATAGCTATAAACATCCACCTTGGAAGTGATGGGCAAGTTGAAAACCCATTCCGGTGCCATGTAACCCCTTGTTCCTCTTATCCTTGAGAAGCTTGAATTGTTGAGGTTGTTCCTATTTAGTAGCTTAGACAAGCCAAAATCTGCCACCTTGGGTTGATAATCAGAGTCAAGAAGTATGTTCTGTGGCTTAATATCACAATGCAAAATCCACTCCAAACACTCTTCATGCAAATAGGCAAGACCCCTTGCAGTACCCAGAGCAATGTTATACCTCTTAACGCAATCAAGTGCACTTGAATTTGACGAGAGATTCTCAGCTAAAGAACCATTTTCCATGTACTCATAAACCAACAATCTGTGCTTTCCCTCGGCACAATACCCCCACATGTCAATCAAGTTCATGTGGTTAAGCCTTCCGATGATGCTCACTTCAGCCAAAAACTCAGTTTCTCCTTGGTTTGCCACTTCATGCAGCCTCTTTATCGCTACAACACGATTATCAGATAACACACCCTTATATACAATTCCTCCACCACCCCTTCCAATCTCTTGACTGAAACCTCTCGTAGCTTGTTTCAGCTCAGAGTAAGTAAATTTCTGAAATCCCGTTGCTGCAGCAAGAGCATACCCTTGTTTCTCTACACCCACTTGTAGCTTCTTGTTATTCCTAAACAAGAAACACCACACCAGAAAGATGCACAGTATTTCAACCCCTCCCAAGCCACTTGCGAACCAAAGCATGACGTTCACAGACCCATTTTCTTTTCCTTTGACATATGATCTTTCCAACTGTCTCACTCCTCCATCATTTGTCAAACAAGCCAAGCCCTTACCATCATCATCTTGTGTGGGACTCTCATAGTCATAAGACAAAGGCAATCGCAAGAAGATTGATCCCGTACTATGACCACCACGCCCATTTAGCAACTGTGTCTTTGGATAGCACTGAAAGACACCATTTTCCTCCGAAAAGGAGTGTTGGAAACCTTTGCACTGACACAAGCTCAAGCATAGATTCTTACACTGCTCAAAGGTGTGATTTCTAAAGAAACCATAGTCATATCCATAAAAGTCGACTTTGGGTAAATGTAAGAAGCGAGACTCATACTCATGCAGGGTCTTGTTGATGTTGCACCAAAGTGGAAAATTTGCTTTACAACCTTCAGACCAATCTTGCTTATTGATCCAACTATACCCTGGAATGCACGAACACTTTCTACCCCTTCTTGGATCATAACTACAAACACTATTGGGTCCACAAATCCCATGAACCATACATGGTTGTGACCGAAACTGCCCCGAGACTGACCACTTCTCTTCACCATCTTTCCTACTATACACACGAACGATTCCGTCATGATGAAGGGTCAACCTTCGTTGGAGCACCGTCTTATAATCACAAGTTCTGAATGTGAAGTTATCGGAAGAAACCAAGTTCCCCGAAGCTTCTAGTACAACAACCCTACTATCGTTGTAAGTGGATCTACCTAAAGATGATATGATATGATAAATAAATATATTAGTTTTTTAAAAAGTTAAAAAATGCGTATGGAAGTATATATAGGTTGAAGTAGGAAAAGAAATACCATTTCCACCTCCAGGACCAAAGTCATTGCTCTGAAGCCAAGGGTCTGGCCAGTAAACGCTTGAAACGCGAGAGCCTTGGTAAAGAAGACGGAGAACGTTCTCAAAGTCGAAGAAGAGCTTGTAGAAACCAGACGAATAGTTACTTTCGCTTCTTGAGGAAACCAGGTTCGTGTTCTTCCTCAGGATTTGACCCGCAAGAAGTGTGTCCGTTGGGAAATCGAAGCTTTGCCACAGAATGGATAAGGAATCACTTTCTCGGAGAACTAAATTGCCGGTGTCGTGTAAATGCAACTCCAGTGGTTTGAACGAGGCCGTGTTTGTGGACCAAACGTTGGACTGCCCGGCGTCGGTTAATACGAGGTTCCCCGTTTTCAGAAGCGTAAGTTTGGAGCGTTTTCCGTTCACCGGTTGGTCCCGGTTGGCCATCCAAACGACAACGACGTTTTGGTTAGGGTGTGTTTGGGTGAACCATATGGCGAAGGAATATGCATTTTGGCCTACGGCATAAAAGCCCGCCGTGAATGTCCCTTTTGGTGATGACACTATGACCTCTTCTTCGGGTTTTTCGACGGAGAGAGAGAACGATATAGATGAACAGTGTTTAACACTTTGGAAAATTAGCATTAGAAGAAGAAGAAAGGACAGCGAATACGTTGAAGAAGCCATTAGCATTAGCATGTGTGCTTATGCTGAGTTGTTTGTTGCTCATCAAAGTATTTTAAATGAAAATAAAAGAGAGAAAATTCAACCCCAGGCATGTTGACTCCTTTGGTCAGTCTTCGCCTACACTTCATTTAATGAAAAAGAAAGCCATTTATTCTAACTTTTATTTTTATTAAAAAAAAATAAGATGAATATTATTTTATTAAATCAAAAGTTCATTCATTTTTTAATAAATATAAAAAATTAAGATATCTAATCCATAAATTTTTCAACATGAGCTAAGGAACTCGTGTACCACACACGAAAGTTTCACCCAATATTTATCAGTGCATGTGTGGTTTATTATACAAAAGGCAAAATAAAAAAATTTAATATTTATGTTAGTCCTATACCAGCCTTTGAAAAATAGGATAATAAATATTTTTCAAATTTGACCACAATCGAATTTGGCCCGCCAAGTATTGACCAAAAATAACTTTCAAGCAATTTAGATTTCTGAAGAGGGTTTTGTTGACTTAAGCATTTATAAATAAAAAAAAATACACAATTTATATATTAAAATTATAAAAATATAATAAATACTTTTCTTTTTAATAAAAATTTATTATTTTTAGCCTTAAATACTAAAATTAACGAAACTCTTATACAAATGCGAACTCAACTTAATAATGAATCATTACACGTTGAAGATAACACATGCTCACAGTTTACTATACTATTAATATTTCCAAGTCCCAGGAGTAAGCTGTAGGTGGTACATTATTTTTACTTGAAAGAAAAATTTAAATGCATATCTTAAATATTTTAGTACTAATTGTAAATTCAAATTAAAGTTTAATTTTAATAAAGTACTAAAGATTGGTATCAAAGAAGTCTGTATTAATTTTAAAATAAAAATTATAATTACAATTATAATTAACACTAAAAATAATGTATCATTTTTTCCCTTTTATTTTATGTACCTTATACGCCTTCATGAGTGAACTGTGTGATATTTGTTGAATTCAAGGATAGAGAACCTAGACACTCTGCCCACCCGTGAATAATGGTTCATCCATGAACTAAGACCTTTTTTTAACATTAAAAATTGAAAATATTAATAATAGTCTTGAGTGGAAATGATAATCGAAGTCAAATATAATAAATATTTATAAAAATTACCTACAATAAATAAGATATTTTTTACCTATCAAATAAGTTGGGTTCAAAATAATTGTCCACAAAGTTTTGCAGGTATATATGCTTGCGAATTCTACTCATATTAATATAATATATTTATTCTATTTTATAACTAGAATGTGAAGATTTTTTAATAATTTTTATAATTAAGTTAAATAACCTTATTTATAATTAAAGTTGGATTATCTTCTTAGATTTTTTTTAAGCTACGTATTTTACTTTTAATTAATGTGATTTTTATTAGTTTTATAATAGTATTCATGCTTTATTACTCGGTCAAACAAAAACATAAAAGAGACTATATTTAACTTACTAAAATGCATGAAGTAACTTTGGGTACGAGTATATAGAGACACCTAAGGTAGGGACTGAGGTATTAAAATTGTTACTTGTTACCCATTTAGATTTAGAGATGAGTATTATAATATCATTCCTAAACCTTATTTTTGCAATTCATAGTCTAAAGTGTTAATTTTAAGTAACTACAAGTGAAATATTCTTAATTACAAAAAACAAATATATTTATTATATTTTTAAGGTAATAAACATTCTTTTATACTTAAAATAAATTTAAAGACTAAATCAAAAGTTCATTGAAAATGACACTAGAAATATATTAAAAATGTAATGATAATGCATTAATAATAATAATAATAATTTATAATAATTTTTTACATTTAATTACTAAATATTACCATAATTGTATTGAGTTAAAATCATGTTCACCACAATTGAGCTTCTAACCCAAGCTTAGAATTAGCATTTAAGAGAACAAGTTACTTAAGAAGTCTCTATATCATGGTCCAAATGAACAAACTTACTAAACAACTAAAAATCAGTCAATTATAGCAATGTTATATAGAGTCTAACGTGAATGTTATTTTAGAGATCAAAGTGAATGATTAATTTTTTTTCTTAATATATTCATGAATATTTGACCTTCAAAAGTTGGACCAAGTTAAGAAGCTTGTGTCATGTGTTGCATTGACATTCTACTAACAACTTTGTTTTCATTCATAATTCCTTTTGATGCGATTAAAACTTTATTATTTGGTGCAATGAGTTCATGTTTGTGTTCGAGGTTGAAATAAGTGTACAGGTTAAACCAAAACACCTAAATTGAGCGTTTATGCTATGCATTCATAATCACTTTCTCTCTTTTCCAATGACAACTTAATCCAAATTTTGCGTTTCTATGTTGGTATACCTTATAGTATGCATTATTTGTTCAAATTTTTTTATATAATGTTGTAATTTTTTATCATATATAATCACTCTTGAATATATATATATTGATGCAAATACAAATGCGATTTTTTTTTTCAATTGCAAATTTGGTGCTTTTGATAGGGGGGTTTATTTCTTTCATGGTGACAGGAAGCTTTACGTTTGAGATAGTGTACTCTTGGCTCTAGGCATTTTTGGTATCAAGTTATATAAAAGAGGACAACCCTCACCTATGCATTTAACAACCCAAAAATGTGTAACTCACTAAAGTCAATCTTTTAAATTTAAAATTTTAAACGTTAATCTCAATCATTGATCAATTTTGCTAGTTAGAACGCTCTATAGGAGACCCTTTACTATTGTGCCTCTAACATTGTGCTCGTCCTTCTCCACCTCCGCCATTGTAATAATGTATGGTCTAAGTGGCATCACCATCTCTACCCTGCTCCCTCGAAGGTCATCCACATTGTTGCCACAAACGAAGGAGGAGTATGTCAATAGTTTACTACTATCAATGTGGTTGATAAAGCAATATTTGTTAAAGACAATGAAGCTTCTATTGTTTAGGAGGCTCTAACAGTAGCCACAAAATAATCTTCTTAAGGAAGAAGACAAAGCAAAACAAAGAAGAAAAGGAAGGGATATTAAAACCCATAAATCTCAAAAGTTAAGGATGAAAATTAACTATCTTTAAATTTTTTTAAAATGATATCATTTTGTGTCTAAAATGGACTTTAATGTATCACTTAATGTGATAAATTATCATTTGAATAATGCTAGCAACACACTCTTTTGTATACATTCTCTAACACATGCCCTACTATTGGTTAAAATTTATTGAAAATTAAAAAAAAATATTAATTTAAGAATGAGAAAAAGTGAAACCTATGTAATTTTAGTCAACAGTAGGACATGTGTTAAAGAGTATATTGCTAGCATTACTCTTATCATTTTGTTATCACATTTTTAACCTTTTTTTTACAATTATAACTAAAATGATTGATGAATCATAACATCAAGTAATAACATTTAAATATTTAAACGTAAACGACTAATTTGAAAAATATCATACAAAGAATAAATCAAAAGTTTACTCTTTAGAAAAATGTCACAATATTAAAAAATATTTATTATATCTTTAATAAAATAAATATTTTTTTATTAAATTAATAAAATTCATATATATATGTATATTATTTTATATTTGATTCTATCATTTTTATTTGTATTTTTATATAAAAAAAATTAAGTATAATGCTTCAGAGATGAATAAAATAATTAAATTTTCTAATATGTGTAAATAAAAATAATAAATTATAATGTCATCATTTCATTGAGAAAAATGTTTGTCGCATTTTAAGCAAGTAAAAGCAATTATTTTATCTATAAAAATAACTACTTCAAGAATAAAAAAGTATAATAAATATTATTTTAGTAAAAAAATAGTATTACTATTATTATTTAGTATAATTATTATATACTTAAATTTAATACTAAAATATAATGTTAGTAAAAGTGTTGGAAAAAAATCTTGACGATAAGAGATAATTATTTTTAAAAAAAAAAAGTTAAAGAAATTATCAAATAATGCTTTATTGAGTTTATTCTATATTAAATTATAGAAATGGACTTACAAAACTTTTTCTTTCATTAAACACAAAGCTCTTTCACAATTTTCTTTTTATGGAAATAAGATCTTGAAGATGTTGAAATATCTTCAGATTTTCTTGAAGATGTTGAGTATCATACACTTGGCATTGGCAATATAAGAAACAAAGCACATGCACAAGAAGAACACACCACAAGGAAGCCAACAATAACATGTCCATTTTTAGCTCCAACGAACCTCATTCTTCTTCTTGTTTGGCAAGAAGCTTCACAAACTGTGACGAGAAGAGTACGAACACAGTGCACCCAGCATGGAGTATGAGTACCCTCATGACGGCTCTGCCAGAATCTCCCTCTTCCAATTGCAGCCACTCCTCAACCCCTTTTGTTCCATACCCATGTCACTCCCATTCACATTACTCACCCTATGCCACTGAATTCTCCACTCCAAGAAACCAGGTTTGTATACAGTCTTTGAAGTAACTCCTTTTGTTCATGTTCCAGTGAATCTTCCTACAAGAATCAATTTGTCCCTTTCTTTGTTCTCTTGGACATGTTGCTCATGCATATGTTTTCTTGGTGAGCAGTTCATTAAGCTGATTCAGTGGTTACATTACCATATATTTAGCACGCCATTTTATTCTTTCTAGTTATTTCTTTTCTGGAGTTCTTGAAAATGTGTCAATACTAATAAATTTCTTGATTTACCACGTTGACTGGTTAGCTTTTCTTAAAACGTAATGAACTCACCAATCTATTTGGTTTTGAAATCTCGGAGGCAGATTGACACCATCAACAACTTCTCCTCTCGCTTTTCTGATATTGATGAATGGTTGGAACATGCCAATAAATTCTGCAAATCCTCTAACCATCTTGCAGGTATGTCATGTCATGCCATGTGTACCTGATAGCTGGTTTCTATTCATAATGCATGTTCTAATGTTTTCATCAGAATCTGTGAATTCGAGGCAAAATGGAAGCCTAGAAGA